GCTCTGCTCTTTTCCTTATGCATATCTTATACTAAAATCCATACGCCGTTTTTTCCGTTAATTTATACACTAAATATGCTATTTAAAAATCCAGATTTTTTTTTAAAAGCTAGACTATTTTTAAGTTTTGAAAAACGTACAAAATTCTTTTTGCGAATATATTTAAACAGAACTATTCTGCAAAAAATTTTTTTTTTTTTTTAAATAATTTCCAATTCTAAATTATTTTTATTTTTAAATATCTTAATGACACATTAATAGCATGTATAATCTCGCGTATGCTTTTATTACGCACAATTACAAATTAACTTTAATTTTTACTCTCATAATAATAATAGAGTTTCAGGAAATATCGTTTCACCGCATAATAACACGAACGCCACACATGTAGCGTATATTCAAATTTCGAAATAAACGAGTACCGTCAATCATTATATTCAAAACCGGAAGTTTCTGTAGGTATACTACATTGTTAATGTCCATATCTTATGTTTATATATTATATTATAATATGTTCCATTCACTGAAAATTAACCTTTTTGTAGACCAAAGAAACGATTTTTCATTCTTGACAATGACCTCTTTGGCAATTGTACGTGGACGTTAAGTGAAACCTCACGACTAAAATCGAATTGAGTAATATTAATAATATTAAAACAAACGAGCTAGTGCATACGGTAATTATAGATTATCATCAAGTCGGTTAAATGTATTTGCGAGTCAGTATAAATTCTTCATTAAAGATGCATATATTTATTTTTATTTTTAAATGACCCGTGCCGGATAGGATCATTTTAATTTACGCAATAAATATGCAAAATATTACTGTGAAGATACCGTTCGCCGAAACAAATTATTGCACGTTAACACGCGGCTATATAATCATAAACTACACAAGCACTAAACTATTTTTGTAAGAAAATAATATTAATAATTTGCAAGCACATCGGCAAGTAAGAGTTTCGAATAATATAAGTCAAACATTATTACATAACTTAAAACGTGCAAAAAAAAAATGTAGTCTACACAAAACTTTGTAGATGTATTCTAGCATTATTCGAAGATCGTTATCCCTCCATATAAAACAAATATATTGAGAAAACTTTTAAAAAATTAAGTTTTTTTTAGACTATAGCTTCATAAATATCAAGGTCCAAACTCCAAAGTCCAAAGTAATGAGAAATTCTAAAAATGTTCAACAATGTCACTTAGACTAGTGTAAATTTATCGTGTCTAGATTGGCGGTAGTTAAAACTTTGATATTCTATCATTTATTATAATTTGTTATGCTTAGTGATGTGCAGTTCACGGTAAATTTGTAGATTTGTTTTCAGCTAAAAAGTAAGTCCAAATGTAAGAAAATTAGTGGAGTAAGAAAGTCACCCCCTTTCAAAGAAAATGATCTGCTTAAAAAGTAACTGGCTATTTTTTAATAATTTTTTTTTAGCTTTACAAAGTTTCCTAAAAGCGCTAGGAAGTTAAGAAGCTAATGGGAGTGACATTTATCATGCTTTTATGAAATTGAGAATTACCTATACTTTTTTATTTAACTATAATAACATATTAAGATAAATGAAATTGTCTGTTGTATATACTATTGGCTACTATCAAATTTTGTAAATTCTTCTAAACTTTTCAGTCATGTAATATACTACAAGAGCGAATATACTAGTATACTACTTAAGGTTTCAAATTTCAATCCAGCGCGATGACCAATTTTTATTGATTTACTCATTTTTTTTAGTGGCACTTGCATTAATCATTCTTCCTAATCCTTATAGAAAACTTACCTACAAGTCGGTAGGGCACATTATTAGACTCGAACAACAGTAGCTGATAAAGCTAACATCAACCACACAATGGAACAATGTACCGAACATATAATAAATAATTTTTAGCATACCATATTGGCTTCGTGCGTGTGTCGTAACAGGACTAAAATGTGCCAGTGACAAACGTAACAATCGGTAGTAGTTATGATGATGTTGGGCACAGAAAAGAAAAAAATATGTTTGATCATTGCTGACAGTAAGGCCGAATTCCTTTTGGAGAAAGATTGAGACGGGAGAGAAGAAATAACAAATTGTATAACTCGATTCATTAAATATAGGTACGTCGTTTTTTTCACTCCATCAACAGCGAAGGCGATATATATATATATACGAAAAATACGTGCATGTGTCATATCAACCACGCACCGCCTACTTAACTCTATCACTGTCATATCATATAGAACTTGTTAAAAAAAAAAGTATATCATAAAAAGATCTTGCGGGTACCTGCAAAGGGTGTAATAATAACTTTTATTTATATCGGTGCAGTATTTACATCATCTCACAGTATCATTTCATTTTAAATAAATCCCATTAGTTTTAAATTAAATATTACCGGATATTAGATGCCGGAATTAAATCATTATACTAGTATGACAATGATCAATACGCCTACTCAATAAGCAACAAAAGAGTCACACGGAATTACAAGTGTTCAACGCGGTTATAGTTATTTCGGACGAAAGAAAACGTTTAGAAGTTATAACCGCATTGAGGTCGAAAGGAAAACCCATATTTCAGTAGAGAAATTAAGAAAATTCAACCACTGACCACAAACAATAAACTTATTAGTTAATCAATAGATAGTAAAATAAAGATAATGCTATCAATTATTAATGAAATCATTTTTTTTATTCAATAATAAACATGAAACATTTTCCTTGACTGTTAGATATCAGAGTTGTGCATTATTCGAATAATAAATGAACTAAATAATTATCTAGATAACACATTATAATGTGTTAAATTAATAATTATTCAAGTAAACATAACATTTTATTCGAATAAGAGTTTATACTACAAATAATTAACTACAAATAATACATATAAAATAAAATAAAGTTTGCAGTTGTACATTTTTTTATTGAAATTTCCTCTCGATATAGAATTCCTACTATATTATGTTCATGTAAAAGATGTCATCATAGATATCAACACAAAGTGCATTATAGTGTTTTCTTTTATAAATGGTAATTACTATGTATGCATCTAAAATAACAATATAGGCTATACCCATACTTATAAAATGTATTTTATACCTTGAATAAGTCATAATTGTGAAGTTATTCATTTTAGAATTGATTTAAAAATTCATAAAATAAAAAAGCAACTCAACAGTATAATTAAACGTAATAAGTTTACTTTATATAACTTCATAAAGTTTAATTCAACTTTATTATTTACCTAACAAAGTATTTAACTAAGTCAACGTATTATTAGAAATTAATGTGTATATTATAACGATGAATGATTTAAATTACACGTTGTAAATATGTTATGTAACTCTAACTCATAAGAACTGTAAACTAATAGGACTTTCGATTTTATACTTTTTGTTTTCCTTGGTCATTTAAATCGTATAAACAAGTAAACAACTCTATTAATATTATATTGTTTTCTAGAGACTATTTGTAATGTCTTTTAATGAAATCGAAATAATATTCATATGGAGTATAACTTTAAGGAAATTTTAAAATTATGAAATATAATAAATAACAAGAGCTATAAAATCACTCAACAAGGTCACAGACAGTGGACTTGAAGATTATCTGTCCATGGTCAATTCATATTTACCACCCATTTTCATTAATTAATTTTTATAATGTAAAAAACTCAAAAAAATGTCCATCCCCTTCTATTTTAATTCTGCCTATCTTGTCTGTCTATCAATCTGGTCATATGTTTTCTACCTCAGTACACCAGTAAAATATTTTATACCTAGTTTTTATGCTCTATTGTCATAAAAAAAAAATTTGTGTTAGTATTTAGATATGAACTAACGTAAGCGGTGTTACTGATGAAAGATTTACAGATATACTTAATTTAACACATCAGCTGCCAGTGGTCTCAGCTCAAATTTTTGGGAACCACTTGAGCTAGGACTGCTGGCATTACCAAATTATAGGAAATTATTGTGATTTATCAGAAATAGTTAAAAATCAATTTTACAAATATTTTTTATTTAAAACGTCCTCCAAAACCAATGATTACCTTGTATACCTTTTAGGCTTCTTTAATAAAAAAACAATATTAGCTATCGAGAACTTTATCATACATCATATCAAAACTGAGCTATTTATCTAACTTATCTAACTTATATACTGTGTTATACTCTAGACTCAGCTATGTTTTAGACTAGTTTAAAGCATATTTATTTCCTGTATAAAATATACATTTTAGGAAGTACTTTTTCTTAATTACAATGAGTTAATCAACACGTTATTATTATACCCTTATTAGTTTGTACAACATAACTTTTTAAAATTTGAGATTTATTTGAGGCAATTATATAATTAAAATTGTATAGAGAGTTGTAGCTTGAGAAATTATTGTGAACACGACATCTACTCGATATTATTTATGGAGTATAATTAAAATAACACAATATATAACTGTTTTGAGTTCGGTGAGAATTAAGTTCAACACTATATACAATGAGCCTAGTTCAAGGCCGTCTTTTATTGTTTATTGTTGATATCGGGTAGTAGAGTCCAGAAGACAATACGTATTATAACTATGTCATTTTTAAGTAGGCCGAGCACGTAGTTAAGTATTAATTTTATTTTAAAAAGACGTTGCATAAATCACAATAGCATAGTATAATGGAGTAAAATAAATCGTTTTCAAACAAGGGTTACGTTCTCAACGTATTCTCATTATAAGGTTAGCCAATCCAATTAGCAGCGAAAACGGCATCTGCGACGACAGATATATTACAACAACAATTCATAACGCACAAACGACGGACGGTGAACGGCATTTTCAATTTTCGATTTCATTCACGTGGCAAATTATTAATTAATTTCTATTCCATTATTTTAATATTATGCTTGGTACGCGGTGATCGGTCGCCGATGTGCTGCGATAATACTATGGAAAAGTATCATGCGGTATTATTAAATAATCGTAACTAGTGGGAGGCTGAAAGAGAATGGTGTCCGGATGAAAGTAAAATGCACTATAGCGAGAACTAAACGAGTGCAAGTATCATTTTGACAGAGACGGTCAGCCAACAAACTCCACTAGATCCTTGTTGTTACAGTTGTTCAAACCAACTCTTCCCGTCCATATACTATTGACGGACAAATAAAGTAAGTTATTTAGATATTATTTATTAAAATATGTTATTATTTTTTTTTTTTTAATTTAAGTATTGTTAAGAACTCGACGTGCGATGACAATAATATGATGTGACACAACACATTCTACTAAAAAATACACTAGATCATAGATGTATGATAATGTTTTGCGATAGTAATAAAATAACATTTCTTACCAGTTAAGCTTAAAAGTTAAGTAAAGTTTCACAATACTAAAATGATATGTTAAACTTTAATTGAATGTTAAGCCCATTTGGCGACAACGGCTATAGGCCTCTTGAAATGCAGTAAAGCCAAAAATATGAAACTAATAATTAAAAAAAAAAAAGTGGATATTATAAAATAGTCTTTAATGATTCCATTAAATTCAGGCATACCTTTAAAAATATTAGTGATTCTATTAAACAATGGCCCATGTTGGGTTAGACAATTTCAATGAATCGTTAAATTTATGAATTTATATAGCTACTTAGTACTAACAAACTACAATTTCCGTAAACGTATTATATTATTGCAATATAATTTATAACTAATGATATCTATTAGGTTTCATTATGGTTAATAAATACAACATAATTTTTATCATTTATTTGTATATTAAAATTAGTTCTATAAAAAGTATTAAATATCCAGTCCAAGTTATCTAATAAGATTTAAATAGTTTCTTATTAAATAATCCTAAACTTTTAAAGGTCCTTGAAAGAAAAATTACATACCGAGATTAATCTTAGCTTAGAGTGATTTTAATGAAGCGGTATTTCAAAAATGTAAGAATGTAAAGCATTCCATTTTTTATATTCAATATACATAGGTTCAATGACACTGCAAACGAAAATTTCTCCCAATGAATTATAGTATAATGATAACTATTTTACTTATTACTTTAGTAGTAATTAAATAATTTTTGCTCAATTTGTGTTTTGTTTTATTTTCAAATAACGCTTTCTCTGAGCCGATGCGGTGTAAACATGACCGCAACCTTGAGGTGCCGTTAGTTTGAAATAAAAGAAAAAACTAATTTTCTAGACGGTTTCCTGTAATAAAAATATATTGTCCGTAGTATACAACATTTGTACTGTTAATTACTACTATTTATTAAACTTCGCTCTCATTCCTTGTATTCATCTCAACTCTCACTACTATATTAACTGACTGAGTTATTTACTCTCATAACTGTTTTCATAATAATAAATAACCGACAATTAAATTTATAACTACGGGATTAAAAAATATTTTTCATACATATATTGATAATACACGGTCTTAATCGAGGTTCTCAATAATACTGTTAGTATGTCAATTATTAATGTCTATTTTATTAGATAAAGAAGATACAATAACTTGATTTTCTGGTTTTTTTTATGCTTATAATCCCCAGTAATTACTTTAATAATTCACCTAATTACAGGTTAGTTAAAATAGCTAATAAATATGACATTGAATTTAAATGGTAAACACGAATCTGCTTTCTAGCCTACTAGTTTCCTTAAAAAAATCACATGGCTTTAATTTGTATGTACATTATTCTATTATATTAGTGTATAGTCTTATTAAAGATTTAAGAAGTAAAAGGCACTCCACCGCAATTCTACATAGAAACTTAATTTCCACCATATTGGTGAGACATATCTACCCACGGTTAGTATTGAGTTGTCATTAATCATCTTTCTTAGATTTACGTTAAAGATAAATTGAATAGGTACTACCTATATGTATAGGTAGTACCTATATACTTTGACAAATGGCAATAATTAAAAAGTAATCAACCCATGACCATTCTTCGACTGAAATATGTAACCATACACTTATGGCTTAGCTATAAAAGAATATATATACAATGTTTTGTAGGTCGGCCTGCATAAGCAATACAGTATGACGTGTAAACGCGCGTGATCGTCAAATTGAGCTTTTTATTTTAATATATTATATTATAATTATTATTTTATCATCGCCCGTTGCAAAATATCGCGCCGTCGCATCTCCTGTTGAGATGTAACAAGTACAGCTATCATCGGCTTCATATGAATGTATGTGACTATAGATCGTGACTATGGGGTCCGTTCACATATAGCTGATGTCAATTCTTATATAACAGTTTTCTCATGCTCCAACGTTGACCCATAAAGTAAAAAAAAAAAAATTGTTCACCAAGTGAAATTTGTTTGAAAGAAGATGTACAATTGTTTTCACCCAACCCATCCATTCTAACTCCTATTAATTTTTTTAAAGTACCATTAATTTTGAACGATGATGTCTGCGATATAACTTTTTTCCGAAATTTACTAGAGGGAAAGCATTTTATGTTTATTTTTTATCCAGTTTAGTATAATGAAATATTTATAGATTCGATATGACCTTAACACTGTAATTTAAAATAAGTATAAAAATAGATAACCTGTTCTTTACAAGTTTTTGGATTGTATTTAAACAAAACATCTATAATAAGTTGACTAATTAGATTTAAATATATTATACATAAGTTGATTTAATTTATGTAAGTGTAATTTTGGATCATAAATCACGTAGACTTTCAAATCATTCATATCAGCGAAAATATGTTTAAGATTTTATATAGTTTAAAGGCAATACTATTCTTTGTTTTCAATCCAGTTTTCTAACAATTAATAGAAAAACTCCGACATTGAATGTACGAGTTTAATAAGAAAAAGAAAAAAATTTAAGCAAGATTTTTTATTTACTTGCAATAAGTTACTAACATATACATTAAAAAAACACTACAAACGTAATGCCGGATTACATTAACGCTCATTAGTTGTTTAAGGAGTTATTAAGTATTAAGTAGCCCGTTATTGATCCATATAATTCAAATCTGAATAAACTACTGATTTCATCAATCGTTAGTCCAACCCGACATTAGAAAGTTTAGAAGGCAAGATCTTGGGCCTACATCTTAAACCCTTATCCTTCTTTTTATCGAGATTGAGCTAAATCTTTGCCAAAGCATTAAATAACCATCGCAAATAAATTTTAAATCCCCACTTTGAAACGTAATTACTTTTTTTTGAAAAATGTTACTATATAAATTAAGCAATCTACCCGCAAAATGTCGTGACTACGAGAAAGTCACAATATTTAATAAAAACTACTATATGTTTGTGTTTTGGAATATTTTACCGATTTCAACCGATAAGTGTTCATCTGGGCAATTCGTCTGATGTGTTATTATCCTATTAAAAAATCACACTCCGGGTCGTAAACGGAATATTGTACGATTAAGCACGTTTCGCCTCGCGGGCTTAAACGGACTTTTATACAGAGATTCGACTTAAACACGTATTCGGTTATGACATCTTAGTTTGGCCTACCTACAGTTCATTTGAACACATACGATATAATATGCCATGTAATATTACCAACATTCGTTTACGTCATAAAACGTTCATATTATTATTATACTATCTTCGTTTTAATAACATAACACAAGTAATGCGCGTGTCGTTGTCTCTGAACCGTTGTATTGTTTATTATTATAATATTTAAACCGAAAGACAACCGGTGAGCATATTATACGAGTTATCTTGGTTTTTTCTTTTTTACATACACACACCATTGATTTACAATACGTCACTGATTATGTATTACGTTTTGTGATGCTTATCTCGTTTTTTTTTTTTACTACAGAATGAAATCCGCGACGGTTATATGTGCGCTGGTCGTGATGTCACAAGCGTTGTACGCGACGGCGGCTGGCGGAAATGACCGACAACAACCGCTCTTCTTCCAGGCTGGACGTCCGTTCAACGCGCCCGGCGCTCCTTTACCCAAATTTGTGGGCGTTGCTGGAGGTCAGCCACCGCACGCGTTCCGTTCGCAAGGGCCGCAAGTGGACGAAAACCAAGAAGACGAAGAACAGCGCGAAGAGGACGAATCGAGCCAGAGGAACCTGCTCATACCGACACCGCTGCCGTTCAGACCACAACCCACACAACAACAGGTAAACAATATTTGAGAAAAAGAACAGAAAACAAACATCTGTATAGACCGACATTTGACGGAAATCAGTCACAGTAAAAAATAGGACTTAATGTATTTGACAAAACGATAGACGAACAACGCCTTGATTACAGAATGATTTTAGCCGTGTGAATTATTAGTGTTCCAAATTTAGGCGTAAACTACTTATTCATTTAACGAAATCCGTTCGCGTTAAATATAATTAAAACTGTTTAAAGTCATTGTTTTTTTTACTATTAAAGTTATAATGATTATTTATCCCTGTGTATTTTTCGGATCTAGTTCAATCAATTCCGCGCATCTCCATCGCCAACTCCTCAGACATTACAACCAATACAACAGGTACCCAACACACTTTTATTTTATAACTGCATGTACCAACAGATCCCAGTTACCATACAATATTTATAGTTTTAATACGTATTAGAAATGTACACGGTATACAGTCCAGGCACAAAAGTAATATATGTCAGACATTTTTTTTTAAAAATAAATACAAACAATAATTAAATAACTATATACTGTCATCAAAATATTAATGAAGCTTCAAAATGGTCTACACAAATGTAAACTAATATTAGTTATTTGATGGTTCTCGTTTATAGTTCAACCAATTCCGAGCGTCTCCATCGCCCTCCCCTCAAACTTTACAGCCAATTCGTATTAACAGACCTTCCGAAGGTCAGTCAAGAAGACCTCCACCACCACCACCACAACAATTTAAATCATTAGCCAGTCAACCTTTATCGGTAAGTCATAAAACCAATGCATATATATTTTTTTTTTTAATAATATAATTAAGGTAATTTCATAATCGCTTCTTTGATGAGTTTACATGCTTACAAGTTATAACTATAATTTTTTGATTCTTGTATTTATAATAGTAAGGACAGCAAGTTAAAATTTAAAACAACGATGTTCGATCTAGAATCGGTAATTAGAATGTAGGTACCAGCTCTTTTGGTTTAGAGAGCCCAATGAAATAATTATTATATTTAACCCGGGTCACTGCTTTTTTTTTACTATATATTCGTTAATCAACGTCGATATTTAGCATAGTCAACATTTACTGTCTAATTCGATATTTAGCAAAATATTTTTAGTAGCAGTCAATCAAGCGGCGCACAGTATAGGCAATTTCGATGCTCTTATGCATTGTACGGACTACGGTTATTAAATATAATGTTTTACTACCAACCCGCTATTGTTTGTAAGCAAGATAAAATACTGAAAATTTAAAGCTTGAATAATGAATGTATACAGTAACATTGTTACAGCTGATAATTTATTAGAAAAATTTTGCTAATTTTATTTCAAAGTTAAATTTGAAATTGTAAAACGAATGCTGATATGTTGATGTAGGAAGAAGCTCAGGAATTAGAAGAAGAAAAAGAAGAGCCTGATCGTCTTACTCAACTTTTACCCCAATCTAAATTTACTTGCAGCGGTAAGAAGACTGGTTATTACGCCGACGATGGTCTTGACTGTGAAGTTTTCCATTATTGTCAGGATAACGCTAGACATTCGTGGATTTGCCCAGAAGGCTTCGTTTTCCACCAGGTCAGTAAATACAACATTGGAATACATAGTTGTTGCACTAAATCATAACGAGTATAGGTAATAGTAAAATATTTATTATATTTATGATATTTCCAGTTTAAATAATTATAAATGAATAGAAAAAATTCGACCACATTTTTCATTTAAATAAGTTTCAATCTACCAATAAGGAACCTGTAGAAGTATTTCCTACATATACTGGACATATTTTCATTTGCAGTATTAACATTTGCAGTACTACTGATTAAAGTCAACCGTAGTATTTAATCAATATAAAAATAGTTAATTTAAATAAGACACTGTCTTTTGTCAATATCACTGTATACACAATAAATGACACTGACCACTGTTAATCACACAAATTATTTATTTTATTTTTTAAAACATCACACGTGTCAAATATTATAGTTCAGCAAGTTATAACTCCTGCGTGCAAACATAATAATACAACAATTAATAATTATAATTCGATCACGTTTTTATATTCTGTTATTTTTTAAACTGATTAGTTGAGTATTAGGTACGTTTAAATTCCTGAGAAATGAATTATTGCATCGGTTTCTTTTCGTCAATAAACATATTGTACAATACTAATGTAAATCTGATTTATGCCATTGTTTTTAGGTCCATTTGATTTGCATGCCACCCAGTGGTGAAAATATTTGTAAGCAGTCATCACAGTACCATTTCGTCAACGATTTCTTGTACAGACCCGTCAATGCGGAAGAAGCGCAGTCCAGGCCTAATGTTACAATCCGGTACGGAGATAGATATTATCCAGGAAACAATTATGAAGGCGACGAGGAATATGACAGAGAAGAAGAGGCGCCACAACAGAGGCCACAACAGTTCAGACAACAACCGACCATAAGACAACGGACACAACAACCACAACCACAACAGTCGCAACAACATAACTTATCTACGCCCAGACCGATAGTCTTGCAGCAGCAACCGCAACAATTCGCCAGGCAACCACTATCCAACCAAGTATTTCATTCATCAGAAGAAGTGAACATACCCCTTCAACAGAGAAGACCGATTTTGCAACAACAGAGACCACAATTCCAACAGCAGCTTCAGCAACAACAACAACAACAAACCAACGATTTCGATTTCGAAAGAAAGTAGATATAAGAAAATAGTGTTGGAAAAACTTGTCTGTGTAATAACTGAATTCCAAAAAACAATTATGATGAATAGTATTATTTATATTTTTAAACGCTTAATAGTTAATATTCGTTTTGTACATATATATTATTTTATAAAAGCGAAATACTTAGACTACTATTATAGAGCGTTATCTGAGACAAATGAAATGCAACTTTCTCAAAAGACTAGAACCCTCGAGAAAAAAAAGTTATGATACATTTACCCGACAAATATAAAATATAATTGTTTAAGAATTAAGACGTTTATTGCCTCTACTTAAAATTCAAATATTAAAATATCTCTCAACGTTTTCAAGCAACCGAAAATATTTTTTAATTAATGCAAATTTTAGAAGTAAGATTTTTTATACATTGACAGTAACAATAATTTGCGTAGTTTATAAAAAATGAATACATTATTTCATAGAAATAATGTAGGTATATTTTTAAAAAATGTAGTTCATAATCATATTTTCAAAATCTATCGTTTACGTGATTTCAAATAAAATTATCTAAAGTAACAATTGTGATTTACATACATTTTTAATGAAAAGAGATTATTTAAAATTATATTATTTGTTGACTGATTTTCAAGTTTATATAATATTTTTAATTTCCCCATCGTGTTTCATTAAAACATTTGTAATAATCATATTTATATATTACTTAATGATATTCAGCTCTCTACATTGTCAAACTTCTACAACTATTTCATACAATCATAATATGGTAATTAAGTAGGTATAAAACACTAAAATCTAAAAAACTAAAATATTATAATATATTATTGTAAACATTATTTTTGCCATTTACGATATTTGTTAAAAACGAATAAGTAATATAAGCATACCTACTGATAATTTATATACAATATAATAATACGTTAAAAAGTATGTATTTTTTCAAAATACTTAATCATACTTTCAATTTTTATAATGCATTTTGTAAATATTATACCTAAAATAAGACTTATTTTTTAACACTCATAGCAAATGTCCTAATATGTCATATAGCCTTTATAAATTAAATATAATTTTTTGATTTTATACGAAATTAAACTAGTATGATCAATGTAAAAACTATATTATATTTATGATTTAAAATGTAAGTAAAATAATACGGCTAATCACAGATAGTGGCGTATTTTTAAAAAGAGGAGTCTCGCCTAGGCTCTCGTTAAAAAAAATTATTAGTAAAACCCTAATAATTAGACGAATTCCTATAGCTTAAACATAGATACCATAGACAAATTAGGTAATGTATAGTTATTGTGCTGTAATAGAACCTTTCACACTAAAAAAATAAAATAAAGAAAAAGTTAACCCGTTCTAAGGAAAGGATTTTGAATATTTGTTTGATTTACCAGGGCCAGGGTATATTGGTAACACTATAATAATGAGTATCACAAAAAAATTTGGAACTTATTCACTATTTTAAAAAAAAATTATAGTGTACCGTAATATTTTTTAGTTGAGAAATATGTAAATTTTTCTCGATTTAGAAGAGAAGGGGTAAATGTTATATTTGTGGCCCAATAAAATACCTCCTTGGTATGTATTATTTCTGATTTAAAGAGTTAATGAATAAAAGAGTACATGAAAAAATCGATTCAGTGGCTTAAAAATATCGCAGGTCCAGACAAAAATAAAATAATCATAATGATTATAAAAACATAATTTAAAAACAATATACTTCGTAGGCTGCTCCTACCTGCAACCATGGTCATAGATTATAGATGAATTATTATGATGTGATAATTTATGGACTGATCAGAATTCTTACCCAGGGGGAGGGTGGGTGTAGAATTCTTTTGGAAAACTGAACTGACGCTATTGTTAGATAAGTAAAATTTACACTGCATGTCTGTTACGATGAAAAGACTGGTCTAAATTTTTTTGGTTTTTTTTATTATTATTTTGGTCAAGTTAGTAATAAGTTTTTTTCTTGACACTTCTTTTTAAAATGATGTGTTATAGTATCTTCGGACATCAAAACAAATGATTAAAAATCAGTTTCTTTTGTAAAATAATCTCAGCTTTCTGGAAAAAAAATTAACATTGAGTTTTAGAAACGCTTAAGAAAACAAAAAAAAAGAGGTTAAATTTCATAGATAAGTCGAAAAATAGTAATAACCACAGTATTTTAAATAGTTAAAATAGTTATGTGTAAAAATAAGATGATTTTTCCGTTTTTTAGACATTATGAAATTTCATCTCGTTTTTTGTTTTACTATGCGTTTTTATAGAGAACCCAGTTTTAAATTTACACATTTTTTGTAAAAGTATCTCAGTTTTCTGAAAAAAAATTAGTAAAATTCTTAAATTTTGGCAACAACAAAAAAACACTTTTTAGACTATAAACTCAATTTTAATGAATTTCTGTTGCTTCAAAAAAAATATACTTTTTTCAGAAAGCTGAGAATATTTTATATAAGAAACTGATTTTTAATAAATTTTTTTGATGTCCGAAAATATTAAAAAAAAATGATAAAAAAGAAGTGTCAAGCAAAAAACTAAAAATACATTTTACGTTTATGGCTAAAATAATCCAAACAAATTTGAGAACATTCTTTTCATCGTAACAAACATAATTTTCGCGGGGGTTTTAACCCATTTTTTTTTATGGATATAAATCATTGCTATACATTACAATATAAATTACAATTTTTAATGTTATGATTAATAACAATAACCCTATATATACCATTATATCGTAGTGACTACAGAGTGCAGTAATATTTTATAATATATGAGGCACTCAAAAGCCAAACTCATTAACTCCATAAAATGATAGAATTTCAGGACAGGCAGTTAAAGTTATTTGAAACACAATGTATGTAAGTACAATTGCCAATTTTCTTGGCGCACTCTAGTGGTGAAAAATTCAACTATGGAGTTATTTACCTTGGCCACAGTGCTGTATGTGGGGCCGCCACACACCTAATGATAATTTGTTTTCGTTGTTTTCAATTGTATTGATAACAATTGATATGATAAAAAATAAGTTATTGAGAAATGAGAAATAATTAATTACGAAGTGCATTTTAAGTTGTTTCGATTTTATAATGAGAAAAACATTAAAATAAAATAAATGATCGTACTAATTTTGATTTATGAACGGATATTGTCAACTCTAATTTAAGAAAATCTAATAAATAAGTAGGTACTTGTGCCATGTTTAGTTTAACGTTTTAATTTTGTAACTATGACATTAAGATACAAATATTAATTTTTATTAAGTTTGTGAATATATGAAGGATTATGAGTTTACAAAAATTGTATTAATGATTTCTACTGTTAAACAATTACAGATGTCAATATGGTTTAAAACTAGTAAATTAAATGTATGTTAACATGTTTATTTTTATATTATTGAAGCACTTTATTTTATTTTAAATAATTAAGGTGTTTAAAATTAAAGCAATGTTTAGTTTTATTTATCCATATTTTTGGAAGATTTAAAGATAACAAAGTATCTAAATGATATAGTTAAATTATATTATTTTATCAAATTATGGATGTTATATTAAATGTTAAATATAGCTTATATATTGTGCACAGCTATATCTATATAATATAGCTGTAAGTATAAATTATATAACATTACAATTTATTTTACAGGATTTATTCCCTTACAATATCACCAGAGAACTTATCACCTCACCTTTATAAATTGCAAGGTAATTATTAAAAAATGTCTCTTCCTTCGCTAGACTTTTTACTACAACAGGCAGAAAACTGTGAAAGTAAAAATGATACTAAAACGTATCGAAAAATTGATTTGCAAACCCCATTTGGCCTAAATGATTTAATGTTTGATGACAATGAAGTATATTCTAGCGACAATGACATTGCCTCAAATATGTCCATGTTACATTTAGAATCACAAATGACTGAAGAATGCTCAAATATTTCTGATTATATAAACAAACATTTATCATTATTACCTTCTGACGAATGTAAATTTAATTCTAATGAAACTAGTAAAAATACAGAGCTGGAACATAAATCCTTCGATCTCTTAAAAAATGAATCAAGAATTACACCTACAATTTTAAAGCTGAAAAGAGATACTTTAATAAAAAAACACAAATTATTTACCACAAAACCATTAGCAATGATACGTAAATCTCCTTTACAAAATCAAGATTCTGGTTGTAGTATGGTGATGGGCAGAATTTATCCAATTTCAAAATCAAATTCGTTGAATGATTATCTATATAATGTGTTGGTTGATACGCGCAGGCAAGGATTTAAATTCAATACTCCAGCCCCAGATGAACTTGTTCTGTCGTGGATGGATATTGTAAGGCAAATGCCTAGTAAATAAATAGTTTTTAATATTATTATTTATAAACTATACTCTTAAAAATAAGCTTTTAAATAATATGCTACAGCCTACAATTTTTAAGTAAATTAATAAAATAAAAATAACATTAGTTTTTTTTTTTTTATTTATTAAAAATTTACCACTACAGCTATGTAAAATATTAATTTTTTTATATTGTTTGTCTATCTAAATTTATTTAGTGTTTATTTTAGTTTTAATTGAATGAATTTTATCTTTATTTTATTTAAACTTAGAGGTATTATGATATAATTTACAATATAATGTTATGCTTCTTTTTTATTTCACTAACAGAGTAATAGTTCTTGTTTAACAGAATAGGGATTTGACCGAATCATCAAAATTGTTTTTTTTCTTAAAGGGTACTAATTTTATAACTAGATTTTCACATTATTAAGTAATTTTTTAATAATTGACTGTTCTCATGTTTTGTACGACATTTTAAAAGTAAAAATCATAAGGTCTAATAGTATAAAACATTATTAAAAAATCTAAAATAATTTGAATTTCCAAATTTAAAGCTCATTAAAAAAATTTATATTTTAAAGTTTTCTTCATTCAGTTATGTATGTTAATAGTAGAGCTAAGATTAGTGTAAAAAATATGTAAATTTATGTACAAATGTATGTGTATGTTAAATTTATATGTATATTTAACGTTGATGCTACTCCTTAAATGTATATTTATTTTATTACATATCAATATATAAATGAAATTTTTTTTTATTACCATTTACCTTTCCATTTTTTTTGTTAGTCTTGTTAATAAACTTTTAGTGAAGTCTAATCTGTTGTTTAGGGAACAATATACACAAAATTTGACAAGTATTATAAATAACATTTTTGGTTTGAGACGAGTTCTAGTTACTACATCCTGATTATGCATATCAAGACATAGCGAAAAAAACCAATTGTTTATCTAAACTGTTATACTCGACTTGTGAAATATCCTATAAAATTATTTCATGGACTGTATTTTGACATAATAATGTAGTAAAATTTAGATTTTTTTATAAATTAACTAGTTAATTTATAAATAAAGTTAAAAAGGATTGTGACATAAAAAGTCGCAAAAGACAAGAAAATTAAAATTTAATAATAATCAACATGGGTATTTTTTTATTTTCATTTTATATACACTTATTAAATGGGTCATGGAACCAATAAATGATAATGATACCCACGGTCTTATATATATATTATATATAATATACATAGCCACGGTGATCATACCTGTTGGCTCTTGATAATAATAAATATAAAACAACATCAGCTGTTCATTGTGTTTTTCTTTATCAATCGAGCTCGAGTCTCGACTTTGGATCAAGTGGTTTTTACATAACTTGCCATTGACACAATTTATAATTATAGATTGTTATTCTTTCAGTTTACTTCCTCTTCCTGTACTAGTGACATCTTATATTTGTACATTAATTACGGCTAATACTTAAGTATTATTTATTTGTACATCATTCACATAATGGCTTTAACAAAAGGTAAACTTTTAAGTTTAAATATTACAATACAACTAAATACAAAAAGGTTTTATTGTATGTTTTTTTAGGTATTTTTATTGTAGCTGCTAAAAGAACTCCGTTTGGGACCTATGGTGGCAAATTCGTAAAAACATCATCCACTGAGCTACAAGTAGTAGCTGCTAAAGCAGCATTAGCTGCTGGTAACATTGACCCAAAGATTGTTGATTCTGTAATCATTGGAAATGTTCTGATGGTAAATTATTTTACTACCATTTATTTTAAGGTTACAAAAAAATTCCTTGACAAATTAATATGTATTATATTATGGTGTTCTAATATTTAATAACTATATTATTACCAAACTATGTAAACGAGTATATTTTGTTATACTATTAATGATAATAAAAAATATATATATTTAACAGAATTCGTCTTCAGATGGAGCTTTTTTACCGAGACATGTTCTTCTTCATAGCGGTATTCCTCAAGACCGCCATGCATTAGGAGTTAATCGATTATGTGGTTCTGGATTTCAGTCAATTGTGAATGGAGCACAGGTAAATAAAAACAATTAAGGCTAAACTAATGTATAAAATATCTTACACAAGTATAATTTTAATATTGTTATTATTGTTTCTTCTAGAGTATTATTACTGGTGAAGCACAAATTGTATTAACGGGTGGTGTAGATAATATGAGTCAAACGCCACATGTTGTTCGCAACGCTCGTTTTGGAATACCTCTTGGTGCACCTTATCAATTTGAAGATTCACTGTGGACTGGATTAACGGACACATTTTGCAAACTTCCAATGGCTTTGACTGCTGAAAAATTAGCTGAAGTCTATAAAGTTACCAGACAAGAAGTGGACGAGTTTGCCTTACGCTCCCAAACGTTATGGAAAGAAGGTACAAACAATAAATAGAGATAAAGAAAATATATTGATAGATAACAAATTCAAATTATTACTTTTGTTTGTAACATTATATAATATATTTACATTTCCACAATTTAAATATTATGTAAATTGTGGAAGTGTAATATTAAATATCATTTTTTTTCCTACTACGCTGCACCCAAAATAACAAAATCGTCTCTTGCACTTAAAACATTGTGAATCACTTTTAGGTTGCAGAATATAAATTATACAAATGTATTATATTTTTCAATTTTAGCTCAAGCCAGTAGTGTATTCAACACTGAACTAGCTCCTGTTACTATTAAAGTAAAAAAAACAGATGTAACGGTAGATGTTGATGAACACCCGAAACCCAAAACTACACTGGAGTCATTAGCCAAATTACCGACAGTTTTCAAAAAAGACGGAGTAGTAACTGCAGGGTCTGCGTCTGTGAGTAAATAAATTGTTGAAAACATATTATATTAAAGTCATGACATTTTTAATACAATATTATAATATCTTTAAGGGTATATGCGATGGTGCTGGGGCTGTTGTGTTAGCTAGTGAAGAAGCTCTGAAAAAACATTCTTTAACACCATTAGCGAGATTGGTAGGTTATTCAGTAATAGGAGTTGATCCGAGTATAATGGGTATTGGACCAGCACCAGCAATTACAAAACTCTTAAGTCTATCTGGAAAAACTCTTAACGACATTGATTTAGTTGAGGTAAACATAATTTTTAAATAAATTTAAAGTTGTTTATTTTAAGTCATGTTAATTAACATTTCAGATAAATGAAGCATTTGGAGCTCAAACTCTTGCTTGTCAAAAAGAATTAAAGCTTGATATTGAAAAACTTAATGTAAATGGTGGTGCTATTGCAATTGGCCATCCTTTGGCTGCTTCTGGAGCTAGAATAACTGCTCACCTTGTCCATGAACTTAGGTAATTATGTTTATCTTTTTTGTTTACCTAAACTCAATTTAGGGTCATTTCAAGCAGCTGTTTCTTTAATGGAATAGGTTTCTTAATGTATTCTTGTATGAGACAGTAGTAGTAACTTTTTTTACTTGACAGTTTTTTGCCTTGCAAACGGAGCCGACAGTAAAATTAATTTTATAATATGTACATTTTTGTAGTTAAAGATATACACTTCATTATTTGAGCCTACTCCCAGTTTAAGCGCCATAGAAAAAAACCAAATTATTAGAAACTAAAACTAGGCACAATTAGAAGGGGAATTGAAGAGTGGTAACCACGAAAGTTTCACCTTTAATAAATACTTATTTTTTCGACGTTTCTGCAAAAAACACTATTTTAAAATTTGCTAGAAAAAGTAGAGCATAAAAATTTTTGTTTTTATTGGTCATAATAGTATAATTTTATTTGTATATGATTCTCTGTAAAAAATACTAAAAATTGTTGAACTGTTGGTTTAATATTAATATTATTTTTCAGGCGTAAAAATTTAAAGTATGGTATTGGTTCAGCTTGCATTGGTGGAGGACAAGGTATTGCTGTGTTGGTTGAAAAAGTTTAAAATTTCTATAAAATCTTAAGCCTGGATTTAGGGAATATTAATTTTATACACAAGAAATTATTTTTATAATGTGCTATCATAATAGATTATTATTGATATATTTATTTTTTTATATTCATGGTTGGTATTTAAATAAAATGTAATAACTGCTCAATTATACTAAAATGGTATTCCTTGTTGACCAGCTATATATTTCATATGCTATATTTTGATGTTTAAAGAAATTGTTAATTCTTAGTTTATAATTATTTTGTCTTGAATCAATATTAAGACTTTTTGAAAAACGGTGTTTAAAACGCAATGTGTATTGAAATTTTAATTATTATATTAAATTTATAATTTCAATACCTCTTAAGAAAATAAACTACCTACTATGTGTATCAACAGTTACGCCGATAACAGGAAAAATGTTTGGAAATTTTGACAAAAAAGAGGAAAATTTATTTTAAGAATTAGCAGGTGGGTGGTAAAAATAAATAAATACGGAAATGTGGACTAAATAAGTCGTGTCAATGGGTAGATATGTTGAGAGGAGGATTTAGCTGGCCAATATCACTTGCCTTTTTTGAAAGTTAAAGAAGAAAATGAAGGGCACAGGGAAAAAACAGAAGTAGTCACATTATCAAAATTTTTTTTTTCAATTTATGCCATTAATTTTTTTATTTATGTCAACAGATTGTTTAAATAAATACATTTTTGATTACAATAGCATTTAATGTGATTTTTTTTGTTCTTATGTAAGAGGGAGAGGAATTCACGAACTTTGATTTTGCTATACTCTAAAATTTTCATAATGTGACTACTACCGTTTTTTCCCCTGTGCCCCTCAAATATTAAGTTCTACATTGTGGGAGTAAAAAATATTTTATTAACTATATTAACTAGTTAGTTTATTATTAAGTGTTAACAATGTAAGATTACAATTAAGTGTTTAAGTGTAAGAAATACAAAAATAACAATAACTAGAGGTATAAAAATAAAATTTACTTAAGACTATCATGACAAATGTGTAAATAATTGCTTTATTATATTAGTGAAATACATAGAGATTATAATAACAAGAATGCAACACTTAAGAATTTTTAATTGGTTTTAATAATTTCCAAAGATCATCAGTAGTGTAGTAAACTAGGTTTTGTTTAATTTGTATAGGCTTATAAATTAAATATTATTCGTACATTTTAGTTACTCTTCTTCTACTGAAGGTTGATTACGATCATTTTCTGATATTTCAGTCCAATTTGGAGATGGTTCATAAGATGATAGCCAATCAAAATCATTAATAAGTTTCCAATTATTTTTATTTCTATCAAAGGCGGTGCTTTCAAAACATTTTTCAATAGTTGGACTGTTAAGTAGCAAGGGTCCAAAACGTAGATCTTTACAATTTTCTATTATAGCAGTACTAACAACGTAAATATAAAAATCACATAGTTTCGTGTCATGGACTCTTAACTGTTGGGATGCACAAGTGAGTATCGTATTCTTACAGTCATCAACAAAAATTGAAGTGCTTGCAAAAGCAAATATTTTACAATTTTTCAGCGATGACATATGAACAGTACTTGGAATTCCATAAATACAAACTTTACAATTGTCAAGTTTTTCTAAAACTATGTCTTTTGAAAATGTTTGATCTTCTTCGAGTTTAAGAACTTCATTTGAGCGGTTCTTGAAGCCACAATCATCTTTATACACTAATAATTCTCTTACGGGTTCAACATTTACTTCCACTTTTGGCTTTAAAGGTTTAGTTGTACGTTTTCCAAAAGCAAATTTTTTTTTAGGTAGTATTTTATCGTGTAAATTTTCATAATATTTTGTTAATTCTTTAATCTCATTTGAACATTTTTTCATATTATATGATGGCAAGAATACCTTCGAATCATTAACAAATTCTTGGAGTTCATTGATTTTTTTCAGAGTCTCATGAAAGTTATCTTGAATATGCTCGGTTTCAATTTGATTACCTTCGATAGCAGTTAAAATGTTATTAATATCTTTTAATTTATTGCTAAAGACATCATCAAATGATGCTTTTTGACCAATTGAAGATACACTTGTTAACTCCATTGAAATTTCTTAAATTAGTATTACCGTCCACAGGTTTTCATCATTTATACTGGCAATAATAGCATTTTATATTTTATAACAACGAATTACTTTCTGGTTCTACTTACTGAATTATGACATTACGTAACCTCTATTTTGGAAGATTGTTAACTTGCGTGTTTAGTTGTGAAGATTGGGGAATATGACGGCACTTTTTAATTGTTAAACTCAAGAACTCTTCAAATTTATTAAGGGCTAATAAAATAAATAGAACTTAAGCAGCAAACTGACGAATTAAATCCATCGAATTCGGACTCGGATGGCCAAATCGCAAATCTTGCACAGAAGTCAGAACTACTGATAAAATGATAAGAACACGTCTAGTCACATCAGATCTGTATTCTGTTATCTAACTAAAGAATGCATAAATTGCATTTTGCAATCGCATTTCGAATGCTCAATGCTGAGACTATATTGCGACCGTAGTATACTGCAGGCTGCTATTAATTATATTCATTAAAACTTGTGTCATTAACACGATTTAGTTTGTTCGTAAATCATTTGAGCAGCGGAGATAACATATGACCATATGAAAATTGTGAACAGAATTAGCATCTAAAAACATATTATTATAAACAATATTTTATTTAACGATCAACATCAACTAAAATAAATAATTAGTGTTTGTGATTTATAATAGCTATTCTACATATGCTTAATAATAAATAACGATCTGTACCAAAATATCTATTTGTATCTATCAAATGTAGATTTCTACCAATAATAAGTATTATATACATATATTTAAGCATGTAAGTGCAAAAATTACTAAATTGGTAAACTATACTTAATTTTTTACATTATAAAAATTACAAACTTAAAAAATAATGTGTATGATATTTCCATTAAATTATAAATTACGTCATTTATAATATAAAAAACTTACAATATTTAATATTTTCAAAGTTTTCTTATTAGGCTCCATGAGTATAATTTACCACGACAATTTTGTGGGTAAATTCTTTTACTATTAAGTTATCTATATATTATTTTTGTTGTTTCTACAGAAAAATCGTAATCAAACTTCAAAGGCAATTTCCAGTGAAACTTAAATCATTTATATTATTCTTTATGGAATCTCTGCCAGTCCGACCTCTCACCTCTGCGTAAACAAAATAAAATCGAATAGATAACGATTAACGAGCACCTAAGTAGTGTTACCACTAATAAAAAAATATTATATTTCACTTAACTGTAATACAGTATTAGGCATAAATTGAAAAATCTACCTATATAATCTACATTACTGTCGTTAATACAATTGAATAAGACCTAATTTTTCTTAAGCTTCACAAAAAGATAAAACAATCCTATTAAAGTATACACCGAAATCTAATTAAGTTAATCCTGAGTTAATGTTAATTGTCGACTTGGTAGTATACTTATTACATAAAAGCAGGTAAATGCATTTTATCGGCAGAGTAGAACATTCCTTAGCAACTTGGTCTTTTTTTTTCTTAATGACAAGTAACTATTCTTTTACGTATATATTCTCTTAAACTATGTAGAAGTATAAAAAAAATTAATAAAAGGGCCGGATCAACGCCATAGAAAAGTTACACGTGAAGACGATTTTTAAACTTTATATTTAACTCTTTCTATCGCGAAGAAAACAATTTGGACTTATAAATTGTGAAACACGTATAGTTTTATCGGACCCAAAAAACGTACTATAATTATTACTAAGTCATACCTATACGTATTTTTATAAACATTTTTTAATTGGTTTCGAACTTTTCCGTGGTGAAAAACTGAAAATTTCAGTCAAAATTCTCTGAAATGATAAAAGCGAAACGTTTATAGTAGCGGGTAGCCCGTGGGACATGGATCATCAAGGAAATTATTGTAAATTAACCAAATAAAAATAAAAAAAGGTACCACTTACCGAAATCAAGTAATGAACAAGTAACCATGTACCTATCTATATTTATTATTTAATAACTTCGTAGCCCTATGGTAAATCCAAATTCTATATTTCTAACATCTATTCGAATATTTCTTAAAAATGTAAAAATGCCCATATTAAATATTAATTATAACTTGAAATATATATCATTTTGTTTTTTTATTTACAAATTATTAACCAACTTTTCCTAATTTAGTGTTGTAAAAGGTAAAATAACCTATCGTTTTTTATCAATTAGTACTGAAATATTTTTAAGCATTTTACAAAAAAGTCTATTTTGTACTAGAAGCTATGCGACGGTTGACGAATGGTGAAATGTAGATTTTCTCTACCAAAATAACGTGACGATTTTTTTCTATAGATTTTGGAAACAAAATCCGATGACAAGATAATGATTAAACTTTAGCAATTTATAAGTAAGTAAACTGATTAACTACACATGTTAGGTTGTATAGTTATATAGGTTATACAGTAAATACTAAAAAGTATTTTACTTTTTTATAGGTACAGTTATTTTTTTATAGGTACAGTTATTTTTTAAAAGTATTATAGGTTATTTTAGTAAGAAATAAGGTAACTAATATAGTTGCTAGGGAATTTAAATGTTTCATACTTGTCTTGTAATTTGATAATAAAATATTTTAGTATATTAATTATTTTTTTTGTATAACAATTATTCAGGTAAATATCTATCATCTTATTAAAATTTAAACCAATTACGTCAAAAATAGTGTTTAGGTTCTACATCTATATTTTTAGGAACTTTATGTAAACTATGCAATTAAATATCTAAGAGTTAAATAAAAATATTTTTCCAAAATGAGTTAATTTTGAATCATTATATACCTAAATTATAATCTATAATCTTTGTTATTTTTTTGGTAAAAACAAAACTTGTCTAGCGTTTTTAATTTTTGAACTTGAAAACCTATTAAAAAACTTTAAAAAATGTTTAAACCTAAAATAAATGATGTTAAATAATTTATTTTAAAATTATGTCTGTTTTTTAGTATCTGTTAAGTATTTTAATACATTTCAGCTTGTTGACTAAAACTAAAGTTTGGATCTCGATTTACTTCATCTGAAAACGAAAATTGTATTTCTTATTTGGAAATTTGGATGGTTATTCAACTGTATTTCAATGAAAAATGGCTTATAGTACAAAATCAATTAAAGTATATGATTTTAACAGTTCAGATACTGAAAATAATAACACCTTTTTTAAGAGTCGCAATAAAAAACGAAAAACTAAGTCAGAGTTAGATAAAACAACAAGACCATCTTATCTACAATCAATGGAATCTTACAGAAACTTTATGCAAATTAGAAGACAATGTAATGTTTCTACATCAAAATCAAAAATTAAAAAGGAATATTCATCAAAACTTTCAAACACTAATTATAGTTGGCGTGATGTAAAAAAAAATACGTTACCTCAAAAAAATAAACTGGATAATCAGCTTACCAAAATCCATAAGAATGATAAAAACATAAATTTAGACAAACAAGTTGAAGTTATTGTAGAATCGTCATCAGATTCTGATTTTCCTGATTTAAAATATTTGAAATACTACAGAGTGTTTCCTAAAAACAAAACTCTTCTTACTTCTTCGCCAAAAACTAAACTTAAATCAATTGACACTAACTTAACAGTTGCTTCAAGCAAGGAAACTATATTTAAAAAAAATACATCTATAGATTGTAAAACTAGTAATGTATCTAAACAGCATATTAAATCTATTTTAAATGACTGTAGTCTTTCTGATGTCTTAGTTGTTAGAAAAGATTTTGGAGAAAGAGACGATTCAGTTGCATATAATGATTATACAAATTTCAAAGTAAATTCAATAACACCAAATGCTATTCCGTTAAACATAAGTTTAAGTGACTATAGTGTTACTATACCTAAAGAACCTTCAGTAGTGGCTATTAATGTACCAGAGTTATTTGCCAAAGATTCTGATGTTAAACAAAAAAACCAATTGAGTAAACTTAAAGATAAATCCGCAATTACATCTAGACACGCTACTACAGCACCAGAAATCTGTAGAATTAAAAAGTCAAAGAAACGTATAAATAAACCTAGCACACATGTGTTATCATCAAATAATAATTTGAGCATTTTAAAAATTAAAAGACCAACCAGGATGAACAAAAGCAATCAATCTATAAGCGACAAAATGGATATTGGTTTGGAATATAATGTATGTAACGATATGGTAGAATTAGAAAACGGTACTTTAGTACCAGCATTTTTAGCGACCTTAAATCCTAAAATAACAAATAAAACACTTTGTGCATGTGGTATTTCTTCGTCTGAAGTACCTCTCATCTGGACCGAATCTTTTCACGAAATGCTACATAAAAATGTTCATAAGTTAAATTTTAAAGGAAATATACCGAATAATGGAGTTATTAACATTAAGGAAAGTGGATTGTCTTATTTTATTGTCAAAGTAAATGGGAATTTAAAGAATGAAAAACTTGAAACAACCATACAAAATGTAAATGACTTTGTGAATTTGGAATATGGAATACTTGAACAAAACTTCAACGTATCACATTCTGTTTATTTAGCTGTAATACCTAGTTTAAAAGTGATTGGATTTTTAGCAGTAGAGCCGAAATATCATGCGTTTAAATTTGTAGACAATAAACTCACTGAAGATATAGTTCCTATCAAGTTTGGGGTGCTTAAAATTTGGATATCAATCAACTATAGAAGTAAACAAGTAGACACAAATTTAATGAACTTTTTTTTAGAAAGTGAAAAAATTTGTAAAAATGAAATTGCTTTTACATTGTCTGGTTGTGAGGGAGTTGAATTTGTTAAGAGCTTTATTGAAAATGAAAATATACTAATATATACCTAAAACTTACTAATAAAAATTAATAGCAAACTAAAAGTATTTTTAGTTAAATAAAAATATAGATCACTTGATATTACAATTTGTTTGTTAAAAGTTAAACAGTTCTTTAAAGATAAAGAATGTACGTCTTTGTTTTTTATTTATATATAGCTTTCACAAATAGTTTTCATTTATGATGTTTACCTTCTTGCTAGTCACTATTATTTTTTTTTAATTTGTATAAATCAATAAACTAGAATAGTGTTGGTTATTTAAGTAGATAATGTTCAATTGAAATAATTTTAATAATTGCATTATACATTTCTATAATTTACAAAAAAACATTTTTTTTTTTTGTTTAACACATCATTGTAATAAACAAATTTTTTAAATAATTTTAAGGAATTTACTTAAAAAATAAATCATGCTTTAATATATATTACATTGTTTATAACTAATAACTTATTCTCTAGTCAGATATTTACTAACTGTGAACTTAACTATTGTTATTGTATTTTTAAATTATGTAATATAAAAACAATTATATTATATCATTGTATTGTTATTAAATACATACAAATAAAAGTGTAGTTATGAAATATTTTGTAATACATATAATGGAGAGCAACTTTAATTGAACAAATTTGAGAAAAAACACGTAATGAGCAAACTGCAAACCAGGGGTAAAATTTAATTAGAGAATTTAACTACCCTGATATCAAAAAATATATAAGAGGTTGGATGAAAGAAACCAACGAAAATTCTAGCGTAGAAAGTAGAAACTATTTTACAAGTCTATGACTACAAAAGAACGTTTTAAAATCCAATAGTTTTAAAAAATTAGTAATATTACAGTTAAAACAACTTCATAAAGGGAATTAAAATATTTGTACTATCCTTATCAGTTATCTTATCAACACGTTTGCCGGCAAAAGCATACTTTTTAGTATTAAAAATTAAAATACCAATTACCATCGTCCATTAGTATTCTAGTAAGCTTCGCATCATGTTGTTCGTGAACTCGAGTAAGTTAAAATTTTAATTAATATATAGTGGAGCTGAGAGCAATCGCCACACAGTAATTGTTAAACTTTGAAATTGTGTTTTACTTAAAATCTCACCTCGTTCACACTATTTTAATTGGTATTTATAAAATATTATGTACTTTAGTAACTTAAATAAATTACAGGCTCACGTGTATAATAACGTATTTGAAAAGTTTAATATCTGGTGTTAGTTCGTTTAAGAATATTTAAAATGACGTTGAACCGTTATTTGTTATACTTTTCATACATTGGAACTAGATTTCGGTAAGATATTAGATATTTAATAAAAGATTTAAAAATACATATTGTATAACTAACTAAACTTCAAAAGTTGATCTTTGCATTTTAAAATTCAAAGTAATATTCAATTTGGAATTTGTCTACGTTACAAGGCACTCTTTTTTCCCCTTGTTAGTTTGGATTTTGTTTGCTAGGCGAGCAATCATCTAGTGAAAAGAAACCATCATCCCCCTCCCTATCAGGTGATGGACTAACTACCTGTCCCGGATAACGAGTTCGTCTTGTAACAAATTTATGATGGCAGCGTTGGGCTCTCATGATCTGTTAATCTCGCATGATGATGATAATGATTATAAATATCAATTAAAATTGTTTTTTAGGGGTGTACAACGACAATTAACTTATGATATCAAACATAACGATGATCCTTCTTCTATACAAGGATTACTTGAATATGCACTAAAGCAACTAGAACCAAAAAATTATCCTAGGTTACATATATCCAGTCGGTTTGTATTTTCAATTATTAATATTTTAAACATCAATTTGAATCTATTATTCAACAATTTTCTATATGAATGGTACAAAAATTTACTGAAATATGAGAATAAAGTGGAGGGAATCGATGAACAGAAATAGATTAAGAAAATCAGAACTATACAATTTATAATTTAAGTATAAAGATATATGAAGTGAAGAAACTGACCAAGGGAGGTAGTAATCTGATTTAGTTTGTCAGTTACAAGGTTGAAAATATAAAGAAAGTACTTAGATTTAGTTTTGCTAGAATTATACAGTTGTTAAAGACACTTGTAGGCAAAAAAAAATATGGCTGAATAATAAAAAAACGTTTGTTCTTTTTGGTTATATGTTAATAAAAAGTAAATTAATTTAATAATAATTTATTTAAATTAATGAAAAGATAATTATAAAAAAGCTTGATAGAATGAATTATGAACAAGAATATACATACAAAAAAAATATTAATTTTATTATTTCGATACTACTGATTTAACATAAATTAGGTACTCTCGAAATAATAATTAACATTATGTTTGACGGATTTTATTTTTTAGTACTGACCAAGGCGTACATGCTTTTAAGTCATCTGCTCATGTTGACTTAGAATTTAAGTACAACATTCATCCCAATAAGCTTGTCTATCAAGTTAATAACTTTTTGATTAAAGCACAGGTTCCAATTAGGTAAGTTAACAATTTAAAACTGACTATTATCTCAACTACCAAATGTGTCAATTTCATTATCCTTATATTGATAACCTCTGAAAGTGGCGAAACAAAAGGCATCTGAAAATGCCTCATAATAATCCTTTAGACTGTATGGGGCCCATATATTTAAATCAGTTTTCTTTTGAATAATTTATGAATTATAATTTTAAACAATTCATAAATTACAAAGAACTGAAAAATTATGTGTAGTTTTAAAAAAAAATTGGTAAGCACTAGTAAAAAATAATCACTATACATTTAGGTAATCGACATAACATAATAGACAAGTACTAAAACTTTTTGTTTGTTTTATACTGTTTATAATAAAATTAATTATTATTTTTTATATTAAAATTGTATACTTCATTTTTTTATTATTTCTATTTTAGATTAATAGGAGCTCAGTTAGTTTCTAATGAGTTTAATGCCAGAGGGTGTGCTAAATGGAGAAAATATTTATATCGGTTAGCAGTGTTAAAACCTAATAACGAAGAATTGATATCTCAAAGATACGTTTTTCCACTTCCCATAACTGAAGATCGTCGGTGTTTTTTTGTATAGTGAGTATTTAATGAACTTAGTTAGAACACAATATTTATACAAGGTGTATTGCAATGATTTGACAAACAAATTTGTATTTTCAGTGAACCAGATTTTGATTTGGATCTTATGAAAAAAGTTGTACCTTTGTTTATTGGAACAAAAGACTTCAGAACGTTTATGGCAAAACCAAAATTATTTGATAAATCTAAGTAATGTATTTAATTTTTTGGTTATAAATTTTTTTTGTGTTTATTAGTAACAACAGTATTTAGTTAATATAATTTGGAAAATGTGTAAAGTAATGTGTCTTAGTATATTTAATATTACACATTTTTTTCAGTTTTCTTAATATGACTAATACAATAAATAATATTTTGTGAAACTTAGGTTTCTTAAAATTAAATGTTGTATTTTAATTAAATAGATTGACTAACATAAATCCAAATTTCAAACATCTTTACTTACTTCAGACTTTTAAAAAAAATCTTTGATTTGACGCTCAACTAAGAAGTCTATAAAATTATAAATTTTATTTTTTAAGGAAAATAAAGTTGAACTCAAATAATAATTTCTTTTATTATAGGACTGTAGACATTAATTATCATGTATTTATATTATTTGACAGTATAACCACTGTGCGAACATGGAATAGCCTTGATATTGTACCTGGCCGCTCTTTTTACCCCACAGAATTTGACAACTATTTTAACTATTGGGATATTTATATTAATGCAAAATCATTTTTATACAAACAGGTAACATATAAAATAGTATAAATGTGTAATAATAAATAAATAAAATTATGTACACACAATAACACCTAAAGGCTATTCAGTGTAATTTTCATAATTTATACAAAATAGTATAGTGACACTAGAAATATTAATTAACTCATCACAGTTTTTTCGCTGTCACTATAGACAGTTTCACCTGTGGTTTATAGTTACTGAACTAAGAAATATTTATATTTTAGTTTTAGTTGTACAGACTTTATAAAATTAACATTGTTCTAGGTTAGGCGAACTGTTGGTGTACTTTTAGGAGTTGCTCAAAAAAAAATATCATATGATGATGTAAAATACATGTTTGATAATCCATCAAGTAAAAGCTGGAATCCTAAAGCATCTACAGTGCCAAGCTATGGCCTTTATTTGTATGATATTGGTTACGATAAAGTAGATTTAAAAGTGCCAGAACCCGTAATAGAGCTAAAAGAGCAAAATGCAGTCGACAGTGAAGTAGAAAATTGTTTGGAAATAAAGAAGTTGATAGTTAAGCAACGCATAGAAAACAGAAGAGTTGCTCTGAATGCTCGTATTTCTAAATCATTAGAAATAATTAAACGAAATGAGCTTCTTAGATCAAATACGAAGAAAGAAGAAGGATCTAGTAAACGTTGAAACTAAAGTTACTACTGAAAGTGGTAATGTTTTTAGAGAAACAAAATCCAAGGATGGTTTTATAAGTCAATTATTGTTAAATGAACATACATATGGCTATGTTGTTGATACAAAACCCGATTTAGGTATTGGCAAAGTGTTTGAATTTCTATATTTTGGCTCGCAAGATGTTGCTAATGACTTCAATATTTTAAAATCTCTAAAAATTACTGATATTTTAAGCCTAGGTGTACCCGTACCAAAGCATGACGATTATGTCTACACATTTATTGAAATATATGATTTACCTACCTTCGATTTGACAAAAATGTTTGATGAATGCTTTCAATATATTGAAAATATTCGTTTTTCTGGTCGTCGAGTATTTATACATTGTAATGCTGGCATATCAAGATCAGCGTCAATTACCATAGCATATGTCATGAAGTATTTAAACATAAATTTTGATGAAGCCTTCAAGTATGTAAAAGAAAGAAGACGGACTATAAATCCAAATGCTGGTTTTATTAATCAGTTGAAGAAATATAATGCTCAATAATTGATGTAAACATTTCAAGATAATAATTTGTACAAAAAAAAAAACCCCCGCTTAAAAATAAAATCTCATTCATTTTTTACTTAATTTACTGGTTAATTGTATATAATAAATAAAACTAAACCAAATGTAGTTTATTTGTTTATTCTTCTTTAAACTCAAAAATAATTCAATTTAATGATCCATTCATGACAGTGTAAACATTAAAAACCTAAACAAATTATTAATAGAATTAGTATACTTTCAATTTAAATCCAAATATTTCCTAGAAATTACTTATACTTTGTAATTGATATTACTGGATATTAGTTCCTATTCTACCTTCTTCCACAGTTTATTATAAGCATTAAAAACATTAGTATCAATGTCTTATTTAAGTGTTTTCTGATTTGTCTGGAAACATTTTAATATGGCCCCTCCGGCCTCCTGTAAGTAACTTGCTTTGTAAAACAACAAACTATTGTTATGTTAAACATTATATGGATGGCTCTCAAAAGATTTTAAAGTTCAAGTTAACCCCATTATCCGATCATAGGCCAAAGTTTAATGTTTGTTGAAATATAACATTACTTCGTTGGTAGTAATACCAGAAATTTTTCTAAAACTGCCAACTGGTTTACAGTTGTCAGTATCAACTCTGAAGCCTGAGCATTCTGACCATAGGTCCGATCACGGGCCATGACCTTTAGATGATGTTCTAAAAGGGAAGTCATGTGAAAAACAGTTCCCCCTCATTGGTTCTGTATATAAAAGAAAATGTTCTAAGTTTTAACCCTGACGGAAGGCTATGTATTCTGCCAAATTGTCTTCATAGTTCATGGTTTCTATATTCAGGTATGTTAGCTGCTTGTGTTATCAATTTTCACAATATGACAGACGACCGTCATCAATTCTCAAATGACAGCCACATAGGCCATAGCCGCACAAGAACATTACAGTACATTTTTTTTTTGTAAGAAAATTTTCCATTTGGAATTTTTGTATGTTACAGGCATACCTATGTCATGTACACCAAACACCGTAGATATACGTTTAGGCTTATCATTGTCCTTGATTGACGGCCATGTATCAAACTAAATTTTATCCAACTTCTTTGATATTATGCCTTTATCGTACTCCTACTTGCCTGATCTGAACATGAAATGAATAATAATACTATGCTTGTATAGTATTTGTATGACTTTGCTGTTTGTTTTGATAATTTAGTACACAACAAACATGATTCATGAATAGAAACAATTAAAGTTATCATTTTGAAAACATCGAAGATTTTCAACCAGTCGTCTCTAAATCCGTCACTGAAAACAAGAATTGGCAACCTACACTAGGTTAGTATAGTTTATACAAAGTATATTTGTCCATGCGTAAGGTTTGTACTGTCTAATAAAACAATTGCGCATTAGAATTTTGCATTCTCTATACGTTCAACCACTACTTTCGTTTGTTTCAGAATGAAATGGCTACTCTATTAGAAAATTCCAAAAGTATGACTGATTCGGAAACGCATCTCTTGTCGTTTGGTCTAGACAATTTGGAAATTGATCCTACCAGGTAAATATACTATTTTTCTAATTTTGTGTCTATTATAAACATATTTGAAAAACGCAACTCTCCATTTTTAGTCTTTCTCAATCTGTTCATCAATTATATTTTTAATTAAAGTTTGCCTTCAACAGCAAATTGTGTTAATTTTAATGGCTTGATGTGCCTACGAAAAAGTAACAATTATAAGTTTATTCAAACTTCAATATATAAATTACCTATCTACTTTCATTATAATAGTTAACATTATTAAAATATACAAGTTCTCTTTGAGGTAACTTTATTAACCGTCATTCGCTCGCTTGGACGGCAGATTGGCTGTACTTTTGAGTTTTTGCAAACATTTTCCTTAAAAGTCCCGCGGGAGTTGTAGGGGGTCATGTATTATTTTTTATTTATACTTAACCTCTCCTATATCAAGAAAAAGTTTGATCGAACCAGTCCACGATTTAATTTATAATGGTCTTTCTAAAACAAAAATACGCTTAGAAAAACAAAAAAAGTATTAAAAATATAATAGATAAGTAAAAAAAGATCTTATTTTTACACAATTATTTCAATTATTTTGATGACATTCTTTTTTTTTTTCGACATGAATTTTATCTTAAAAAGAAATACGAATCACTACCAATTTTTTTTTTTATTGAGTTACATTCACTTATTCATGATCAGCTTGTTATATTTAAGATAATAGAAACTAATTTTTTGTTCCAAGACTTAAAAATAAACTTTTAATTTTAATATTATGGGGACTATAAATATTTGAATCAACACTGTTGATTGTTGTACGGATTTTTTGAAATTCTGAGTTGTTTATCTAACTTGTATTTTTACAAAACGTTATTACCTTAAAACTGAATAGCTTGGGACATATTTTAAATAACTAGTTAGGTTAAATCTATTTAAAAATAGACTTGTATATTTTATTTTAGAACTCACAAGTATCAAGGAAATAACACAGAAAAAGATAATGATAACAAAGAACCATATCAGTCAGAATGTGTCATATGTCGTTGTATGAAAACTCAATCACTCAATTGTGTTTATCCTCAAAAGCAAAACTCCGAACCAGCTTCAAAAGAATGTATTCTAAGGCCACCTAAACTAAATAGGGTAGAAAGATGCAAACAACAATATGCTGCAGCATCTCCTGTTCCTATCAATCGAAAACAACGGAAACATTCAAATCGTAAATGGCCTAGCAACGATGAGTTATTATCTGAATTGTCATTGAACAACAATAATAATAACAATGAGTGTACTAATATAATACCTTGTAGCGATGATGTTACTATTGACGAGTTAGCTAGTTACTTTGAAGATTTAGTACACATTCCTAAAAAAATGTCAGATATGGCGGAACTGATGTACAATTAACATTATGTACCAATAATTTATTAGTACGTATACAATTTTATAAATACAAACAAACTTATTGGTATTGTTATTTTGTTTTATATATTTTTTCTTAATTACCTAGGTAAAATTGCTAAAAATTTGTATATTAAATATTTAGTTTGTTAAAATGTATTGTTATATTTTAAATATATTTTTTATGCCGTCTAAACAAACAAACTTTTTGGGTATATTTTATAGACTCTATTGTTAATTATCAGTAATATAAACCGTATATTATAATAAGCAATTTATTTAGATATTTTTTATTGTTTTTCAAAAAATAAATTTATTTATATCATTAGTTAATAATTCTTTATAAAAATTGTTATAATAGCATACCCTAGTAGTCAAGTATTTGTATTCGGCATGTTTTATTTAAATAATTTGGTATTAGATGAAATATAATTTTTAAAAAATGTATATGTTTACTAAATTATTTTAATAATAAATACCTATTATGTTTTATTTTAAATTATTTTTGGTGAATTATAAAAATAAGTTAATCAAGTTTTACTTTAAATCAAATTTATGTTGCAATTTCTGAGCGGTATGTACACTTGTTAATTTTAAAAATTCTAAGTTTATTTGTTTGTGAAATTTAAATGTGGATAGTCTTTCAATTAAAATATATAACATAATGTGTACATATTTCTTGTTCTACATTTATCATTATTTCTTTCAAAATAGATGATTTTATTTAGCCACTCTTCATTGGTAAGGTTTTCTTTGAGGTTTATTGTGTAATTTGTAAAGATTATCAAGATTTTTTTATAGAAGTATGGTTTGAAAAATTAATGGTTAAAATTGAATTGTTACTCAAATACAACATAAATGTAAACTGTAGATTACTACTAAATTAATAAGTTTAAAAATCACTCATAAGGACTGAACTATAAAAACTTACAGAATATAATGACCGTGGGTTTAAACAAAAATAAACATTTATTGAAACTAAATTCTTTAAAATCAATCATTGTTTATTGGAACAGCTTAATAATTTTTCTGTTTTGCTTTTCGAACTATTTGCACATCCTTTTCCACAACAGCCATTAGCTGGTCGATAATTTGGTGTCCACGCTCCTAAGCTATTGTTACTGTAATAGTCCATCGGATAACTTTCTTTGTCATTGAAATCAATTTGACCCAATGCTACAGCGCCTTCATATGGTGACAAAAATGGTTTTTCAAATGCTGTGCCCCAATCAATTGACAAACGAGGACACGCTATCTGAATCCACGCATCTACCGAGTTGCCAAAACAAGAAAGTTTTTGTGGAAATATTTCTGATAAAAGAATAGTTACACTTTTTTTTGATAACGATTCTATTTGATCCTAAAACGGCATTACAAAAAACAATTATTTAACATTTTTTATACAGATGTAGATTTAAATTTTCATAAATAGTTAAAGTTTAATAGTTATACATAGCTCACAGTAACAAAACATTTGTATGATTTTGCTATAATGAGATTTGTTAAGAAGAAAGAAATATTTATGCATATTTAAGTAATCTATAATGTTAACTTACATGAAAATAATTCAGTACTTTAGTGCTTCCTTGTCTACCAAGAGTACCCAAAATCAATCCAATTGTATTGGCATCTTTAGCTTTTTCAATGGCATTACATCGATTTTTTTTCATAATATCATGCTCGTAATATTCTCTAGTCATTTTTTTCTCATACGGATCATATCTAAAGTTTAATAAATACAGTCAATTACAAAAAAATTAACACTAAAAATACCATTCCAATAAAATTTCGTATTAAGTCTATATTCCCTCCAACTGGGGCTCAAACGGTTGCAGATTTGTTATTTTTTATATAGCTGGCTGCCGACCTAATGCTCTCCCCAAAAGATCCCTACAAACACTTGCCTGCCTGGAGAAACAAACCACCAGTAGCTGAGATTCAAACTGGCAATCTTGCATTATTACACTGCAGCCTTATCTCACTTAGCCTTTAGCTTATAAAAATATATAAAATGCTTACCTATATGCTTCAAGAAAAGGGTTAGCAATCATTATAGATTCTAAATGGAAACGTCCATCACCTAGATATATCAGACAATCAGCATCAGTGACTTTTGGAGAGGTACATCCTAGAATTTCTCCAGGCGATAATGGTTTTTCTTGAGGAACTTTAACATTATACCTATAAATAAAAATATTCACATAATTTTTTTTTAACAGAATAAGTTCAAATAAAAACATTTTAAACTATAAATGTTTACTATTACTTCCATAAAATCGTGGTACAGAAATAACTGTGGTACCTTAACTTAAACCACAATAGTAAATGTTTTTTTCTTCTATTCCTTAGATTTTAGAATATATTATTCACTAATTAGTAATTAGGTACCATATGGTTTTAAAATTGCAATTTACCCATCAAATTTAAGACGATTTATCAGTCCTTGCAAAGTAGTTACAAATTGAACAGTGCTTACAAACAATAATCTCTGTTGCTTTGTAAAGTTTAGCTTGACTGTCTCAACTAGATGAATAGCATCAACCTTAATATCTACAAAAACATATAATACTTTTACTCCTTCAGTCTGATCGACTGGTATCAGACAACTATGTCCATAATGAACAAGCAAATCAACACCGAGGGCATTGGCGGTAAAATCATCAACGCAACAAGCTCCATATGTTACATCACCCATAATCACAGTGTCAGCTTTGGTAAATCGTTCAATTATGTCGCATAATTGTATTGCAAACATAGTTAAACCTTCCGGCATTTGTAATGCAACTCGTTTGGCTTGCATTTGTCTTAAACGCCATATCGTCTTGGGCAATTCAAAATTATAGTTAGATGGTAATGACTGTGTGGCTGCAATTAATTCTGGATCATTGATAATTTCATCTGGTATTTTATTCAGTACTTTAGCAGATGGTCGAAACACCTTTCGATCTGTATTTGCCTTGACGACTACTGCATCTGACATGGTTCAGCTGTACAGTATAACGTTAAAATAACAGGGAAAATGCAAATTTTCAAAATAAAATTATTTTTTTGTTATAAATACTAAAATTTGTTTATAACAGTATTTTGATTTATATAATAAAAATTCACTATTAAGTATTTACTTTTTCAATAAAACAAAAAGCACACATGTAATGTGTGATAACTGATAGCCATAGATAAGACTCATAGACCTCATATAGCCGCTGTATACTAATAGTTTTATTTTTGGCGGGGAGAGTAAAATTTTTATATTTGAATAAATCTATTAAAAATATATTTATATATAATATACCACAATATTAACACCACAGAAATCTTAATATCTTATTGTTATTTTCATTAAAGATCCATTCAGTAACATTTTATTATATTTAATATTTAAAAGACAATGGGTACTGTAAATGTCGTCAACTAAACTCTGTACAGATCAAACAAAGATTAGAATTGATAAGCTTAAATGTATGAGGAATACCCATCAGCTTTTAGCTCCACTTTTACCTTTTAGCTACACTAAACTATTACATTATTGAAAAAGTATATTACCAACAATGCAGTATAAAAAATTATCAAATCAACATTTGGCTGTATTCTACAAGTTACGACCCTCCAATATCAACATAACAATATTCTAAACAGTTCCTAAAAATCGTTATCTTAATATATCCAGTTTCCTATATCATTAAAATCCTATTTTAAATAATACAATTTTTATAGAAGAATACACTATACACAATACTCTGATCGACATAAAAATAGACTCGCCAAGCTATTAATATAAATTAAAAAGCATCAATTCAATGAAAAACTTTCTACTGTTAATAATAATTTAATAATCAATTTAAAGCAACACAAATTTATTACAGATTAACCACAGATATGTCCAAAAACAAAATATAATAATAAAATGTTAAACAATAAAAACTAAATAAAGTAATTCAAGGAACCAGAGTAGTAATATTATCAAACAATCCCAGAAGTTATATAATTATGGTTTTGTTTAACGGGAATACTATAATTACAATTAGAAGTATATGGATGATGAATTTGTACGTTATTTATGTAATTCAAGTATGCATACTTATTCGACAAATATACTAGTTAAAAACTTATAGTACTAAAGGAATATAACTAAAACATTAAAATGATTACTTAAAGATCATAATAAAGATTGTGCTATTTTTTTTTTATTAAATATTTATCTTTAAAAGGTTATAATTAGTGATTTTCCAAACATAAATTACATGAAAATAATATTTTTAGACAAAATTATGTCGGTTCGCACTACATTTTTGATACAAGTGATTTTAATTGAATTGCAGTTAAAATAAGATCACAATTCAAATTGAGAGTTCCAATGAAATTCACAAAATGAAATTTCCACACTTTTAAACTTTGTCGTCTGAAAAAAATTAATGTTTTATGAATTTGTAAAAAGAATGGAATAATTTTATTCACGTACCATGATACCACCATTTGGTTTTTTTAGGATTTTTATTGCAAGTTTTTATGTAAAAACTATTGTCAGGAGGTCTTTTCTGAAAGAAAAAAATGTATTAGAAACTCTTTACATTTCAGAGACTAACAGTCAAGTTATATCTAAACCGTTGAATTGAATACAATAACCTACAAGTAAGTTTAATAACAATGACATATACAGTAATAGATAAATGGGTAATTTTATAAATATAAAATAGTTAATGTAACATTTTATAAGTACAGTTTTGTGGTATTTGGACAGAAGAGAATATTAAAACTATAATGTACATGTAACATGTAAAATTTAAATGTTAATGAAAATTTTTGATGTTGTGGCCAAATTTTCATTAGTTGTACAATAATAACCTATTATTAATATTATTTCATTTATTTATATATAATATAAACCTTTTACTATTATATGCTTATTCGTTGTTTAAATGTTTACATCCCATTTAAGAATGGAAGAAAAACCACTTGACTAAGATAATATTAGGTTATATTTTAGATTACTTATTGAAGTGCATTGGCCATTGCAAAATAAAACGCTTGTATATTACGTATAAAATATTACCTTTTCCTGGCAGCTGCTTAACATGGAAATTATTGAGAGGCATACAGACTGAACCGATAAAGCAGGTGACCAGTCATCAGTTAGAATTGATAAACAAATATGTCCATTACTATAGACATGCGGATGTATTGGAATGTTTTGGCCCACAAACGTCACCTTTTTGTAAATAAATCAATGTAATTGTATGTAAGAATAAACTTAATTGCTAATCTTATAGTTTACCTCTGGAGACTCAAATGGATAGCTGTTACCGAATTTAAATTGTAATTGAAATTGTTCTCCATCATACAAAGTACCTTCTGCACCTTGCATATTAATAGTCCAACTAACATAACATATTAACTATTACTTAAAAACATTATTAATTTTAAATAACACAATAATAACTATTTCTTAAACTATTAAAAATTAACAATTACATAAAGAATCAATTTTAATAGATGTATTTTAATAGATTTCAATAACCTTTTTTAATTCAGTGAATTAATATAAAATACTATGTACTAAGAAGATAAGAAGAATTGAAGATTGTTTTTTTTTATAATTGACCGATGGAATTTGATCATAATTATTAATTAAAATTACTAGACCACTAACACATTAAGATTTTGTTCAGCTTGATCAGCATCAACAACCATTCCTGGGGGTGGCTCTTTAACAAGTGAAACAAGCTCTTTATGAAGTCGTTTCTGTTGAACAAAAATAAATCATTTCACATGATTTTAATATTTACAATAAGTTAAAAATTGAGTACGCACTTCGGATGGTGTTTTCCCAGCCATTTTATGAATAGTAACTATAAAAATATGACTGTTTTATTTATAATATTATTATAAAATTGTTCATTATTGAAATTTATTAGATCATTAAAAGAACACGTGAATAATCGAAATTAATGAGTTGTAACGTCATAGTAATATACAATTTAATAGTAGAGAATAATTTAAAAAAAAATTAATTTTCGTGTTTCGTTTTTAAAAAGTCTATTTCATTTCGGATATTATAATTTATAATAGGTAAAATAACAAAGAATAATCTTGTCTCTTATCACAACTCGCAGAGTGCATTTTGCTCGATTTTCCTATTTTGACACCCCAGCTGATCATTTTTACTATGGAAAAAAAACTCAAGAAAATATTTTGTACAGCAGCTGTAGTAAGATAATCACGATAAAATTATATTTCTTTTTTTTCAACTTCCACAAATGTGTTCAAATAAAATTGAGAAATTAACAACAGTAGCAACTTATGGGCACAAGTTTGTACAATGTTTTAAGTTTTTTAATTTTTTCATCTCGTTTTAATTTTTTTATGCGATTTTCAATCATCACAATCTTATACATTTAGCCTGATAGGAGAAATCGATAAAAATCGTCTTCGGTTTTTCTTCCATGCGCATGGATATTGGATAACTTTGAGTTTTAGCATGCAATCCACTTGTCAGGAATTATTACGGTCTCCGGCACTTCTTGATTCTCGAATCTCCGTAGACACTAGACTGTAGATTCACTGACTTATTACTCTATTTAGTATTTTAGTCCCTGTAGTCCGTTGACCGTTCCCTTTCGACTTTGCCGTAGTGTTAATTCGGTCACTCGCTTATCGTATAGCGTTAAGTTTAATGCCCAGGATTGACTACCCACCAGATTACTAGTTACAAGACTTGGGCCTTGGCTATTGTTCCGAATCGCTTGGTAAGTTTGTGGTTGCACCCACGTATATGTTACTTAGTACGCGTTAATTTTTTTACCAACAGTTAAATAGCTATCGTTAGTTAATATTTTTTCATCATACAAAATTAACCAAACCAATCGGGGTTTTGTGGTAATTTTCAAATATCATTAATCCATTGCATAATGCCATCTAGCATTTTCACGATTACTTCATTACCCAAGACTTTAAGCAACTAATATAATATAGGCGTCTGGCATTTAGCTATATCTTTTTTTAAATGACCTCTGAACCGACATTTTTGGCTCGAGTGAATCAACTTTTAAATATACTGCTTGCCCAAAGTAATTATACAGTTTTTAGTTTATGTAGGTACATTATGTTTATCGTATCACATCAACCTTTCAAAATCATCTTGGTGTTACAAAGCCTTCATAATACAGTTTGGTGAAGTTCAGAAATTTTTCTATTTTTATTGTTCACTACAATTGCCTAAGAAAATTGTGCATGTACTGTGTATCCAATTCTTTCACTGTCGTTCAACGATTAGAAAAATAATTGCACTAGCTGTATAAGTTCCAAACACGAGCATAAAAACATTTAAAAATTTTACATTTAAGATACAAGATTACTCAGTTGTAATAAATTGATGATTATTTCATTGGCTTGCATTGTAAATCTTCAATTATTTTCCACCTTTCTCCATATGGATGTATTTTTGTACAGGGTGTCATGTAGAGTTCTACCGAGCTTCAAATGAGGCATTCAGGATGCTCTATGGGTACAATAAATGGTATTCATTTTTTTTTTTTTAATTTTAAAATTATTTAAAATAGAACTGTATCTCATTAAAAAATTGTCTTACGAAAAAAATAATGTCAGATTTAAAATCGGGAGAAAAAATCTTGTTGAATTGATATGTAACACGATTTTTTTGGTATCTGGCCACTTTGCGTCCACCAAGTGGCCGGCATGTGACTAAAACCAACATATGGCATGCGACACATAATTTAATATAAAATAATTCTAACGACTATGAATTGAGAATAAAATTCTAACTGTTGATGATGTGTCCCTTACCATATTATGTTGGTTTCGGTCACATGCCGGCCACTCAGTGGCTACTTGGTGGCAAATGTGGCCAGATACCAAAAAATCGTGTTACATATCAATTCAACAAGATTTTTTCTCCCAATATTAGATCTGACATTATTTTTTTCGTAAGACAATTTATTGATGAGATACGAGTTCTATTTTAAATAATTTTAAAATTAAAAAAAAATTAATACCATTTATTGTACCCATAGAGCATCCTGAATGTCTCATTTGAAGCTCGGTAGAACTTTACATGACACCTGTATATATTTTACATATTTCACCATTGTGCATGTATTAAACTATCTTAAAAATTAACTATGGATTCAATAATTATGTGATTCCTATAAAGAACTTTAATGAAATTAGTTTAAAACCCTAAACTAAAAAATTTAATTGTAAGTTATGGTTATCACTTACAGTGTATTGTTTTTAAAATGGAGTTGGATATTTATATTATTTAACATTATCATTACCCATAACTAAATTAGTAAAATTGCAGTTTTTAAATTGAAATAAAAATATTAATTTTTATCTTATTGTATAAACAAAAATGTTTTATTAAAATTTCTTTAAATTGTTTTTACATCAAAAGACTTTGGTGTGATTTAATTTAGGCAAAGTTGTTGTGACGGCTGATCGAGTACTATTGTTTATGCACCATGAAAATCTGGTCAGTTCAACATACATTTAATTATCCATGGGAAACAGTGGTACAAGCAGCATGGAACAAATACCCTAATCCAATGAATACAGCTGTTCTGGGTATAGACGTCATTGATCGACAGGTAATAAATGGAGAATTACATTCACATCGGCTAGTAACCACTCGCTGGACACTACCAAACTGGGCTTACGCGCTAATGGGTCCAATTAGTACATTTTATGCTAGTGAGTATTCCAAAGTCAATCGAGATCGAAGACTATTGAAGTTAGAAAGTCGAAACTTATCACTGGGACAATATGTAATAGTTCGTGAAAAACTAACATATAAGCCACATCCAGATGATCCACATAAAACATTGCTCAAACAGACAGCTTATGTTACCGTAGAAGGGCTACCATGTAGTGGATATATAGAAAATATTCTTACTAATAAGATTTCAGGCAACGCAGCTAAAGGACGACAAGCTATTGAATGGGTAATTGAAAAATTCCAGCAAAAACAACCTATGTAAAGAGAATGAAATTAAACTTGTCAGTTTTATTTATATTGTATGATCAGATTGGACTTTTGGTTGTACTGAATCGGCCATAATATTAAAAATTCCTATTTTATATATTATTATTATTATTACAATTTTTTTTATATTGTATAATAAAAATGGGAATGTGTTATGAAATTTGTATTAAAATATGTAGATTGTTACAAAAAATGATTAAAATTTAGATAACTTTAATATTTTGTTTTTATTTCTCAGCTTTTTAGTTATCCTAATGAATAGAGTATTTTATGGAAAAAAATAATTAATCATTATATACAAAAATCAATACAAATTTACTGTGAAAAGACATTTTCAAATTATTTAGGTCTGTTGTAACTTGTATAATTTTATTATGAGGTTGAAATTAATAAATTAATACAATTGTTTCGAAACAATAGTTTAAAAAGAGTTAAATAAATAAATATTTAATAGCTTAATTTTACGTGTTCAAATTTTTAATAATGTAAGCAAAAAATATAGTGGTATTTTTAGGTAAACATGACATTTACTGTTATAAAGTTAAATGTTACATATAGAATTTATAGATATCTAAAACTATGCTACTATAGGCCAACTAAAAAAAAAAAACTAGATCCTACAAAATATGAAGTTTTGTGTTTTTAAATTGTACTCCTGAAGCTAAGATATAATTCACAAAAAATAATGTTAATTTTATAGCGTGGAGAAGATTGTTGGTTTTAGTTTAATAGTTAAATAAAGGTCATATCAATTAAATAATAATGTGTTATAATTTTGTATGGAACTAGTTATATGAATGGATCATTCTGTGATGTAAAATAGTTAATTAAGATATAGAAAGCTTATTATTAGACTGGTAGAGGTAATTAGTAAATACAAAAATTATATAGAATTTGACTTAGATAACTGTTATTTATTAGATAAGTATTTGACGTAACTTCATGTTTGTTGAGCTTTTATTCAATGTGTAATTCATTTGATAAATTTCTTCATCTATATAAAACCCACAGCTAATTTATATTTATTAAATATAATTGACCATTAAAGTATTCTATTTGCCGCCTAATTGAGCACTACGTTTTTAAATTATTCAGTATTTTCGAATAACTCTTCTATCCCTGTTGTCAATTGAGATCAATTAACTTTCTCATTCAGCGAAGCAAAAAATAAAATTAAAACTAAAAAACAATCAATATGGAATTTAATGAAGGTGATATGATGCTTTGGTTTCAGTCGTGTAAAATACTTGCACTATGGACGACGAAAAGGATATAGGAAGCAGTTGGCCATTAAAAGAAAATAACACAGAACATATTATTCAACCAGATTTGCTGTGCCATCATGCCATCGCAACTGACACTCAAATAATAAGTAATTTACATTTAAGTTTAAATGAATCTATGCATAGCAATACATCTAGTAAGCAATCTAAAGATGAATGTGCGTTTTTGACAAACAATCTACAAAGTGTGCACTTGACTCGTGATAATCCAACTTCAATCAATTTACCATCAAGACGACGTCATTTAATTCCTGTAAATAATAGAGCTGAAGACTATAGCTATGAATCAAGCTCTGATAGTGAATTTAGTGACAATCCTGACAAATTTCTAAATATTGATCTTGGAACAAGAACAATTCCTGAACTTACAGCTGAAGAAGAACTCAAAGAAGAGCGTAGCTGGAGGTCTTGTACGGTAACTGGAATTATTAGTAAAATTGATATGAAAGTAATAGAACCATATAAATGCGTTTTATCACATGGTGGATACATGACGGCTGGTTCACATAATGCTATTATTATTTTTAGTGCTTGCTACTTACCACATCGTAATCGTGTTGATTACAACTATGTAATGAATAACTTATTTGCTTATGTCATTTCGACTTTGGATCAGCTGGTTACTGAAGATTATGTCTTAGTATATTTACAAGGAGGTACTTCTAAAGATTGTGTTCCTAGTTTCTCTTGGTTAAAACGCTGTTATAAAATGATTGATAGGAAATTAAGAAAAAATTTGAAATTTTTATACATGGTCCATCCTACATTTTGGTTAAAAACTCTTGTTTTAATGATCAAGCCTTTTGTAAGTTCTAAATTTGGTAATAAAATTCACTTTGTCAACAGTTTAGATGAACTCTATGAAAGTGTTCCTGTAGAAAGAGCCAGTATACCAGATAAAGTTAAACAATTTGATAGTACTAAATCAATTCCTAATAAATAAATAATATTCACGAATGGTACATTAAATAATAGGACGTCAAATATTTAGTACAATCATTTTTGTTTTTAAATTATCTATTTTTAGTAAAAACGTACGATTTAATAATAAAAAAAAATAGTACCCGTTTTTAATAACTTTGTGTTAATAGTATTTAAAATTATGTAGTCTAAATATTGACTCCAAAATTATTCTTAAGGTGCACCGTGCCAGTTATTTATTATGGGGAAAAAGATGAGCAACATGTAACATGAATTATTCTAAGAGGCATTTCAACCATGCCAACTACCACATTTTTTATGTGTTTCATTAGTACATCAAAAGTTTGATTAAAAATAATTTTACATCATAAATACAGTTTCTCACTTATAATATCAAGTTAGTTTAAATAAACCCTTATTTTAGTATTTTTAATAGGTATTCATAGCTTCAAGTATTGTAATTTTGAAATCAGTGACAGAAGTGGATATCCACTTCTGTCACTGATTTCAAAGTTTTATGAACGACAAAAAAGAAAAATGAAAGTCCGACTCTGGAATATATTTTAGAATACAAAAATTGAATGACAATTTAATTAAAGAAAATGTACACTAAGAGTTTAAATAATTATATTTTAATAAGAAAATATTTGGCCATACAATTCTGAAAACCTCTTTATCTCGGCATCAATTAAAAATTATTTTAATACTTATATTTCGTATTGTGTTAAAATCAAACATACTACCTCAAGTATCAAGTTCTATTAGGTACAGTATAGTTTTATTTGATAACAATGATTAAAATGAAAATATTTTTGAAATTAAATCTTGAAGCAGGAAATTTAGTATTGGAAAATATGTGTTTACAAATTCAACTTATTTAATTCATTGAAAACCAGATAGTAAGAAATAAATAATAATATGTAAAACATCATAATTAAGAAACACTTAAAAGAAGAATATCATGATAAAAGTATAATATAATTAGGTGTTGTATTTTTTCCCACTAATTAGGCAAATCAAGATCCTCATTTAAAATTATACATTTTTTAAGTATTACTAGGTACTGTAACATCTGTTGTTTATTATTTAGTGTAACTGAAAAATATGAATGTATCCATGATTCCTTTTTATTTGTAAATACTGTAATTAATTTAATTATAAATAGTAAATCTTTTTCTTTTCCTTCACCTTTATGTCAACAATTTGGGGTTGGCCACCGTTGTCCTGAACTTCAACATGTCACTTATAGTCCTCATATAATTCTCAATCACATTCAACTACCTCTTTTCTTTCCAGGTTTTATTTTTAAAACCATTCTTACTGCTTCCGATTCCTCTCTCCTCATAACATGACCAAATCATCTCTGTATATTTTCTTTCATTCAGACCGAGATGGTTTAGGCAATTAAAAAATAAATCTTAATTTAAATTATTTAAAGAAGTCAATTTTTTTTCTTTAAAGTATAAGTTATTTAAATAGTCAATATTGTTAATTAAAAATTACGATTATACTATATTATGAAATAGTCATATTGTGCCTTTTAAAATATACACACAAAGTAAACTCGTATACTATTATAATATACTCATTACTTTATAATCAGTATTAAATTTGTACCAATTTTTGTTTTACTTTAAAATGCTTGTTCTTATATTAGTATTTTATTCTTATTATTTCATATTTTATCTAGTCTAAGTAAAATTTAGTTGTAACTATATTATGTTGTCTTCATAAAAACCTTCAATATTAAGACCAAGACTGTTATCAAATAATTTAATTAATATACTTTTAATTAGTGACACACAATTGGTTATAATTTTATATCAATAAATAAATTATTATTATTATTTAAAAAAAATTGTTGTTCAAGTATGGTATATTATATTGTGAATGTTTTTATATATTTCTATAAATAGGCATACATCTTTTTACTGAGTACCACATTATGTATTACAAGTTATATGTAGTGAAGGTAAATATTATCCATAGTTATTGCAGAATATCATTGAACATGAATAGTGTAATTAATTTTGAATTCAAAATTTCTACTTAAAAATAAAATACAGGTATTTAAAAATATACATCACATCGTCGCTAATTTACTTTTATTTTTGTACTTGTACAATTTTTTTTTTACCATTAAAGATGGCTTATAACTTACAATAAAATGTTAAATAAGAACTCAATTATTTAGTAATTTATTTTATAATTAATAATTATACATGTTGTCTAAGCTTAGCAAATATTGTTCCCAATGAAGTTTAACTAGGTCATTCCTAAAAAAAAAAAAAAAGAGATATTGCCAACACTGAAATAATATATATATTAAAATATTTATTTGAGCAAAACATATAATTGACCCCTAGGTATACTGATTAAAGTTACTAAATCTCAAAAAATGTAGTTGCAATTTTATTTTGTGTAACATTGACTTGAACATATGTGTAGCTACAGCTGACATATAAAATGGTTAATCCAAAATTGAATTATTTCTTCAAAGATTGTAAATAAAGACCAAGTCCTTTTTGAACATTTGGTGATTGCATAAATTGTAATACAAAATCAAGATCTTTTTGTTTATTTTCAAGTAACCATTGTACAGTTGGTTGACGACTTATATCTTTGGTCATTTTAAATGCCCAAGCTAAAAAAAAAAGTACAAAATCAACAAAAGAAAGTCCATTACACACATTTATTGTAAACATACGTGATATTTTTTGAAAATTATTCAAGAACTTAATGCCTTGTTCTAATGCACGACTCGCATCAGGTACACTTTCATCGATTAATCCGATTTTTAAAGCTTCTTCTGTAGAGTACATTTTACCAGCTATTAAGGACAACTCTGCATTTCTTTGGCCAATTACTGCAACTATAGAATCCTGAAACCTATAGTGTAAAATATAAATGGCAAATAAATATTTAATAAGACTCGATTCACTGGAAAAATAGAACATTCAGTGTACCATTTTGGAGCCACAATTCCTAGTTTGGTTTCATTTAAACCAATTGTATATTTTGGCCCAACCATAATTCTGTAGTCACAACTCAATGCTAATAAGCATCCTCCTGCTGGACTATGACCCTAAAAATGTTTTATTAATCATCAGAGCACAGGACTTAAAACACTTCAAAAAAGCGCTTAAAAATTTAATTATGCAATCAAATAAGCAAAAAATGGTGTCTTGTCAAAAATTCAAGTTATCTTATAAAATATTATACTTTGTCCCAAATAGGAAAGCCAGAACAGATGACAAAATTTGGTCTGTCTCACATACCCCCACGCCGCACTGTGCCTAGCACTCCTTTCAGGTGGACAGCTGTCGGCAATCATCAGACAACATCGTCGTCAGTATTTATTAACAACCGGGTGCATAGAGGGTTTGACGGGTCTGGTAGTGATAGAGGCCTCAATCGAGATGCGCAAACTGCTGTCTTTCTTATTTGGGACAGAGTATAGATATTTTTGCCTATTCTGAGAATATTTCTTTTAGACTACATAAATACAGGATGATATTAAATTAAATGAAAAATGTTTAATATTAAACAAATTTAAAACAAAATACTTCTGAATCATATTCAAATAAATAAAAATTGTTTAATTTTAAACCAATTAAAATTAATAACGGGAAGTAAAATCCGATATGCTAAGAATCAATTATTATAGTTTGTTTTTTCATATTGTAGCATTATTACAGCGTGAAATATGTAACATGGACAAAATGTTTGGGCTGGGGTCTATATATCAAATTTATAACACATCCATATTTCAATGTTTTTCCATAAAGAAGAGTAATGTGCAATTTTTTATTTTCCCATGACTTGTGATGCAAGAAGTAAATAAAACAACAAAACAAATACAAGTTAAATTATTTATAGTTTTATTTCTATCGCACGCACACTGAAAAAATATACGGGGTTTTTTCATTGGCCAGCATCATTGTATATTAGAATGTATGGAAAAAAAAGCATTTTATTTTTAAAGCTAGCAAAATAAGCAAAATTCAGCACTTTCAAATTTCATATATGAAATTGTTGTAACGTGAACACTCATTAAATGTCAAATAAAAATAAAAAAAGCAAATTCTTTAAGTCCAGAGTCCTGCTAATCATAAATTTTATATTAAATTTAATGTTATTTGTTTAACACTTAATTAAAAATGAATTGTTACTAATGAGTAAATCTTTTAAAAAATTTAGAGTATTATGCAATCTTATATTAATTAAATAGTTAAGTTAAAATGATTAAGGTTCAATATATTTTTTTCGTTTTATTCTCATAAACATATTTCTTATGGATACTTATCTGTTCAAGAATATTCTCATTAGGTTTTAAATCGAAATTTGGAGTATTTTAGCACATACACAAAAGGTATGCTGTACCATCTAATATAGACTTCAAACTTAAAAAGTGTTATCCTCAAAATCATATATTTCAAAACTGTGGGAAGATAGAAAACACTAATTCAGCAATTAATCTATTTCTAGTATTTAAATTAGTTGAATTAAAAAAAATAATATTTATTAACCTTTTTTGTTTAAAAAATGTTCACCAAATATTCTCAGATTTTCTCAATTAGAGCTCTAGTTTTATTTTGAGTAGGTATAATATGAATACTTATATTCAAATGAATAGTTACATTTATGACTGCTGCTGTAGGAAAAGGTGTCAGGTAGAGCGCTAACCATGTTTCTTGAACTGTTGTCCAAAATTCAGCTAATCTACTGAGATCGGGCTTATAAAATTCTGTAATATCTAAACCAGCACAAAATACATTCTGCAAGCTCTAGGATGAATTAAAAAAAAAAATTGATTTAATTATTCGTGTTTTAAAAAGGTAATCAATAACTTACAGATGTTAATATCATTCCTCGAGCTTTATCATTTTGTAACTGATGAATTTGAGTTTTAAATTCATTTAAAAACTCTAAATTCAAACTATTTACAGGGGGTTTATTTAATGCTACTGTCGCTATACCTAAAACATTGACAATTGCCAAATATAAATTATTTTTAATACATACTTAACAATCATTAGATGCAAATAAAATATAATAATATATTATAGTTACCAGTTTTTTCATCTGTTGTTGATGAAAGCATAGATTGTGATGCATACCGACGGTTAATTAGTTTCAGAGTTTTATTAAGAGTATGTCGTCCAAGCATAGTGAAAATGTATAAATAACTAAAACTGGGAACAATAATAATTATTACGAAAATTAAAATCGGATAATCGGACAACAAAAACAATAATTAGGTCAGATTTTATCGTTCTTTTTTTAGAAAGAAGATAAAATAAATGTGTTATCAATAAAGCAATGTAATCAATTTCAGGTGAAAATTGTAGTTTTAACTAATCTAAATTTGAATGAATTGTTTAAAGTAATACAATCGTTTGTAAATCAAAACAACTAATTCTATACCAGGTACCAAGGGCCTCGAGTTTAACCAACCAACTGTAAAAAAATAATTATAGTAATTACTGTTACTATTGGTTTTACTACAAGAGCAGCAATTTGCGTTGTCAATTGATCAAGTGATATAAATTTTCAAATAGTTTTAATTATCCCACCAACTGTTTGTTATCGCTTATCACCAACACAACAAGTGTATTATATCATAATTAATTAGTTGGTACTTATATTCTTGTAAATTTTGTTGGACATGAAATTAGAAGAGACAAAGAAGAGTAACGAGTATGGTGATTGAAGTATAGATTATTAAATATGAAGTCAATAAAACTATTGTTAAATCTTCATACTGCTTTTAATGTTTATTATTATTGTTTCATGCATTGTATTATATATTTAATAAGAAATCTTATACTACTTTTTAAAACGTAACTTAAAAATTAGAAGTTTTAATATTAACCTATTAAAAAATAATAAAACAAATATTGTACATGAAAATTACATACATATATTTTTAATATTAAATGCATTTAACATATTTTCTTCAAACATATACGATTTTAGGGGTTTTTCTTTTCCTGAATAATTATTATTTGATAAAAATGTTTGATTGATAAAAGTTAAATATGAAACTGCACATTGATACATTCTTTCAGATACTTGTATTTCAGTTACTAAAAAATTGTTCTTCCATTCTTCAATAAACTCGCTTGATGTATGCCAAATTATACTTGAACAATTTTTTCTAGTTAATTTCAAAACATTTTTTTCGCTAGAATTTATGCAAACTGCGATTTCACATTTTTTAATGACTTTCATTGAAAGAAATTGGCTACAATTTTTTGAATCTCTGTACTCGATAATCACATGGGATATGGGTCCAAGCATTGCTTTGATAATGTTATCCATGGTAACAGCAAAACAGTCAAATGAACTAACATTCATTTGTACATCATCACAGTCGTATTTTAGAATTATAGAGTCCAACCAAAATCTTACTCCATATTCTATACCAATACCCAAACATAAATTACAATTATTACATATTACTATTTTGTGAGACCTCCACAACTTGTTCTTTATGTACAACGATATTTTGTCATAATAGCAGTCGTTTTCTTGTGGTTGAAATATCAAGTTTTCTGTACCTCCATGACAAAACATATTAGTATCTACCTCCCACAACTCCACTGGTAAAACTCTGTAAAAACTAAATGGTTGGTCAGATAGCAATGTTTTACAACCACTACATGATATTAAAACTTTTTCAGCAGTTTTTAAACTAGGCATTTTATTTGAAACAAAAGTAAAACACGAAGCCTCAGTTGAAGGACTGCAAGCTAATTGAGCCCGGAATATTAATTTATTGTTTTGAACTTGGATTTCTCTAAAACTATTCTTTTCAAATGTGTACTCTTCAATTTCTAATAAATGTACTTTGTTGGCAATTGTTATTTTAATCGTTTTGGCTTCAACTTCAATTTGATTGACTTCAGGTATCTTGTTTGAAAATGTTACATAAACTTGACATGACAACACATAAATTTCAAATTCAATACATGCATGTTGAATAAACATTTTTGGTTTGTAGCTTACAGAGTACAGGAACTATGGAGTAGTGAACACAAAAAAATAAAAATAAATTAATTTGTTGAAAAATAAAATATGTAATAAATTATGTAACTTCAAGAATAGACCAGGCACAATTCAAAACCGTTATTATAGTATTAAATCTAGCAAAAAAATTCATAAAGAACCACCATGAGTCAAGTTGGAAACACCAAAATTATTAACACAATAATTTAATGTACCCACATTCGTAATACTTTTTCGATCTAAATGGTTAATCGAAATTTAAATTCTGAATAAATGGAGCCAAAACTTAGATACAAATTACAATCCACATGAATGATGAACTAGTAAGTAATCTATAAAATGTTTACAAAATAAACTCATACCAAATTTTAAAAGACGTCCTACCAACTCGTATTAATAACAATCACGGTATGGCTGCTGCTGTAAGTTCTCAGTAGTCAGTACAAATATACGGCCACAGCCGTTTTTTTGTTTGATTATCAATTATCACTTATCACAAGTTACTGTGTAGAGAAGATCTTCTCTACATCGTGCATTCCGCATTCCTATTTATATTTTGCAATGATATCAAATCAGATTTATAAATGTTGCCTTTTGTTTGGTATATGGTTACCAAAGACCTTATACTAATAGACGGAGGATCCAAAATGTATTATCAGCATTTATATACTCGTCTGCGATTGGCTCATTTCCGCATTTGTGATCTTTATTCTTTTACCCACGGACTATAATAGAGGACTGGAAACGACACTCATATCAATAGAACCGAAGTACAACGCTTGCTAGTAGTTTCACTAGTTAGTACAAAGACGCTCTTAACGCCATCTATAGATACAAAACAAGTTTAATACAATATAATATTCACTATTATACATTATATTTAAAGTAACTAATTTTGTTAATTTTTTATTCTTCGAATTAATTTTGTTTAGGTTTTTATTTTGTATGTTTGCCAACTGTCTCATCCTTGTAGTAATAGGTATAATATTTACGAATGAACATCAGTACTTCATTCTTATGTTCATCACAAGGATATGTAAGTACACTGGCGTTATTGTTTAACACATCATCAAATGTGTCTTGAAAGACACCTCTAGCATCCGTACAATGTTTTAAAAAAGAGTTTTCTATTGTAGTTATTAATTTATGAAAATGTTCATTTATTAATTTCCCCTGGATTTTAAATTGGTAAACGCAGCTTCGGATTTGCTTGAATGAGTCTCCTAAAAATATTAATTTACACTAAATCGTCAGGTAAAAAATGATTTTGACACACAAAATTTGGAAATATTTTTTTCCTTGGGGCATTTAAATAGAGTGCATTTTATTGTTTTGTTAAAAACAACACTTTTACATAAATGCATGCTACATTTGCGAGGCATTTTCGAAAATGTATAAAAATATTACTAAATTTTCTTATTTTTGTCGGCCCTATTCCCGCCAATTCCGTATTAGGTTAGGTGAATCCACGGATCTTAATATTCTATTAAATTTAAATACCACTGGTTATAATAGTTTATTTATTGAACTATTGAAAACTTTTTATTTAAATTATTCGACAATAGATGGCGCACAAGGCGTGATTGAACCGGAAAGCGTTGTACTATCGGGCCACACCCCGCAGTCCGCCGACCCGTCCGTTTACAGTCCTGTATTATAGTCCGTGTTTTTACCTCAAAACATTTAATACATAGAAAAGAGATTAAATATGTCGATTGTCGTTGCATAAATCATAATCAAAAAGTCAAGATTGCAGACTGAAGTATTTAGTATTGACTGTTGAGTATTTCACAGTTCACTGTTATCGGTTAGAAGTTTCGAACCTTGGCTAAATGTTTAATGTAAAATTGCTTGCTATTTGCAAATAATTATAACGTTTTCGTTTTAACTGTAGTTAATCAAATCTAGTTAAAAAAAACAATATTGCCTAAACATTCAATCATTCTTAGTTTACATATTATATTACAATAAAGAAAAGATATGAATAAACAGCCAAAGGACGATGATCAAACGTTTGTCATAAAAATATTAGATGATTTACGGTCATCAAGTAACCGATCTAAACCGCTAAGGATGCATTATGATACAAGTATAGGACTTTCAACAAATGATTCATTAATATCTAACAAACGACGAAGATCCTGCAGTCCCGACTTACAAGAGTCGATGCTTAGTACGTTTTTAATATTGACTTATTCGCAATTGACATATTAAAAATTGCATAATTTATTTTTCAGCACCAATTGCTTCACCTTGGGAATCCCGGCGTATTAAACAAGAGTTAATCAATGCTCGAGCAGAAATTGTCTCTTTACAAGAGAGAAACAAAACATTATTTAATCTTAAAAAGGAGTCGGATCTTTTATTTGAAAGAGAGAAAGTTGCATTAGAACATAACATAAATAAATCCAAATTAATGGTTTGTACATATGAATTTATTAGTCATCAAATGTTAAATAAGATTAAATACAATTATTTTTAAAGTACTTTTATTCATGTAGGTACTAATGTTTAAGATTGGGCCTTTATGGCCTGTTAAGCTCACATGATGGTGATGATTTATAATTTAACGATTATATGTTTAACATTGTTTGTTAAGTACATTTTTATGTTTTTTCCGTGACCAATACTGTTAGACAACACAAAAAAACTTTTGAATTTACTTTATTAATCTTTTAAAAATTTAGGTATATTATTATTGATTATTACATTACTGTTTTTTTTTAAATAAAAAAATACTTGTGGGTATTGAGTTGTGTCAAACGTAATGCACTAGAACTAACTGTATGATAATTTACCTGTTTTTATATTATTTAGATTGATCAATTAGATAATCGACTAAAAGAACTTCGCTATGACAAATCAAATTTAAAAGAAGAAAATGAGAGTTTGACAAAAAAACTTAATTTAGTGTTGGAAGAAAATCATCAAAAAATATCTTATCTTGAAAAAGAAAACAAAGACCTTGAAGCTAAATTAAGCAGCGTATGTATATTAATACTAACACTTTATACTTATACAGCTTCTTAATAGTAAAATAAATTAAAAATATATTGCAAATGTAGTAGATATTAGGTACAAAAGTCACTGGCATTGATGATGCTTTTAGTTATTTAAGTGTAGAAGCTTAACTTTAAAATAATAAGTTTCTATATTGAAGTTATTTTTTTACATTAAGATAATTATTAGATAATGTATACAATTGTACATTTATTCTTTCGAGTATAGTATAACATATTCTTGTAATGACACTTTTTAAAACTTTCCTAAATGTGCAGATTTAAATAGTTTATGATGGATGATCTATAAAAAAAATAATTAACACTTTCAATATCTAGTATAAACTTTTTTGCAGCACTTATTAAAATTAAATTTGTTTTACTTAAATTAATTAAATTTTTTATTTTACGTTGTCCGGTTTTATAGTCTTAAATAAAGGATTTGTTATTCAAATGTTTCATATATTTAACAGGTGAATATAGAGTTGATGAAAAATAAGAATGAAAACACATCTAGAAATTGTTCAGATTTTGAGTTAAGTGAGTTAAAAAAAACTCTAAGATCCAATGAAAAATATATTGAAGAGCTCACAGATAATTTAAGGAAAAAACAAATTGAAATTAATAATTTGGAAAACGATCAAGTTAAAATAAATACTGCTAATCAACGAATCAAAGTAACTAAGTATTTTCTGTACCTACATGAGAAATAATACTCCTTTGTCATTATTATTGTTTTGCTATTTTTAACTCCTAATAACCAAATTCGCTTAACACGTTGACTACTGTACAGCCGTCGGTTGCCACGAAAATTTAGTTATTATTGAATTTTTAGGCTGCTGTCTACAACAACTTCTTATTTTTAAGAAGTCATACTGCCGCTGACTGCTGTATTTGATTGTAATCTGAAATAATTTTGATGGCACTGTTATAATGTTTTAGGCAATTGAATCATCAAGAGCAAAATTAGTGTAAGTCGAGAAAGGTTAAAATAGGAAATATGCTGAATATGTTTTTACGAGAACTTAAAATTTCTTCTGCCATCTAGTAGAAAACAGGCAAAGTAGGACTCAAATCACTTTCGCAGGTTATAGATTGAAGTTAGAATTATCGTCTGGTGGTGTTACTTCAGATTGTGAGAAAATTTTACTAGCAGCCTTACTATTATTATGTTATTTCATGTTATTTATTAATATCCAGATAAAAGACAAAAATTTGGGTTTTGGTACAGTATTTTTATACTTATTTGTTCAGAAGAAAACACTATATGTTTCATGAAAGTCAACCTATTTTATTGACAGCAGTATAATAATAAACAACTGTACAGTCGCCACCGGCTGTACATTGGTCAACGCGTTAATTTTTACTAAAGGCAAAAAAGTGACAGTATCAAAAAATTATAAATCTATTTTATCACTAGTCATGTCTAAATTGTCTGTTTTAATGTTAGCTTTTTCATTGAGAAATCGTTTATACATTTTTAACAGAGTTTAGAAAATGAATTGGCTGCCCAACAAGAAAGTGCTATGGTAGTAAACGCTCAAAGAGAAAAATTAAAACGTTTTAGTTCTATGGAAAGTGAACTGATTTTGCTTAGAGAAGAAGTAGCTGCATACAGGTATATTGATTGTATAGTATGATACATATGTAATAATTAAATACATTTTTTATTTTGTTATTTTAGAAACGATGTTAAACAAACAGAAATTCTTGAAAATAAAGTTGCTTCACTTGAATATAAGTTGACTAAGTATGAAATATTAGAAAAAGAAGCTATTCAATTGCGTTCAAACTTAGCAATTAGTGAAGATCGTTTGAAAAAATGGTTAGATGTTTGTAAAGATGCTTGTGAAAATGTGTCTGAAAGTCAGTGTTATCCTGAATATTTACGATATTATATAGACAATCTAAAAAAAAAAGACATGTTCCTTGTAAATGAAAAGGGAGAACTACAAAGCAGGTTTGAATATTTCTAAAATAATAATAATCGACATTTAATGTTGTAATGTTTGAATTAAATGTTGTTTCCTAATATTTACAATTAATGTAGTGTTGCTCGGTTGGAACTAAAAGTAAAGCAAATTGAAAATGAATTAAACAAAGCAAAAGAACAACTAGCTGTTGGGGCAAATAACAATGGCAAACTCGAAACAACAATAAAACGACTAAAAAAACAACTATACATGGTCACATGGGTAATTAAAAAAATCATGTAATTCATTGTTTCTCTTTTTTCACTATTAAAATTACTTCAGGAGCGTAATGATCTCAGAGAGTTAATTGATTCCTTCCAAAAAGAAGTAACTGTTATTGGAAATTTAAATGGCGAGGATACAAAAATGGAAGTTTTAGAAAAAGCCATAACTGGATACAAAAACCGTATGACAGAAATTGAAACCGATCCATCATTATATTGCCCCACTGATAATGACAAACGATGGATTGAAGAAAAGTCTGCACTTCTTAAAGAAAAAGAAGAATTAATTAACAAATGTAAAGAATTAGAAGTAAAATGTGTTGATTTGAGAGATCAAATAGATCACAGAGCTCTTAAAGGAGATTTCAATCTCCGTGAAACCAAAATTTTACATTACAAGTAATAATCTTACAATACAACGTTTTAAATGTCTATAGGGAAAAAATACAAGTATCAATACGTACTTTTTTGTGTATAGGATGAATCCAGCATCTGAAGGATTCAATAATTATCAGAATGATCTAATACACGCAAAACAAGAAATCGAAAAGTTAAAGCAGCGTATTAAAGCTATGCAAGAAGGCATTTCAATGAATCTCACACAGGTAGTTGATGCAAGAGTCGAAACAAATGCCACTCAGGAAGTCGAAGGTAATATAGCCAACACATTATCATCATTTGAATGATATCATAATTATAATATTATTTGTCTTCATATAGGACTCAAAGAGAAATTAAAATCTCAAGAAATTCAAAACCAGAGGTTACGAGAGGTGTTTAAAAAAAGTAGTCAAGAGTTTAGAGAGTCTGTATATACGTTATTAGGATATAAAGTTGATGGATTACAAAACAATATGTATAGACTTACCAGTCAATTTGCTTATCACGAGGAAGACAACTTAATGTTCCAAGTATATATTATCTATTATTAAAAACACATTTTTTCACCTTAAAATTAAAATATTAATCATTAAAATTTGTTGTAAAAGTGGGTTATAAATATTATTCAGGTGATTAGTTAAATATTAAAATTAAATTATAATAATGAGAATTAAAAGTATAATAAGTTTTTCTTGTCTATATCTAAGGTAGGTGCCAATTAGGAATCAAAATACCCGAAAATTTCCCTATTAATAAATAAATAAATGTACATATTATGTCAATGTTTTTTTGTAAAAAAAATATTCACTGAGAGAAGTGAGGACTAAACCCAAAATTATTTTAACTTTATTGGGTACTTATTTCATAAAAGTTTTTTAAAAAGATAACAAATATTAAATTTAATAAAAATCATAATAAAATCATTACATTTCTTGCTTCGTTTGGAATCAAAAATAACTATTAGGTAGGTAGTTCATTGTTAAAAGTATGTTATCATACAGTTAATTCTTTTCCCCTATTTTTTCCTGAAATTTTCAATCTATTAGCAAGGAGAAATGTCGGCAGTAAATTAACAATCACCATTTTAAATCTGTCATCCATTTCTTTATATACAGGATGACCACGAAAACACTTTACATTTTCAAAACGGCAAAATAATATTTATTTTTCAAAAAAAATTGTTTTAACTTATGTAATATGTTTATGGGTGTAAGCCATTTACTTCAAGTAGCAAAAACGATGTCAGGAAGGTGATTTCTGTCTTCCATGAAGCAATTTTCAATTCTTTTAAGGAAGTTCTTCCACACTCGTTCTAGTGTCTCCCTCGTGATTAGGGCCACCTCTGTACGAATTGCGGCTTTTAAATCATCCAAAAAAAATTTCCGTAAAATAAATAGCGTACACCCACAAACATAATATTACACAATATCAAGTTAAATACATTTTATTTTTTCGAAAATTGCTGTAAAATAAATGGCATACACCAACAAACACATTACATAACTTAAAAAAAAAATTTTAGAAAAATTAATACTATTTGCTTTTTTAAAAATGTGAAGTTTTTTTGTGATCACCCTGTATATACAATTACAGAGTATAATAAAAAAATTAATGATAGTTGATGAATACAAAATTTCCTCTTCTTATTATGTTTTTTTTTTTTAGTTAAATGAAGGGTCAATGAATTTGTTAGAAACTCCATTTTCAAAGACAATTGAAGACATGATTAATTTACATCTGGGTCAACAGCGTTCAATACCTGTTTTGTTATCCAGTCTGACGATAGATTTATTCAATAAACAAAGCATGATCATAACTGCAGATTCAACCAGGCTAGAATCTGTTATCAATTAAAAACACAATATTTTGACTACCATTTTTTTGATACCATTTTGTTTGGAACTCGTCTACTAAATTGTATTAATTTTTTTTGTATGATTAATTTGGTTAATTCCTGTAAAAATCATTATATTAGAATGATTTAGTCAAGATTATCAAATATTTTATTTAGGTTCTAGAATAATTTTGCTTAACTGGTAATTTTTAAATTTAATTATTTAATTATTAATTTTTTAATTTTTTCTAGGTACCGAGTATAAGTACTAGCATTATACATATAATATATACTTTTTCATTATACTATGTAAGTTATATAAGAAATGCATGTACTATTCTGTAAAATATTGTGTACAAATATACATTATTTAAAACATTATATATGTAACCTGCTGTTACTTTTATTTGTATAAACTACCGTTTAGATTATTGTTTTTGAACATTTATTTCCTTACATTTGTGTCCATAATTTTCTCTACACTTATTTTGTATGTATCAAGTAGTTAAAATCATTTAATAGGTTTTTTTATGTATATTTTCTCTCTATATTAAGTTTTTTAGTTATTATGCATGATTATTACACATAAAACATCTGCGTTTTGTGATGCTCTAGTTTTGACCTTATAATCATATTCATTATAATATGACTACATTATTTGTCATAATGTGATAACCAGGTATAGGTTTGTACTTGGGTGGATCAAAAGTTAAAGTAGTCTAGTCCTTCATCCTTCAAAAATACCAAAAAAATTTGACCGGTTTTCCATTTTTCAACCATCAAATTAAATTTGCTATAGCTTCGTAAAAATCGGTCTGATCGAGTCGTAGTTTATACAGAATTTTGAGTTGGGCTGCGCTGATTTAAAAAAAAATACATATAATTTTATAAAAACATATAATGTTATATTATTATTATTGTGGTTGTGATAAAATGATAATGACCAATGTTGCGGCCTGTTGGTATAAATCGGTAAAATTTGAATAGATTTATTATCAAGTCTAAGGTAAATAATGATAATTATGTTATCAATTTTGATAACAGATTTTCTTATATTATTATTATTAAATTGCAATTTGCCAAATTTAATTATTCCTAGGTTTTGTTTAGACGAAACGAAAAGAATAAACTATATTGACTTCTTATCCATATCAAATAGAAGACAGTAAATAAAATGAGTGGTACTAAGTCTTCTATTGCGCAATGTCCACCAGTACCCGGAGAACAGGAAATTGAAGAAGATTTAAAAAATGTCGAAGAAGCTGAAACTCCATTATTGACTGGTATATTTTAGTTGATTGTTATTACATAACATATCTACATTGTTCAATTGTTGTCACACGCTTACATTTTTGGGTGACGTTAGTGTATTTTATGTTGTGTAGTGTTCTTTTAGATCAGTCAAACGATTGCCCGTTCATCTGTGAACTGACTGATCTAAATTGAAAACTATGATGTACGGGTGTAATGAATACTCTTTATTTAGATAACAAATTAAAAATAGTATTATGTTTAGATGATGCTAAAGTTTTATTGGAGTCAATCGGAGCAGAAATTCCAAAAAATGACACTCAAGAATCAGCACAAAAACTTGTAGATAATGTTGATGAATTAGAGCAGACAATTTCAGCTTTAGATAAAAAATACAGTGAATTAATGAGTTGTGAAAAAGAATTGGAACTAGTTGAAGAAGAAATTGATAAGCAAATAAAAGAAATGTCTAGGTATATATAAAGTTTCTATAATAACATGCATTATTAAAAAATTTGATAGGCGGAGTAACCGAGTGGAATAAGGCAGCAATTAAAAACAATGGTTGTTGGTTTGTATATCGGTATAAATTTACTTTACCGAGCATATTTTTTTTTGCCATATTTTATTGTTTTTACGCTGATTACGAGTCTGAAGTCAGATATCACTGTACTCTTCTAGTGTTACTTGAACTTTGAGAATTATTGTTGCGCGTGATGACCACGGTGACTGCACCACCATATAATTGCAGGAAGCTGTAGCAAGGAATGCTATAGTTCGCCACGACTAGATGGTGAGGCAGGCAACGATAAAAGTTAATGTAGCTATTACTTTTGAACTAGAGGAATTAGCCGATAACTAACTTCAATGTAAAAAATACTATAAGTGGCAAAAAGAAAGTTCCCAGTAAAATAATTAAAGTTAAAGCAACAATTTCAATTTGTAGGTATTAAATGAAAAATTAATAATTCATCATTATAACTTTAAGAAATCATAATATTTTACTATAAAATTAATGTTTAATTGTTCAATAACTCGTAATAATAATTAATTCATAACACATTTTACAATAAAATAAATAACCATAAATATAAACATTGTACCTTATCTAATTGTAAATTAAATTGTTAAAAATTTGTTTCTATATTAAGTATTCAAAGTTAAATTAATTTTGTCTCTTTATAAGTTTTTTTTTTAATTACAATTAAATGATATTTAATTTCAAATAAAATAAGTACATGTATTTTTGTCACAATACTAACTAATGGATTTTTGTCATTGCAGTTATGTAGCTGATATCAACTCGACTCCCATAGCAAAGTTAACGTGAAGAATATATTTTACAATTAAAACTATCATTTTTATGTACATGTATAATTTTTTAATATTGATAAATATGTAAATCTTGTACTTTTAATAAATATAATTACAGTTGTGTAAAAAATAAAATTTGTTACTTTGTGTTTTCCCTAAAAGTCTGGAACTTCATGGTTCCAAGTTCCGTTTAACTTATAATTACTAAAGTAGTGTGCCAGTAAATAATTTGAATGGGCCAGTTACATGGACATGCCACTTTTTCGAACAGCAGCACTGAGTAGGGGATTAGGATCTGGCTCTTCCGTTATAACTTCTACTTTAACCCATTCTTTGTTTATACTAGAAGCGCGTATTGCATCAATAACAGCTTGGACGTATAAACTGTCTTCAAAAGTAGCAGCTGACGATACAGGGTTTTTCACCCAACCTCTTTTGTCCTCTACAGGTAGAAAAGCTTCCCTCAGTGCACTGATCATTTTTAATAATCCTTTCATGCAAGGTCTAGGCATTATATCTGCTGACACGGCATTAATAGCATCAGACTTTTGCATGTCTTCTACATCTAAGTACAACACTTCATCCTTGTCCTTATATAAATCTCCACCCTTGACTATGAGGTTACCTTCGGTACCACACATGAGTATCTCTTGAATATAGGTTCCAGTAAGGTGGTTGTTTAATGTAACTGTGACTAACGATCTATCAGTCATTTCCATTTGAAAAGTACAAAAATCTGGACTAGTCACTTGTCTCACACTCGTCATACATTTAAAATCTTTATTAAATGTTTTAACAATACCATGGACACGTAATGCTTTTTGATTTGTTAAATAACTGACTAAATCAATTACGTGACTGCCGACCAAAGTCAACACTCCACCACCCATAGTTTTATCACACAGCCAATTATAACTGTCGCCATATAAACGACCCATTTGTACTTTAACATCACACAAAAATACATTTCCAATTTTATTTTCACTAATATGTTTTTTCATTTGCACAAAAGCGGGCAAAAATCGTAAACTATGGTTTACGATTGATATTAATGATGGATAGTACTGAGCTGCATGTACCATTTTAATAGCTTCATTTTGGCATAGACCTGCTGGTTTATCACACAATACATGCTTCCCAATACCCAGAGCTTTCACGGCTATTTGGGCATGTAAATTAGGTGAGCACACTATAAAAATTAGATCCACATCTTTTCGTAATAGTACGTTATCAATTTTATTTGTCCAATAAGGTATTTGAAGCCTTTTAGCAGCTTCTTCAGCCTCATTTGTAGTTCTACCCCATAATGCTTCCACTTTGAATCCTTTATCGCGTAAAAAAGGAACAATTATTTCAATCACTTTACCTGAAAAGTTTAATTTATGCAATAAAAATATATGAATTCAAAGTAAATATATGAATACACTTGTGCAGTGGCACCGAAACAGGGACACGTCTATGAACCATGTCATAGATGATTTAGGCGGCTATGATTAAGAGGCCATAGATTCACCCTCTTCTTCTCGTGTAGGACACTGATGGGGTGGGTGGTATGTTTTTATATTATTAAATTTAAAATGTCATAGATTTAATATCTAGAAGATCGGCGCCATTGCACTTGTGAAAAATGGTGATAAAGGAACAAGTTAAAAAGGCATTACTCCGGACCATATAAAAAATCCATTTAAGATTTCATGAATCAATAAATGTTTAGTAGTCCGTGATTAGTCCATTAAATTTTAATATATCATTAAATTTATAAATTTTTTATGAAACCCGACATAACTCATAAGTGATCCATAGGTGAACAGTGAAATTATAATATTATAACAAAACTTAAATAATTATCATTAGTCATTACCATACAGCTAACTTTTGTTTGTGACTACCTAGTTACTATGAAGAATGTAAAAATTTAACAATAAATCTTTCATTTTAATATGTTAATTACCTGTTCCAAAAACACCAATACCTGGCAACATACTTAGGAATAAAAACTTACTAAACTTGCAAGTAGTATCTTAAAAAATACAAATTGTATTTTATTATTTTTTAAATACCGTACAAAACTCATTTTAGTTTTCAAGGAATTTGTAAATCATTAGTCTTACAGATAAGAAACCAAATTTGTTATCATACAATTGACAACAATAACAACAACAAATCCAAAATAATGATGTACATTGTAAATTTATAATTGCGATGTGAAATGTTAATACTTGACTTATTTTTAATATTTGTACTTAATTATTGCTAAATATTGCTCAAATCGTAAACTACAAAAAGCTCAAGTTGTTGTTTCTTTAGTTTAGTACTTTGCCAATTTGTGATGGAACATAAACATCGAAAGTTAATTAATGACAATCTATCCACCTTAGTATCAGTAACAAATCATTTGGAGTTCATCATCAAGACACTATTAGAAAATAATGTGATCAATAAATGGATGGCAGAATATATAATGGTAAATCTATATTACGGCATAGTATTTATACTACAGTTCATAGTGTTCATTTTTAAACATAGCACTAAATGATTGCTTTACACTAAGCTGTCAATTTGTGTTGCACAGCAGTATAAAGCATCTAAGCAGCAGTACTAAAAATATCATATCCATATTCTTTGTCCACACATTGCTTTACAGGCATATGACACAAGTTCTGCTTTTTTGAGAAATGTAATTGATCTTAATGATACTGATATATAATTATGTTTTTATTAGAGTTGTCCTTATTATAACTTTTTTGTTTTTTAAATAAACGCCCTTTAATTTTTTATTTTACTAAAAAATTGTGAATGTAAAACTTGAACTGTAATTGAGCGTAAAGAAATCTGCAGGGCAATGCCTTCAAAATAACATATATTGCTCTATTAGCCACATAACAATGTTTTAATAAGTTAGACCACTGTAAAGTATAATTCAAATCATTTTTTTTATGAATTCTGAAAACTACTTTACCTAATGACACGGATATAGGTAATCAAAAAAATGAAAAATAACATAACAATCAATGATAGCTTTATAACCATTTTAGACTTTTACCTGATTAGGAAATATTAGGTAGATTTACTTAAATTTATCACGAAAAAAACAAAAACAAATCATTAGAACTTTATTATTATGGTTATTATTTTGTTAAACAGACTCCACCTCATCAAACAAATAAAAAAAGACGATTGTATGAAGTAATTCAAGGACGTGGACCACAAGCATTTACAAATCTATGCAAAATTCTGGAAGAAACATCAAACATAGAAGCTCGAAATATTTTACTATCAAAATCAAAGTAATTACAAACAATTCCTATAAATCAAACGTTTAGGTTCTATTAATTAATAATTAATTAATTAATGTAGTTGTCTAAGAAAAATGGTAGGATTAAAATTTTGGGACAAAGTTACTTTGTTGCGCACTCTTTTTGCAAAACTATTAGTGTTTTTGCTGATTTTAAATTGGAAATAAAAAATTTGCTTACATCATAATTTTGAGTGTTATAGCTCTTGAACTTTGGTGGTTATTGTTACGCATAAAGGGCGAGTGACTTTTCCTGACCGCTGATGGATGGTTTACTGTCTCACGCATGCCATAATTGCTTATTTATACGACAGTATCACTAAAGTTTAGGTAGCTCTATCATTAAAACTAGTAGAATCTGTAAGTTGTTCATTTTATCATTATTAATAATTATTTTTATTTTATTATGTCAAATTACATTTTACAAAGTGCTCAGTAAAATAAATTATTATTTCCGAAGATTGGATTTGGTAATTTTACTTGGCTATGTTTTGTTCAATTCAAAAACATTGGAAATCTTAAATTGGCATTTGGCTCTCCTCCTTTGACCCTATCTCACTTAATCTTGCGCTAAAATTTATCTCTCTTAATTTGTTTAGCATGACCACATCTACTGATTTTCGAGGCAACTGGTACATCTAAATCTAAGTCATAACCAATAAACTACAATTTTTATTTCAGAGTTTTTTATCCTAGTAATATTTCATTGAATGAAAATATGAATCGACTTAATTTGAACAACAGTATTAACAGCATTAAGGCTACCAAACATGATGATAATTACGTTAAAATTCCTCCTACCATTAGACGTATGGACGTAGAACATGAAAATTTACCAAATGGAGTAAGTTATAATTATTTGTATTATTATTAATAACAATAAAAAAAGAAAATTAATAGTATTAAATCATAATTTTTAACTTATCTAGGTTTATCATATGGGTTCGAATCCTAAAGGTCATGCATTAATAATAAACATAAATAAAGTAAGTACAAAACCGGACGAGGAAAGAACAGGTTCTGAAGTTGATGTAAATAGTTTGAAGAAACTACTCCACGGCTTAGGTTATGATGTACAAATTGAAGAAGATGTAACTCAGAGGGTAACAAAAAAAATATATATATATAATATCATTTAATTTGGTATATGATTTATTATGTACAATTTTTATTAGGAAATTGTGAACATAATTAGAGACTTCAGTGATGTTAAGAAACTTGAGAAAATGGATTCCGTTATTGTTGTTATAATGAGTCACGGCGAAGCAGGCAAGGACTCATTTACTTCATTGGATATAGATTCTGCAGATGGTATAAAAATCAATATTGACTGGATAATTGAACAATTTGTATCAAAAAAAGTTTCTAAGAGCATTCCTAAATTATTTTTTATACAAGCATGTCGGTATGATATTTATTTTTCTAATATTGTTGTTAATAATATTTCTGATTGTTATATTTAGTAGCAAAATATTGAAGTAATTTATCAATTCTAATTTTAGGGGAAAAAATAGTGACCATGGTACTTCAGTACCACGAGTCGAAAATGTTCAAGTAGAAGTAGATTCTATTGGATTTGGTACAGTGAAAGGAACCTCTGTAAAAAGACGTTATGAAGATGTATTTGTTGCATATTCTACTGTACCTGGTATGATAAACATACATTTTGCACTTCAACATATTGAATTATCAGACAATTATTTTGAAATAAATAAGATCATTCTTGCACTTTCTATCGACTGTGTTTCTAATTTATTAACATGAACGTTTTATTACATTCTTAATACAGAATTGAAAATATTTCAAAAATTTGTTTCTAAAATTTTGACTTCAATTTTGTGTACGATTGTCGGATATTTTGTTTTAGGTTATTATGCTAAACGTGATCCATATAAAGGGTCATGGTTTATTCAAAAACTATGTGAAGTTTTTCGTGAAAATGCTTGGCAATATGACTTACATACAATGATGATGATGGTTAGTAAAAAATAAATCATTTAAATATTTTTATGTTTTTGTTTAATAAACGCAAATGTGATTTATTCATTTATAGGTGGACTCGGAGGTAAAAACATTTAACTGTGCAAAGTATGGATTCCAGACTGTTGAATGGAAGTTTAGTGGATTTAATAAAAAATTTTATTTCAACCCAGGTCTTTATGATGACTACCTCGAAAGTGATCTTTAAAAAATCTTTGTAAATATTTATTTGTATAAGTTTGTGTGTTTAACTTGTTTGTTTAAACAGTGACAAAATTTCAAGTAGGTAATACTTTTCTAATTGAACTACCATCTATTTTTTCTAAAAAGATCTGATTTTTGTAAGTTCAAAATTGATAAATTTAAAGTTGAGCTGTTAAAATATTTTTGACAGATCTTTGTTGTTTTCCCTCCTTTTAAATTTAATGGTAGATCAAAATTGAGTATTTTTTTGAAATTATACTGTAGTTAAGCAAACAAGATATATTTTGTATTTTCCATTTATAGTATAATTTAAAACTTAATTATTGTTAACCTAGGTTTTATATATTTCTTATTTTTTTCTTTATGTGTATATCTGTGATAGTACAAATATTTTTAAATTTTATTAAAATAGTTTATATTTATAATAATTTTTTTTATTGTATTTTTCAATTTATAAATGTATTATTATACCTTTAAATCAGTAACTGTCACTGCCCCTGACTGGTTTTATAAAAACATTCCAATTTGAAAATAAGACATTTGTATAAGAATAATGTAAAATATATTACTTTACTTACACTGTAGTCTGTACTTAAAATTTATTCGAAACAAACATTGATTAAAATTAAAATTTAACTTTTTTATTAAATTTTGTAAACCATGTTCCTCTTTAAAACACTGACTAACATTATCTAACTTTTAACTTTGATATAAAACTGAAAAGTTATTAATTTTACATTTGATATTATTTTGGTTTTTTTGTACCCATTGGAACTTAAATGTAAAGTCGAAGTCGAACAGCGATAAATTAGGAGATATACTTATGTTAGAATGGTGAACAATGAATATCTTAAAACTAAAATGCATATGAATGGTAATGTTTATGATTATTTTTATAAATTAGATAATAACTAAAGCAATACCTCAATAAAAATATGATTCACACCACGGCCTGCCAAATTATCTGTATTGACAGTGGTAATTAGAATGATAATCCTACACAACAATATTATTTTTAAATGTTTTAATAACATTCACCATTATCATGAAATTATTTTTAGATCACATTTTGGTAAGAAATCAGTGTAACCTAAATATTTCCTAAATAATACTAATTTATAAGTCATAAATAAATTATTATTAAAACTTTATTTAAATACTTTCCACCAAACCTAAAAACAAGGTAAGAAAATATTAATATATCTTAATTGCATTGTTAGTATGTGCTGTCAACTGTCTGCTAGTATATTACAAGTTGTGTTTTTGCCTAAAAATTTAAGAGTACGGAACATCAAATTATTAAAAATTATGGTGCCTAATATTTAACACTTAACATGTTTTTTCATTCCTTACAAGAAGTTTCAATATGAAGCACTAATTACTATCGACACCGTACATAAATGACTATTGTCTGACTTCAATTATTAACAAAACAAATCCCATCATTATTAGCCTTTCTGTCAATCACTATCCCAGCAGTAGGAGATGGCAACTATAACAACAGTCTTGTGATAACACTCGTCATCATGGTATGGAAAAACGAGGTAGCTGAGCAGTCAGAAACTATTTTTGAGATAGTTACAGCAGACTTCAGTCAGAAAAATCACAGACACCGGCATGAAACACTCAAAATAGCCTGTTTTGAGATGCCCTATGAAAGTACGGCCATTAATCTGCCCAAACGACTTCTGATTTATAAACCAGCCCGCTCCCACTCAAGAATAAGCTATGGACAAGATAGAATATAGTTGCTCACAATTTAAAAATTTAGTTATATTCTATTATAAATGACTTGTATTATATCATATTATTTTCGAACACATAATTATTGAATGTTTATTCTAACACAAAACTTTTTGAACATATTTAGGAATGTAACTTTTGATTATATATTATTCACACCCATAAATTAGCTGCCTAGCCCCCAGCAGCATAGTGTAGTATCATAGCAATTTATACTGCGCTGATTATTTTTTAATTTATTATTATTGTCATATACATTTAAAAGTAAGTAAAGCTGACATTTTTATATTAACTTTTAGCTTATTCTTACAAATAATCTGTTTTGTAATAACATATTGATATCGTTTTATTTAAAATTCATTATGACAATTTTACTTGGTTATTAAAGTTAAATTACAATATGTGTTATAAAAATAAGAAGTGTCAAATTATACATAGTTAACTAGTTTGAACTACTACTACCACTACTACTACTGCTTCTTTTTTTCTTCTTTGGTTTCAATTTACTTTCTTTCTTCATTATCATTTTTTGTTCTTTCATCATTATTTTATCCATTCTGTCCAATCGTCTAGTAGGAAAATAAATGGTAATTAAATAAAAATATACATTTACTTAAATAAAACTCTTTTAGATTTATAATCAATGATATACTTGAGTAATTTCATTTTTTTCTTTCTCGTAAGTGATTTAACATACAAGAACAGTTCTGTGTCGCTATCTTCTCCATTATTCTGCAACAAAATTAAAAATAATTTAAGCCCAAAAACTATATGATATAAATCAATTTGTATTTTTATTAATAAGTAAATACTTACCGAACATGATATTTGTTGTTGAGTTGAAGCGGCACTTTTCTTCAATGCTAAACCATCTTCTCGCATTTGTTTTATCAATTCTTGTGTTGTAATATTGGCATTAGAGCCATTTGCTGCTACACTTGTTACGGCTTCTGATATACTTGCTTGATTGAATAGGGGACACTCCTTGTCTAAAATCATAAAAATATGTATCAAACTAGCAATAAATAAGTTAAGAAAAATCATCAAAAACTAAAGATATTCAGCAGTGAATGCACTAAAAATAAAAAATAAATATATTTTGTTTAAAAAAATATTTGTTTTACTAAAACAAAAGTTCATCAGAGAATCAATTAAAAATGGTAACAATTAATGTTGATAAAATAAACAATAAATTATAAGACAAAATAAGTTTTGTGCAGAAACTAAATGAATTGCTAACTGCACAAAGGGAAATAACTCCATTTTAATTTGATTATAATTTTGTAATAAACACACAGTAAGAACAATTAGTAAAAACAATAAAATATATCAACTAATAAAAAAAATATAACTAATTGCTCAACAAATAAAATTAGTTCCATATACCTGTGTTTATGTGTCCCCACTTATGGCATTTTATGCAACGTACATTTCTCACTTGAATGCCGAAAGGTTGATCTCGAATTTCTTGATCACCCTTACAATAGCTGAAAATTAATTTTACATTAAATTTTGTTTAAACCCTTTTATTCAACTTTTTTAATGTTCTAATTTTACTCAGAAAAAGAATTGTGTGATAATTTAAGTACTAATATTGTCAGCCTATTTAGCAAATGATCTGTCTACAAAAAAATTTCGGTATATTATACTATTTTAAAGAAAAAAAACACTGTGCATCGACTGGTATAATAATGATTATATTTCAGTATTTTTTTCTATAAAATGTGTGATAAAAAGTAAGCAATTGTAATTGAAATAAATAGAATAAATTGAAAGTTTTTTCTTTATAGTATGAAATTTGGTATTTTGGAGCCTATTGCCAAATAGGCTGACGATAAATATATAATATATTTGTATATATAATAAAGTAACACTTTCTTACTCTTCTCTAGGAGCATTAAATTTTCTCTGCCACTCAAATTTGTACTCTGGTTCATTATCTTCACGTTCTCGTTCTTTTTTTGCACCTGGTGGTGGCTCATACATAAAATTGACACTCAATTTATCCTTGCTTTCTTTTGATAGCAGTGCTCTAAAAACATTAAAATAAATAAATACAACACATTAAATAATTGTTTTAACTAGTCAACAATAAAAACAAGGTTTTCAAATTTGTAATAAGAATAAATTATATTATTGGGTTACAATATATTATTTAATAATAAAAGTTTTTGTTATTCATTTATGGAAATTAGTATTTATTTATTATATTTTTAAACAGTATTTAGGTATACTGTAACAACTTTAATAACCCGGTAATCTTAGATATGCAAATAACTATGACAAAAGTTATGATAAAGCTTAAAATTAACAAATTACTTGTTATTGTATAAATCTTGCTCTTTTTCATATTGAAGTCGTAATTCTTCTTGACGTTTCTTATCTTTTACTGATTTTTGTTCAGCCATCCATACCTAAACCATTTAATTTATTAATATAATATTCTAAATAAGATGATACTTATGTTAAGAAGACACCACATCACTAAGAATAAGACATTTTTATGAAAATCTTAGTTTAAAGCTTATATAGGGTGGAAGAAAATGTTTCGTGTTGTACCTAGTATTTTTATTTCAATGTTAACAATACTCATTCATTTTTAATAAAAAAAATTTAAAAAAGGGGGAATGAATTTGTACAAATGAATGATTTGGATTATGTTTAAGTAAACAAAAAAATAAAAACGCTGCGACAGAAGAAGTTCTACTTTGTGTACTATAAACATTTTGTAATTCTAACACGAATACAATCTGAAAAACCTGCCCTCGCACGATAAAGTTTTACGGCCAAAATACAGATGGTGTGCTCTTAAGGCTTAAATGTGTTAAATAATGATAAGTGATAACTGTTTTCCAGAAACAAGAAGTTTGTTGGAATGGAAACATTAACTTGCATTTTTTTATAGGCTTTATTTTATGAATAAGTGTGATGTGTTTTAATTAATAATTACAGTAATTCGTAAATCGTAACTTATAGAAAAAACAGATAAATAATATATACTCGTTTTAAATTGTCCCTCGAAGCTGGGTGAAAAAACTTTTTACACATGTAGTTATTGAAACCTTTGCCCATCTTGAATCGTACGTTTTCCGCGCTTCACAGATACTAAATGTATACTAAATTAAATAATAATTTTAGATGTTTGGTAAAGTATTAAAAATTGATTAGTTGTTTTGTAATAATAATAAATCAATAGGTAATAATTTTTCGTACTGCGTACAAGAATCAAAATATTTAATTTTCTCGTTTTATTTACTATAACTACACCATAAACTGATAAACGATTTATAGATAAGAGGAACGTCCACGGTCACGGTCTGACCAATTATTTTTATATTTACTGTGTTACACTATGGTTCCAACTGTCATGGACATTCTTTGAGAATGCGATTGATGCGTTGTGTATTGTAATATTGTATTCAATATTATTTATATTATTATTAATTAGTCAATATTCACTTATTCAATAATCAATTCTCATTATAGCAAATAGCTATTATCAATTATTAGGTACGACATATATACGTAATTGGTCATTTTTTAAATTATGTAGTTACCGGGAAAATAATTTAGTATTTACCTACAGATTTTAAAATAGGTCGTATTTTAGTTAAAATAAAAACTTAAAGCAAACACACTATAGCGTATATAATAAGTATTATGTATTTTTTTAGTTTTTGAGGGTTGCATACAGTCTGCTTTTTGACGTTTTAGACCTAAAAACCAGACAAAATTTCGATTACTTAGGATGGTCCGATTTCAATTCTGAAAAGATATACGAGTTCTTTGGCAACTTTACTAGATTATGTAGGAAACAGATTTTTTATTTTTCTTATGTGAAACATTGGGTTTTAATATTGGAAAAATTGAAAATATTACTAAAACGGCTTCCCACAGAACATAGTAGAGTAGCCAAAGAACTCGAATCTCTTTACAGAATTAATATCGGACCATCCTTTTTTTATTTATTGATGAATTGCAAGTGGCCCCGGAACAAGCCTGGTGAGACATTACTTCGAGGCCGCCCACAACATTTATTGTATCTAACAATTTATACAGATTTGTTTGGGAGGGTGTTCCACACACCATCTCTGCATTTTGGGTTAATATACATATTTTCTCCTTACATACTAACACACCCTGGTGATGGCCCAGTATTAATACTCACATTGGGCCCCGATATCGGAAATCAGACCATCCTATGTAGTCAAAATGTTGTCTAGCTTTTTGGGTTAAAAAAAAAACCAAAATGGCTGTTACAGGTTATTCATAGGAAAAATTATTTAAACTAAAAATAATACTTTGAAGCTTGTATAAATTAACCGGTAAATAATTTGACATGGTCGTAATTTATTAAACCATTTATTTTCTTAAATATTATGTATACAGAACGCCTTAAAAATAGACTGCATGAAATCTCCTTAACCTGTAAATTATTCAGATATTTAATTTATATAAATCTGGATTCAGGATAATAAAAAAAATACCAGCCGCAAACGTTACAAATCATAGTTCAAATATATAATTATAAATTGATAAAACTTTTTTTATAGAACTGGACACTCAAAACAAATGTTTTCGTCATAGTTCAAAAATAAAATGAATACAATATTAAGTACTTTTTTGTTTTACAAAAAACAGGTTACAAATTTACTTTACCGGACACCCCCCTTAATAATCCTACAATAGTCTTGAAAACATAGATTTCTGATTTTTCAATACTTGATGAATTGATCGAAGTATATTTTTAGTTTTCGTTTTTAATATTATTGTAAAATCATTAAAAAACTTTAAAAAAAATTATCATTTTTCACTTATCTAACTATTATTAATTAACTAAAAATAATTTCATATTGTGCCTCGATCGTAAATGTCATGAAGAATGCAAATGTTATTTTTTAAACTCAAATGAGTGTTTTAAAGTCCTATCTAAGCTGTTCTTTTCGAAACTAGAAATATATGGTGTACCAAAATAGGGCCTGTATGCGGTGTAATAATCGAAAAAAAATTAAATATCAAAATAGATGCCTCTGTTTTGGAGATCAAAATAGATCAAAAATAGTTTCCGCGTCTATATCTATGCTTATAAATTTTAGTTTTATCGAAAAATTGCCTATTACAAAGCGCCTTAATAAATGCTAGTCTTAAAAATTGTGTTTATTTAATTGCTGACGGTTAGTTATGTTATGGGTATAAAATGAGTGTAGGCGCCCGTAAATACAGTAGAGAGTACATATTTTTTCTAACTATTGCAAGGGTCAAATAAAGACTGACAGCTTATGAATTGAATAGTATATAACTCCATGTTTTTCTTTTTTCTTATTCTGCCTACGTCATTTCCTATATGAATCGGGTCAAAGAAGATTCGGTCGCGGGAGCTTGTGGGAGGTATTAGCGTATATCGATTGGTTGTGCAGCGAACTTGCGCGGGCTACTATAAGCTTTGGCAGCGCTCATTTTCCGCTGACTACACTTGTAGCTTTAACGATTTCTTATAGTAATCTCTAGTGTTATTCGCAGTTGAAACGATGACTATCTTACTGTCACGTCTGTATTATGTTGTCACGAGTCCTAAGCGACAAATGCGTCAACCGTGTTCGACGACATATAGTATCATGCCGCAGAAACCATAATTATTTTACATTCAAAGTTACCAAGTATAAAAGACAGACGGTAGTTTTCAAGAATCTTCCGCTCGGCGACTAACAACATTCGCATTATTATTCAACGAGGCTCCCGCCAAATAGCGACTTTGTGCAGCAGCAGCAGCTGGTGAGTTGATTAGATAACGATAGCAATTAAAATGCATTCTTCTCGTGGGTTTTATTAATTATTACTATTTAGCTTTATCTATTAGGTTTAACAATTAACACACAACGGTTACAAGTTAATAAAATAACATTAATCAAAAATACCGTAAAATAATTTTATAAATGGTTGGTACTTTCGAAACTAGATAATATTTGGTCGTTTTACGGAATAGACAGAATTTGAAATTTTTGAATAAGAGAAAAATGTCTTTACTGTAAATAAAATAAAAAGGATCTCGGCTTATTTATTCAAAATTTGTGTACATCCTCGGTAAACAAAGCACCAGCCCCGGTTGTCATACATAGGGGTATGCTATTTTATAGATAATAATATTATTTTTAACTTCAACACCAACCACTAATTTTCAATTATTTAATATACTAAAAATTTCAAAAAAAAATTTGTTTAACTAAAATAATTATTTCATGGAAAAATTCGATGTAAACTAAAACTTTGATTAACCGCTGTACATAAAGTTTTAAGTTACAAAAATGTAAAAGAGTTGGTATGAATATTCTAGAATACTGAGTTTAAAAGTGTATATTATAGTTGAGCGCTTTTCACATTATTCTGTTAAGTTGTATAATACGTATGCACACTCAATATGCGCTTAATGAACTACTAAATACTCGTGATGGTTAAATCGTATTCAGATTTTATAACCTTTTATAAGAAACACTTCGCTTTGTAATCTGTATTGAAGTCTTTTGCACATAGCAGATAGCGTCGTATATACTTGGAATCATTATGTTCAGTTAAGCTTAAGTTAATCTTATATAATATCTGATATAATTCCGGGGAAAAACGTTAATCCGTCGAGTAACTATAAAATACAGTCTTAATATAAGGTTGAGAAAGATTTCGAGTTAAAGGTAGCTTATTATTTAACGATTTGCTAACTGAAAGTTTCAAACTTAATCCATAAAGATTAGTCGTTTCACGAAAAAGTAATTTCTGTTCTTTTTGTTTGTTTTTATGTTTATTCCAATTGCCATCTGGTAAAGTATGTATAAAGTTTTAAGATTGTTCTAATTTAAAATATATAGCTGAATGATAAAAAACCATAAACGGTTTTTCCATGAGAGAAATAATTTACTATTTAGAGCGTTTCAAATAACAACATTTGTCAAATATTATAACTATTAAATTATATGCTTATCTTTATAAAAATATTATAACTATTATAATCAATGCTAAGACTAATAATAAATAAGAAACAAAATTTACCAATACATTTTTAATTAGTAGTAAGTACAGCATTTATTCATTTTATTTCATCATTTTCTGCTTCTTCTTGGCCTTAATATATAACTGAAATCGAAATAATGGAGAAATCGTTTCTTATACTATTAGCGTTAGTAGTATATTATAGGGTCTGTTCTAGAAGGAATTGTTAAATCTTATCACAATTAGCCAAAAAATTCAAAATCCGAATTTTAAATACCGAACTAAGCATAGAATTGGTAATACATAATATTATATTAACAACACGAAAATTGAAAATAAAGAAACCAGTTATATATTATTTATAAAGGAGATAATCAAATAAATTATAGAGACTTAAGGGGGAAGTTAGTAAAAATATACATGTATATTGTGTTTATTCATGCACAATAAAACGTAACTGAGTTGGGCTTAAAAAACCACGAGATTTCATTGATTTGCTATTTTTTAATTTCCAATTCCAGGTTGAACACAAAATGGATCAACCACATTTGGCCATAACAACTTCTACAGCAGTGGACGAAACCCTGTTTGAATACAAAGGTGGCTTAGCGGATGATTTGAAATTTTTAGCCGCCATCCCAGAAGTCTGTGATGTCACCTTTTTGGTTGGAGAAACACGCGAACCTGTATGCGCTGTAAAAGCAATACTTGCAGCTAGAAGCAGGTTATTGTTCTTAATTGGTTTACTATTTAAAAAATAGAATTAGTGTACTGTAATGCCGAGTTACAGAAATATGTGAACTGTTCAATTATGTGAATTGGTTTGTAAATTTGAACATAAATACCCATGTTTCTGATTTGTCTTATTTAATTAAATCAATAATTTAAAAAGATTCAAACAATTTTGTTATTATTCCTCTAGAGTTTTCCATCAAATGTTATACGACACGAGTTTTCAACATCAATCATCGACTGGCGGAGGCACACCGAAACGAAGTGGAGGCTTGATTAAACAGCTTTCTGGTGTAGCTAGCGGAAGCCAAAATCCGCAACAACAGAATCGATTAAGGATGTTACTTAAACGGAGTTCGGAACCATTATTAATATTTCAACATCATCAACAGCACCAATCCCGGGTACGTGTAAATTGTTTCATTATTAAAATTGCCCCTCTTCCCTATAGGTACTTTAGTATAAAGGCTAAAGCTGATGAAGGGAAATCATATCTCTCGCATTATACTTTCCCTCTTCACTTTCAATATATTATGAAGATTGAAAGGGCACTTTATAAGTTTTTAATGGTTTTTGAAAAACTGAACTACACATAATATTTTGACATAATATTTTGCATTGATTAAACTTTTTTTCCTTATGTTTATTGGTATTTGTTCGAAAATATTAAATTCTCACAGTATATTTCATCAATAGTAACAGTGAAATAAGTTTATTTTAATTTTTTAGATTAGGAAAAAAAAATTAATTTCATTATCACTATTAATGATTTGAACGTTTTTTTATGCTATGAACGTAATTTAGTCATACTCGGTTACTCATGTGTACCTTGAAAATTTGAAATTTCACAGTGGTATTTTTAAAAGTATTATAAACTAAAAATACTAAATTTTCGGTAGCTTTCTACTTTAAATATAATTTTATCGCTCAAAACAATATTAGTATTTTGAGGAATAATAATAATACAATTATTATAATTGCAATATAGCTATACTAACCGCAATACGTGGAACGTGGACGTTTATTTCGAGATACATTTTTTACCATCGCATCGAGGTTCTGCCTCGAAATTAGTATTCACTCAGATATTTAATTTTATATCAGCGTGTGTGTAATTTAATTTCTCTCTTTCCCTAAACAACGATGGATATATTTGTAGCAGTTACAAAAATCGCCTCCTAGCCGGAGTAGCGTGAAAAACAACAGCAAAATGACTTCTTCCGGAACTAACACTTCGTCAACGTGGTCGAAATACAAGAGAGGAAGTATTGCGGGAACAACTTCGCCCACTAAAAGTACATTAACGTCGTCAACGGTTATCGTGATCGACGAATTTGACGCTGATGTCTTCCGTCAGTTAGTTGAATACGTGCATACCGGTTGTGTGACATTACAACCTCGTACACTGTTAGGTAAGTCGATATCGAATGTACACGTGCCATTGCCCATTAATATAATCATTTTAAGCATGCAAAGTGTAGACAGATGATATTGTTATACTGACAGGTTGACGTAAACAATGTAATATGCGAATATGCGATTATGCGATTATGTCATTCAGCCATTGTATTGTACACATATGACTGTTTGACATTCTCTCCTAATGGAGTGAACATATTATTACATTACATTGAAGAATGATACACTAATACAAATATATTGTATCGTATCTAGCCTGTATATGGGTAAAATTATATATATATACAACATACTTTTAACCCTAACTCTTTACCCGACGACGGGTAGTTGACGGATGCTATTAATTATTATTAAACAAAATTTGCGATAAATATTGACATTGGAAATCCAATGTCGATAATAATACGATTTTTTCCGTACACCTTATCGTGAGGCCGTTTCGTAGATCAATGTATATTCGATCTCAGGTCAAATTTTATTCTCCGACAACGGTAATACTTTTAATTATTCCCATCCAATCATTAGTTTTGGGTTTTGGTTTTTAAATTATTTTACGGATGAACATTACGATTGCCGCTTGCAAATAGTATTCATGTTGAACGCGTTATTACTTCAGGTGTGCTGAATGCAGCAGATTATTACGGGTTGGACGAGCTTCGAGCTGCTTGCACCGGATTCGCAGACGCTGGAGGTATCACAGTAGACACTGCCTGTGCACTGTTGGCGTCCGCCGAACGATACATTCATTACAAATGCACTAAATCTCTGGTGCAAAAAGTACGCCGCTGTATCTATCTAATAATATCCAGTACCCTAACCTTGTGCGTGATGCCTGTCTTTCTTTGTAAACTAGTAGTCAATTACTTGTTTTTATTATTTGTTAACTGTAAACGCTCGTATGATATTTTGAGTGTCCGGTGTTGGTTTTGTTGGATTTTTCATTTTGACGTTAGCTAACCTAACATATTTTGGGAATGTGTATGTTGCGTGTGAACACTTACTTATTAGTTATTATCGTGAATTGTTTGTGATGTACCTATACGAGTATGTCGTTGTACGATTCGAAGACAAAATTATTGTGAATATAAAAAAAACACAAAGCATAAAATAACGCCACTCCAGGCAAAAAAGCGAATCGAATTAAAAATAAAAATTGAACACAACCTAACGCGGCGTTACATCTTGTTCGTAAATATGGGAAAGCAGGACTAAATCAAATAGCCTATCTTAAGTCTATATTTTGAAAAAAATATTGATAATGCGATGTCTTAAATATATATTTAATGTTTATATTAAATAACAGTGTCACCGTATTAAAGTATTTGCAATGCTTTTAAAAGGGAGGTGGGAGGTTATAAAGATCAGCATGAGATAGAACTCAATTTTAAAAGAAGACGTCGAATTTTTAACATAAACCGTAATTTATAGAAAGAAAATAAAAATAAATTTTGAAAAACTTAGATAGCAATATAAATGTTTTACTATTTGTTATTAATTTGAATTAGTAAAATAAAAAATTGAAGTAATTAACCAAAGCTAATGAACAAAGAATGAATGACTTGTAATTTTTACAACACGCATCGAAGCTAAACACTGGTTTATTCAATTTTAGACAACCAAATATGTAATGATTAGTACAGCGTTTTCTTCAGTTAGATTAATTGGTTTTGAGAATATTTTAATTTCATTAGTATTTGAGACTTAAGACTAATTTTAAAATAAAACAAATTTCGGCTTTTTACCAAACAGTCGTTTAGTGTTCCCATGACTTTCGTAAAAATTGTATTGTTCAATACACATATACGATTTCCCATTATCATAACTATAATCATTAGTATTTTAAATTTAATTAGCTTTTTATTTTGTATTAACAGAGTACGTTTTATATTCATTAGGATTTTAGATACTGAAATGTATTGTAGTTGTTTCTCAGTACATATAAACGTAAACCACGTTTACGAAATATCTGAAATCTCCGAGTAGAGTGTTGATGTATTTAGATATATTAGATGCTGCGTAGAAAATGTGTTCTAGTTTCTAAAATATAAACTCATACTAAAATGTCATGTAAGACTAGTTTAGATTAGCTTGTTGGCTACAAATCGAATTTTGAGTAGGAAAATAAATTAGTATTCTTAAAATGCAATGTAAATTTTTAATTGTAAAAATGTCGAGTCTAAAGCCATATTATTCAAAAATCGAAAATACAGTTTTTATTATATTTTAAAAATAAAAGCATAATATTTTTTATATTATTTATTACAGTTACGCTTTAATAATAAAATTAATATTATTTATTTATTTTAATTTTTACCATTTAAAACTGAACTGCTAAACATACAAAATGTATTACTAAAATACAAATTAGCAATTACCTACATACAGTTAAGATTTTTTTAGGGGGCTACGTTCTCTTATATTCCGTTAACTCATATTTCTGCGTATGCTGCTTAATGGCCGTGCAATCAATTTTACGTTTATCTATATTTTTGCTATTTGGTATTTATTATTATTTATTTCTACAATTATCAATTATAATTTATTTCAGAAATCACTATTAGAATTTGTTTTATTCTAAAATTCGTTGATAGTTGATGACCAAACTTATTATACCTACCATAGATTATACCTATTATAGATCATAAATCATAATATATTATTATTTATTTTGGTTTGGGACAAATACGTGTGTATAATTTTTGTTTTATGTGTATATATTGTAACGCGTAGTAATTAGTGACTTATACCTATAGGCTATAATTTATATATATATTATGCTCTAAATTGTATTGCCTATAGTGAGTTTGAATAAAGTATTGGCTAACGCATTTTCATATACATACGCAATGTATTATGTATTCATGATCATGTATTAACGTACAAAATTAAAGTATTTTGTATTATTTTTTTAATGTAAATAAACTCAATTGTATAAAAAGTTGTGTTGGTGTTTTTTTTTTTGCTGTTGTTATTTGTGTAGCATATAAGTGATACAAGTATACAAGTCGTATTACACATATTAAAAGTTGAATTATATGATATATACTTCGAATATTTTACGTGTAAATATTTTTTTTAAAAAATCATCTACTGCGCAACTATAGTTCATAACTATTTGAAACAAAAAACATTTTGGATAAAATCGTTTAAATGGAAATCCTGTAAAGGTGCTCGAGTTCGTTGACGAACACGGTGGACGCGTACTCAGTCTCGGATCGTTTACTCTGCTGCCACAGCACGTGGTCCGTTTGATACTGTCGAGGGACGAATTGCGTGCCGACGAATTGACAAAATTCCAGGTGAGTAAAGCATACCTGGTCAATTATTAATTTTACGGGAAGGAGGAGCCGGGGTATCCAATGTTTCATCACAAGGAATTTACTTGAATTTTACTATCATTAACCTCCCCTCTCTGGACGTTAATTCAGCAACAGTAACTCCCCTAAATGCTAGGTATGCGTGTTTTGCCAATATTTTTTCGGGACGTTTTCGAACATTGACGACACTGCTTACTACACCAAAAAAATATGCCATTGTCGGAGTTTCCGAATAAAATGTTGTCACTAACCATGTCTAACTTGGATTTTTGGATGTGTGTGCGTGTACGCCCATTTAGGCGGCTTTGATGTGGTCGAAAAAATGTGCCGCCGATGCTGCTGATAACAACAAGGCGGATTCGGAAGAAGCGGATTGGCGAGCATTATTTCGAGAACACTTTGCGCCCATCATTCAGTATCATAAGATCGCAGCCCGCGTAATCCTAGACGAGATAATGCCGTTGGGTGTGGTACCAGATCGAGATCTCTTGTCTGCTCTAGCTTATCAGGTATACATTGCTCAATCTTGTTATTTATTTATCTGCAAACGCCCGAAATCACAAAGAACCTAGCACAGACCCTAAGAAACACAGCACAGATTCTTAGAAATTGTAATGGGGGGGGGGGGCATTTGAGTATGCCACTATTCTTCTATGTAACTAATAACTATATATCATCCTAATCCATCTAATCCGCCTATAAATCATAGTGTACCTAATTACATTGCTAGCATATTATTATAATATCCCTGGTAATCCACACAGATGTCGAAAACGGAAATACAGTATACAAGCTAAAGTGTATTGTATTTATTGTAGTTATTTAATAGAAACATCATTAAACTTTAACCGATTTATAATAATAACATTTATCTGTTATCCTTTACGGCCAAAAATCAATATTAACCTCACTAAGCCACATATAGGCCATGTAAACTTTACATTAAAATACACAGACAAATGTATTATTATTTCTGTCGTCTGTTTATTATTGAACAGGCTGATCCGAACAGCGTACAATTAAATTCGGTGACCACCGCCGATCAGTTGCGGTGTGGTCGGCGGCGGACACGTTCTATGTCCGTGCAAAGTGGCGGAGCTTGTGCGGGCGACGACGATGACGTCGACGGCTGCCACCGCGTTAACGTCGCTTCCGGACCGTCGACATCGGGAGCCCTCGCAACACTGACGGCTAGCAGTGGGGGCAGTGGCGGAAGTGCAGACGCAGTAGCTAAACCTCAGCGCCCACCGCCCCCTCGACGTCGCCGGCGGGCATCGCATCAACATCACCAGCATCGACCACGCCACAGACATCATTATCACCGGTCGTCTGACTCGACGACTGCTTGTAGCTGCTGCACTAGTGACGACGATTCGGCGGATGATTTAACTTCGTCCTAAGCGTAATACGCTCTTCTCACAATGAATGTTATTGCATTACACTATAATACATTTTAAATATCATACGGCAATATTCATAGTAACAAACAAACAACGTAATTGGTACAATCAGTGGCGTAATTACGAGCTCGGCGTGGGGTGCGATAACGTAAATTTATTTTACACATGCTCGGTGATGACTTATGTCTTATTATTACTCCTACACCCTCATAGGGTGTAATCTAATTTACTATTTACCAACCCATTTATCACTATGGTCAGTATTTATGTACAGTAAATTACTAATTAGTATGTCTCAGAACGACTAGTAGCTACGCTGTTTACAAAAATGTGTCTGACATTAAAGATAGGTTTCTTATACCTCAAAATTATGTTTGCACCTCAGCTCCCAAGTGATGTGTTCCATTACTTTATTAAAGAGGAAAAATTAAAGAAAATAACGATAAAACTCATGATAGTATCAAATCAAAAGTGTAGTGTAGGTAATAGACATTGTAAAATATATGTTGTTGAAGAGGAAGTGGTGCTAAAATAAATGTCGAGAAAATATATTTTTAAATATAAAATAATAATCTAAAATACAAATCAAATACTATTTAACATTTATGAATTGATAAATTTATACAAATGCAGTGCCAGATATAATGAAGGTTGCTAGGTGCGAGTAGGTTCTTTTTGATTAATGATATTATATTTTGTACGAGGTCTATTTCTATTATTCTTTGGTTTAAGCCCTGGATCTCAACTTTTTATGAGTATCAAGCTGTCTCGAAAACATACTTCAGGTAGTTTAAATAAACCACCGACATTTTAAGCTAGGTGTCACTTGTCAGTGAAGACACATATTATATTAATTATTATATAAAAATGTTAATAAGTGGGATAATGTATATAAGGTTGATGGGTTCTTGCAAGTGGTGGGACTATTCGAATAAAAAAAAATTAGAATTTTCGAATACTTTATTCGCACGAATATTCGTTATTCGAATAACGAATATTCGAATTTTTTGTTCGAATATTCGAATATTTTATCATTTTCTTTGCAGGATTAATAAGATTAAAAAAAAATAATTAAGAGACAACTAAGGTGTCCTTGATCTCTTTTTAATAATTTATTAACAAAATAAATATAATTATAACGAATTATTCTTTTGAAAAAATAAATATTATTACTTATTACAACAAATAAGGTTTTAACAATTTATATATAGATATATAATTACAAAAAAACATAAATTTGACAAAATAAATATAAATAAGTTCTTTTTAGTTTTTTCATGCGAAAATTCGAATATTCGAATTATTTTCATACGAATAGTATTATTCGTTTATTCGAATAATTCGAATAATGGAAAAATTCGATTCGAGGTCTCAGCTCTAGTTCTTGCTCAATAGGTTTAGAACTACCAAAGTTATAAGTTCGACGACACTGACCCCCTGGCCCAAAGTGTCAAAATCCATCACTGGGAAGGTAATAGGAAAGAAGCCTCTTCTTAGGTATAAAAACCCCCTGGATAGATACAATATTGGCTTCAACCAGCTGTTATTTGTAATTTTAAAGTCGTTTTGAGGTATACTATCAAATAATGTACACATATTACGTTATGTATAAATAACAATTATATAATATTGTAATTTGTATTAATATTTAATATTAAGCTTTGGTATAATGCTTGTGATTGGTATCAATCAATTAAATGACCGTGTAATTATATTATATTATTATGTACACCACGATGATCCAACATAATGGTATGCGCAATCTGACAGACCATAAGCGTAACTAGATAGGACTTTGAGAGGCTAAGGCCTAAGCTCCCAAAATTATTTAAAGGATATTACTGATAACAATGTACAAGGATACTTGCAAAAAACTTAACTAACTATCATTGAAATATGCAGTTTATTATCTTGATCCTCTTGGCTTTTATTCTTAGATTAAATAAGTGATAGAAAAGGCTTAAAAACGAAACATTGATACCTCAAACCTCAAGAAATGTGATTTATATATTTTACATAATAATAGGCACTTAGTAACAAAAGGGCACGAAGTCCCTGTGGCTCATTTTAAAAATTAAAATTAGCTAGGGCTGTAGCTCATCATTTAGTTTAGTGACTTGGTTATACTTTGTCTTTACTCTTTATAGGCTATGCTGACATAGTCTTGTATGCATATTTACCAGTATATATGTACACGAGTTTTAAGAAAATAAATGATGTAATCTTAATTTTAAGGAGATATATATTCATAACATTATGTAATATCATATTCCGTGTATTGTTTGAAAATTGAATTTAATAAAAAGAAGGGTACAAATTCGACTTGACCTCATTGCATATAATATACAGTATTGCACACCTAGATCAAAACTGTAGCAACTCAAAAAATACATTTTTTTTCAGGAATTCCAAAAAAATTATTTTCATGTTTAATTACTGTAACTAGTTAAATAAACTTTAACTGTTCATTTTAAAACACTTTTGTACAACGAACGCAGGTCGCAGGCACACTCCAATTGAATCTTGATGTCCACTTGTTTTAAACGGCTTTGGTCGTTAGGATAATGGGATTAGTCATTTTTACAAAAAGTACTTACAGCGCCATATTTTTTAGGTGTGCGAATTATGTGAATAATATTATAGTATTTGTTTATATATTTATTATACATTGTAGTAATATTTAATCGATTTAGGAAACCAAATTTAATTGTTATATTTGTATTAGATTATTGATTAGGTAGCAATAATCCCAAATGGGTAAATCAACAGATTACTTAAGTTCGGTCAGACGTCAGTAGATATAAAAACATTATACTAAAAAAGATCAATGAGTTATTACATGTTTAGCTAAGAAATACAAATGAAAATAATTATTCAACTTATATTAATAAAATAAATAAACAGACTAGAATTGCAGTACAAATGTTGTAAAAAACACAAATAATTATACCTTAACATATATAGAAAAATAAAAATAACTTATTTTTAAACTGATAGAAAAAATATAAATACATAAACCTATTAAGAACATTACATTAAATTTAGTTAAGTTTTTATAAATAACATAAATGATCACGTATGATTTAAAAAGCACATATTAATATAATTATATTAACTAGTCATCATCCCAGTCATTTGTACTTTTAACTTTATTAATACTATTTTGTACTCTACCTAAAGCAACATTTATTTTTCTAAGCGTATCTTCATCGTTGACAAAATGTATATCATTAGTAACACTTTTTAGTTTTAACATTATATTTGTTTTTAAATCGCTTATCTCAAGTTCTTCTTTCTTTACATCTTCACTGACCTCGTTTTGAGTTCGTTTATTAAATATGCCCAACATATGAACGTGTTCACATATATTAAGCTTGCCATTGTTGCAGGAACACTCAAACATATGGGCACAAATGTTGTAACATCCTTGGCATTTGACTGTGCAGTCGATTATTTTGCAAAATTTTCGAACAACTGTAACAAAATTATTATTGGTCCCATCTTCCAATCTTATCCTCCATGTATCACAATTAACTGGAAAGATATGAGTAGAGTTATAGCACAATGCATTTTTATGATTATTCATAATTGTTATGTTGGTTTTTTCAATTTTGTCTTTTCTAATTTTTTGAATATCTAAAAGTGCTGTGAAAAATATGTGCATGTCTTTTGATAAATTTGGAGTAAAGCGTTTTTTATTTTCACACAGCAACAACATTTTATTGTATATTGTATCAATATCAATCATTTGATTTAGATTTAGTGATTCTTTTAAATAACAGAATGCCCACATGTAAGCTCTGCTGGTAAACATTTGATCAAAATAATTTCCAAATTGTTTAGTTATGTTATTTTTATTGAGATAATTTTCATTGTAGGCAACAATTTCTTCTTTCATACTCTTCTCTGGAGCATTGAAAAATGAACAAATTTTGTCATATATTTCATGCTGTAAATTTTGATTTTCTACTTCAGTTTGAAGTTTGTCAATAATTTGGTTATCAATATATCTTTGGTTAATTACATGTACAACCGGAGACATGATAGAACACCAACTTTCATACAAATCATAATTATCGTCTGTAATTAGGGCTTTTGCATAAATGGTACCAACTTTATTAAATATTGTATTTAAAAAAAATGTTTGAAATACTTTACTATCATTGCTTATCATAAAACATACAGGTACCATTACGTTAAATTCATCGCTAACACACAGCACTGTTAAGTACAGTCTAGCTTGTATCATCCTCATTTCAGTGATCATAAATATGCCATCGGATCCAAATTTATTTACCCAACAGCTTTGATTTCGACTCATAAAAATCAAAATTAAGTCTCTAGAATCAAAGCCATCATGTTCAACTTTACTTGGCTTATAAAATATGATTGGATTATCAGGAGTACGTTGTAGTTTTTGAATCCATCTATCAGTACCGAGATCATTAATTGTCCTTTGTTTTATGAACTCTGGATACTTAATACCTAATTTGCGCTCTATATTTCTTATATCTTTTCTATTTAGCATATGTATACGACCAATCGAATCTGAGGCTTTGGCACGTGCAGCATTAATAACAAAATCTGGATGATCACCTCTCTGAATAAGTTCAGTGATTTCTTCCCGTTCACGTTTTGTCATTCTCATGTGGTCCGTTGATATATTATGTCCATAATGAGTAGCACACAATAATACTTCAATAGTTCCATCTTTGTTTTGAATTTCTTTCATTGATGCAGTGCAAAGACCCTTCACTTTAGAAGGAGTGCTACGCTTCCTTACACCTTTTGATTTGCTTGTAAAGTAAGTGGAACGATTACAATAATAGTAGGCCATTTTTTTTCCATCGGGAAACTTTTTACAACCAGTAACACGTACATATCGACACTTATTTTCAAGCTCAAAGTCTTCTTTCCATGTTAAGAATTCTGAAAAAGCATAACATTGATAGTTTATACTCAATGATTATTAGCCTAAAAAGAAAATACAAAACTAATTATTTACCATTTACTGAAGGGAAGTTCAAATAACGAATATCAAAGTCAATCTGATGGTCAAATTTTAAATGGCTAATGAGGAGCTGTTTATTGTAAAATTTAAATTTACAATTTTTTTCAAGGCAGCGTAAATCAGTGCTTTTTCTAGGTCTTTTTGATATAAAACCAGATGTTTTTTTGTTTCCATTATGCATTGAGTCTAGATGATTCTTTAAACTATTTTTATTTCGAAATAAAAATCCACATAAGGCACACTCAACTAAATGATACCTAAAATACAATTTTATAAAAAAAATTAGAAAATACTCAGATATTTAAAAAGAATTGTTCTAAATACATTTTCATTCATGGGAAACATAACATAACACAAACAAGGCTAATATATGAATGTCTTTATTATGCATTTTAGAATAAAAAAACGTTATAAGACCCTAAATAAGTTATTTGTATACAGTAAAGAAAATACCTTTGAATGTTTTCATAATCTATGTTAGACATTTTGATGGCGTGAATCAAGATTATTGGATTTCGTTTCGTGCTTGTAATTTATGCCATATGTAACTTGTAAGTATTATTTAAAATACATCTATTTAAATTAATTATTTTGAAATACCTTTCGAGTTTCGACAGTTGACTGTTATTGTTAATTTCACATAATCACAGCAATAGGTATAATAAAAACCAAAACATTTTATTATCAGTATCTATCAGAACGAACAATAATAATATTTTGATAAAAATGGAACGTTATATTTTGTAGGGCGTATGGTCTCTACTACGACATGCGCATAGTTCCACAATTAATGAATTTCGTCTAGATAATATACTATATTAAATAGAGTGATATATTAATATTATATAGCTCCCAAGGTTTTTAGAATATTTATATTAGTTATTACAACTTTAAAAAGTCTATGGATATTATCAATATTTTGGAATTAGCGAAGGTAACGAGACAGCGAATTTAACTATCAATGCAGGCTGTAATTGGAGATTTAAGGGTTGAAACTTTTAGTTTATGTAGTTAAGTACTCTTATTATGTTGAAAACATAAAAGTGTAAATAGTTAATATCCATCTAAATATTTTTTAAAATTATCTTTAAGTTTAAAACACCAACTAACAATCATAAAACTTTATAAATTATTATAAAAATAAAGAATTTAAAATTTACAGAATATGTTTGCACCTAAGATGCCACATAAATAAAAAAAATAATATTTAGTAAGTATTTACAGTGTAATAGCCAATAGGTTCACTGCATAATGTACACTGTATGTGTATAATTCATTATTTTTCAAACGCATTTTAGTCGAGAAGCCAAGACACATTTAAAGTATTGTCACGACGTGTCTTTCTTGATTTTTTACCAAATCAATTAAATACATTTATTGATCGACAAAATAACTTTAATAGGAAAAAGTAAAAAAATGTTTGTATAATGTAAATACAAACAATGAAGCTAAAAAAATCTACTTTGTTAAAAAATAAAGTAGTATAGACAATGTAGGTGTTTGAATTTATCGTAACAAAGGAAAAACTGAAATGACTGTGGTCTACAAATTATAATTATTAATATATGCTGTCATTACTCATTAGTCATTGGAGACTGGAGTGTTTATTGTTCTCATGGTTAGATGTAGAGGAAAAAAGGTAATTTTTTTTATAGTTGACCCTCGTGTACCATCTAGATTAAAAACTGAATGCGAGAAACGCTTATTAAAGAATATATAATATTTTAAGACTACCAACGACAATCTGCGCAAAACAAAGTGAACGGAATAAATTACAAATAAAGTGCGCAAATATCAAAGGCCTTAAAGTGTATAAGTAGATTAAAATGAAAAAAAAAACCAAATTTAACCTTGATTTTCTAGGAACCTGAAATTATATTTTATTAATTTTATTGTTTTCGTGTTATAACAATGAGTAATGTGACATGTGAAGAAGTTTGGACCAATAGAGTGAGCTAGTGTTTACTGTTTATTGAAAACGTGACTTCATGACGTCATAAAAGCTACACATCAGTGTATTAATATTTCCTATCACGAAATTATCCGTGCTATATTACTATTTTATCAGTCAGTAGCCAGTATTCAGTACGATGTTATTCTTCAGCGTATGTTCTTGTCTAGTGTGTTGGTTTCTGAGTTTGTGAATATTTTGTGTTTACTTGGACGTGTGAATATTTTACGAATATTTACAATCAGTAATATTTATTTGTCTTTTATACGCTAGATATAGTTAATATTTTTATCGAATTGGCAAAGTTATGGAGTTAAGTTGTGATAATTGTTAAATTATGTTTGAACGTCTACAATATGATAGATATTTTAATAATTTAATGGGCGCGTCAACATATGCCAGCTTAAACGATTAAATAGACTAGTTCGATAATATTTTTAAAGAAGTTTTAATATGTCATTCATGATGGCTGATCGATTACCGGTTCCAAAATTATCAACATATATTTCGGCTACAGTCGTATCCATATCAGCAGCCATGTATTATTCAGTAAAATACAGCTCAGATGCAGCAAATGGTTCTAATTCTGTTGCTCAAAGTGATAAATACAACAACCATACAGATCCTATGGATGTATACTATGAACAAATGCTTAACGTATTAGCGTTTATGATACAGGACCCTATTTGCTTCTTGGTAAGTAACAAAATATCTTAAAATACACCTAGGTATCTGTGTTGCTAATGTGTTTACCTATATATTACACCTATATAGGTATCGACACACATTGTGTAAATTGCTAATTAATTGAACTACACGTTTGTAGATTGTTTTTCTAAAAATATAAACAAATGTCTGTATTTGAAGAACGTAAGCTATAAAAAATCTTGTTAATATTGATGTATTCATTTTATAAACCTACCTACATTATTTATGAATGGAGATTTATAAAGCATTATTTATATTTATATTACTTTCCCTTTTTTTTAAATAAATTGGTTTTATTGTTAAATATTTCTATTAGCTCAATATACAATAATATATATAAGTAATAACTCATAATCAATTTGTTTTACTCATAAAGCTTAATGGGTAAAAAAGAAAAGTAAAAATTATTCTAATTCTAAGGAGTATGAACTAAAAAAGTAGTTCTAAACCAAAATATTTTGTAAATGTAATAAATGCTTCAATGTAAATTGTTTGCTGAATTTGCTTTTTTAATCAAATCATATTTTTAGTAGTGACGAACATATAACTTTGATGGAGCAATTTGTCCCAATTATTTAATGTTAGTACAGCGGTACAAATTTGTATATAAAATAATGTGGACAGGCCACAAGGTCTAGTAATGAATTGTTTTCTTAATTCTTCTTATTACCGAAAGAGATTTATTATTTTTTTAATTATACATATTACCTTAATATCTAAAACACTATTAATTTCATATGGTTTCATTATTTGAAATATATTACTCTATACCTATTTTCTATCGTTATAAGAGCCAAGATGTCAATACATCATACCTCTGGTTAAAATTGTAGTGAAAAGAAAAACATGTTGTTTGATTTGTAGATGGTTAAAAAAACTATAAATATTTTGAGTTTGTATTATTCAACTCTAATTTTTCAGAACAAACTAATCATGCATGTAAAATAGCAAAATGTTATGATATGCGGCACGATTCATATTGGTATACTGAGTCCAGTATACTTATGGCCCAGTCAATGACTTTTTATTAATATACATACTTTTAATTGTTATTATTTTTTTTTAAAAACTTTTTTAGTTATTCGTTGGGACAAATTTATTTATTTATTTTATTATATTTAAAAAAAATATTACTCCATCCCTTATATGTTTAAAGTGTATTAACTTAAGTCTTTTTTAAAGGTAATGGATATATTTGATTAACTTGTTAAATTAAGAATAATTTGCTCTACATTTTGACTGATCGATAACCAGTTTTAGATAATTATTTTCAAAGATTAAAATTTAGGATGGAGAGTAGAGATATTTTTATCTGCATGCATTACTTAACCGCACTCCCCTCCCTCCTAACTTAAATAACTTTGAAAATAATTATCCAATACTGGTTATCGACCTGCTAAAATGTTCAGCAAATTATTCTTAATTTAAAAAGTTAATCAAATATATACGTTACCATTTAAAAAACAAGTTCATACGGTTTAAACATATAAAGAATGGGATTATATTTTTTAATAATACATTAAGTTTATCCAAACTAATAATTATAGAAGCATAAAATAAAATAATTAAAAAAAGTCTTATTTCTAGTTATTGACTGGGTCATAGTTAACCAATCACCTGGTACACATTAGATTTCAGATTATGCGGTTGGTTTATGGACTGTGCTCTCTAAACTACAATACTTATTATGAATTATCAAATTTATTTAGCTAAACATTTAAGTATATCAAATATAAAAACAAATTAGTATTTTAGAATTTGACCATCTCTATACATTTTAAGGCAGTAACTGCAAAATTTTTATTAAGAGGATGTCTCATCGATGATTTACAATGGTAAAAACATGTTTACACAAAACAGATAAAAGTACCTTTCAAAGTGATTTTAGAGATAAAACACCTATAATAAAAATAATAGAGGAAACTATTTCCGAGGAAACCTTATATTTTTCAAAATATTAATAAAAAAAAAGTTACCAAAATTTAAATAAGTTAAAAAAATGTATTTTTGCATTCATCATATTGACCTATGAATTATTAATAGGTAATGCAAAACGCATATGAGGTTCTCCCAGAAATCTTGTCCTTAAATCTTTTTTATCTCTAAAATTACTTTGAAAGGTACCTTTTTCTGTTTTGCGCGAACATGTTTAGATGAAAACTTATTTGAAATCGTTTTCTAGAATACTGTGATAGTTTAAAAAATAAATGAACTACCAAAAAAAGAGTTCTAATTACTGAATTAATAATTACACATCACCGTTTAACATTTAAATTAAGATTTGGCAAAAAAAATACGTATACTTAACTCCAGTGGTCGAATGGGAAGGGGGAGGGGGTGATTACCTCAACATTTTTTTCAGAAATTGTAGCGTATCCCCTGCTAATTTTTATAAGTGGTGATTTTTGGGGGTAAAAAAAATGCCGGTTACGCTTTTTTTTTTTAGTAAAAACTTCCCCTACTTTATTTTCCAATTAGAACACTGTCTTACTTTTTAATAAATAGGGGATATGACGTCCTCTCTAAAACATTTATACCTACTTTTATGAATTAGTGTTTTTAATTTTAAGATAGTATCTATTTCAATTGTAACAAAAAACGTATTTTTTTTATGATGGGTACTGATGCAAAAATGTATTTTATAGAATGAATATGCATGTCAAAGTAATAACCTAACAATACAATAATCCGTCTAAATCTCGTTTTAAACCAGTAGTTTGCACTATAAATAATAAATTTAATATCTCTTCCTTATAAACGTAGGAAATTCTCTACGCTCGCAGTAATTACTAAGATGACCATTAGATACATGTTATTACTTTTTAACAGGTATCCAGGAAGTCGGAAGTGTTTTTGAATTAATTTCAAATGTACTGAAAATCTCTTTAGGTTGTTGACCTTAGAACACGATGAATACAGTAAGATAATATTAATAATAGTGGGGTAACCATGTTTACTGATTTTGGTTTGTTTTTTGTTCACTATAATTTAAATATGAACTGCAGCATGATTAAGAAGTATATTATTTATTACTCATTTTTATTTAAAAGTGAGCTAAATTTAAGATGTATGTCTTTAATTTTAAGTATATACATTTCGATTGACTGACTAGATGACCTTAAAAAAACTGGATAATTTTCCGTGTCTGTAGTCAAGCAATCGACCACAGAAGGACAAAAGCAGCTGCAATTGATGAAAAACCTGTTATAGTTTTATACATTTATTCGTGATATACCTTAATGTAGAGGAAGTAGTTAAATATTACTTACACATATTCGATGATCAAAGTTTTATTCATTACATTATAACGTATGTTAAAATCTTAACAGATATTTTGATTCTGGTATTTTATAATATTACTCGCTAATCATACTATAGAAAAAAAAATGAATGCATCGTCAATTGTATTTCCTCAACTCAAAATTCGGACTTCAATACTATTAAGTTTAGTATGACATATTTTGCACGGATAAATCTATTTTAATTACAATCTATCTTAAAACCGTTAAGCAAACAACTACAAATTATTATTGTTGTAAAAAATTACGTTTAATGTAAAACACTACGGATTTAAAACATTCTGGCTCAAGGTTATCTTCCTCTAAGTATGTAAATATACATAGATCGTAATAGTTATTGGCTCGGAAGTAATGTACTGTGTAATTATATACATATATATATATATATATATATTATATTCTTTTTGTATGAAAACTATATTTAATATAGTTTACATACATCAAAATATATTACACCTAATTACGTTTTATGGCGTCATCTATACATGTATAATATATTGTTTTATATCCCAATATATCTTCTTAAATTATTTAAAATTTAGAGGTTTGTTTGTATTTGGGATGTAACTATCTACTTATTAAATTAAATTTGAATCTTATATCTACCTATATATTATTGATTTCTATTTTGAAATGCTATTTTACTAATTTTTTTAGAATATTAAATGTGCCTAGTTAACGGGAAACAAAATATTAATACGTCAATGCTTTACAGCACCGCGTTACTATTGACCGACGAAAAAAGATAATAACGTCACCTATTATATATGTAGTATGTTAATTGTTTGTAATGTCTGTTTAAATTCTGATAAATATGTGATAAATCTGACTATAATAAATATTTTGTTTGTGCGTTTTTCGTTTCATAGTTATATTATTTAAAACAACATTAAAAATATGACGTATACTTTCCTGCCTAAATAACAATCAATACAAGAGTAATTACGGGACTTAATGAACTTGAAACATTAGAGTGTGGTTCACAAACTACATAATATATTGTGTTATTTTTTTACTCCATAACAATTATCGTTCTCAACTATTATCATATCAATGTTTCGGGGTTAGTAACTATTTATTGCTAATTGTACTTATTTTTCTTTATGCTTATATCTACTGCATTAACACATTTTACAATTATTTTTACGATTTTTGTTTTAATTAGTAGTTTGAACTATGGCCATATACATTTGTATTTTAAGTTCTAACATAATAGTGTTAAACATTTATCGTTAAATATCAAAAGAATCCTACAATTATGTCAAGGCGTTACAAAATAAATTTGAACCAAAAATACAAATTATTTTTAATGTTAAGTTATTATCATAGAAATCATTTAAATATCATAGGAAAATTCTTATGATATTTACAAACTATTTATAAATTGTATGTGTAATTTTATACGTAGACTATATTATGAATTATTATTACCCATCAGGATTCAATATTAATCTTATATTCACTATTTTAATGAAGTTGTGGAATTAAATATGTATAGCATTAAATAAATAAAACTTACGTAAAAAGAGCCAGCACAGTAGGGTCGGAGCATAATGGGGAAGAAGTCACAAGTCCTAACAAATTATTATAACTAAATGCGATAAAATCCCTTTCAAATAAACGCTTTGATGTGAAAATTAATTTCTTCCCTGCACAGAAAAAACATTGAATCATGGTCCTGTTAATAGACTTAGAAGAAAATCTTATGCTTTTCCACGAGGAAAAGCATGTATGATGTATTAATATGTATATATAAATAACCGTGGCAAGGTAAATTACTCAACTTTTATTATTTAACACTCGTATAGTTTGAATAAAAATTAATTAAAATTTATGAATGCGTGCTATGTTCGCTGAAAAAGATAGAAAATTAAGGCCAATTGACTAATCCAAATAAGTTAATACCCTTGACATTATTAAGGAAATAACATTTTCTGCTTACATTCTAAAATGTCTATTGTCAATAGTATAAAACCAATAAGTTTAAAAATATATATAAATCTGCTGACCATTTTGTAGTATAAAAATGCCATGAACCATTTGATGTTTTATGCATTTACTGTAATTATATAAGCAACATTACAGCTTATCCTTTTAATTATTTTAGATTTTTTTTAATACAATAACATTCTGCAAGAAAATTTTCATTATTTACCAATTATATATTATTTTTACCCGTTAATTTTTACTATTTTGGAATCCTTTTTTTACCTTCATCGAATGTTTAAAATGTTGTCCAATTAAAGTCTATAATTGAATTCTTAATACAATAGAAGTATATAATTTATGATACTGCCATGTCGTAAACACAATAGGTAGGTAGTTATTCAATTATTCTATTTTTGGTAGTCATAACTTAGTAGGCCCTTTTTTAAGATATCAGTGTGATTGTATTTCGCTTTACTTATACTCTTGGTTTGTATCTAGTTGTGTATCATTATTCATGTGATGTATACAATAAATTATATAACATCATGTTATCATTTATATATTATGTGTGCGTGTGCCAATTTACGCCTCTTGTAACTATCATTTAAACTATCGTTTAAACTTGTAATAAACTAAACTACTAATAATAAAGTCTTACTAATATACCGTAAAAAAAAAAAAAAATATGTACCTACTTATTTTGTAATATCCTTTTTATATTTAAAATTTAGAATATATATTATTTGTATACCTATGCACTAGTATAAACCATAACTAAAACAACATAGACATCTTATGTTATTACCAACATACGGTCTTGAAGTATAAGAATAATGCGTATAAAATAAGTAGGTTTAAAAATAATTTCTTTAGTATGTTAATATATTATGCTGTTATTTTTTTGGTAATAATCTTAGCCACAAACAGCAAGTGACAACAATCGACATAGGTTTACTCAATAATCTGAAAATGCATTGAAAAAAATATTAAATATTAATACCGTTATAATACCTTAAAGTACTAACAGAGGGCCTTAAGAAAAAAGTATCTATAAATCTTTTACATGGATAAATTTAAATGAACAATTGCATTGAATATGAATTTGTGAATCATTTTTTAAGCGGTATAGGGTGAAGGAAATTGATTTTCCTTTGAATCGACATGACAAACGATCATACTATGTTATTTAATTTTATGAATAATTAATAATTTTCACTTTTTTATCCTTTTTTTATTACTAAAACATTCAAACGAATTAAAATCATATTTTACGTGTATTTTCCTATAACTGGAAAATAAGCTTTAGCTCTACGGTTCTACCTCGGTAACCTTTTGTTTTTAAAAATAAAAACAAAAGACAGACCTTGGCTCTCATAATTTAATAATAATGTACTTATTGTTATTAAAAGCTTTGATGGCTGATAATTACTAGATATTATCGTAATGACAAAATTGAATCGTTCTTATTATAATAAAATAGTTTTACCCATAAATCACTGAAACACTTAATATGGACATTATATTAGTAGAATGCAATGTACAAAACAAAAAAATTAGTAAAATTTGTTTTACTAAGTCTCATAACACATTAGTCATTGTTAAATATAGGTAGAACAAACACAACCATTATTAACTGTTATACAAAAAAAATTAAGGTTCACAATTTATCTTTGATAAAATTGTAAAAATGATTACTACATTTTTAAGATGTTCTATTTTACGAGTGTGTCAACATTAAAATTTGTAATGTGTTTGTAATTTTACAGGTTTTATGTAATAGCGCAATATGTGCTACTGTGATGATTGGTGCAGCAATACAGTCACTTGTTCTTGGTAATTTAAGACCAGTGGAACATGTTCAATTTCGTGAACGTTTATGGAATTGGGTTATTTACAAGTTCATATTTATGTTTATTATCCTAAAAGCATACACGTTGGACAAAGTGGCTTTGTGGTTGTTTTGGTATTCAACCCTGGGTTTTCTTCATCTAATGACTAATTTGTGCAAAGATCGATTTGAATACGTGAGTACTTACATATTTTATCATTTTGTACTTAATAGGCAATAATTATTTAGTAAATTTGTAGAAAGAGTTGAAAACAAAACCGGTCAGGTTTTGTTTGCTGACTATTTCTGTATGATTATTTATATTGTTTCATTTTTCTATTCAAATTTCTCTATCCGTTCCACTTATTAATGGACGTCGGCAACGTATTTTTTGTTCTTAGAACTACTACTTTTTTTTTTTTTTGGTGTTCTGATTGATCTCCTCAACTTATAGTCTTATCTGTAACTTGTACTACATTTATTTAGTATATGTACTGCCAAACCAAGTACACTATATTAGAAGTCTACTTACATTTATTAATCAAAAAATTTCCTAAACTACTCTCCAACCATAATTTACTACTTTTAATTGTGAATAGTTCTCTGTAATGTATATCTTAGACGGTTACTTTGTTTTGATCTGTGATAAATTATAACACAATGACATTTATTTATTGTAAGAGATTAGTTATTACCCGCACACAATTTTTTTTTATAAATATAAGGTTTTTTTAAGATATAGGACTAGAAGTTGTATTTATAATTTCTTTGCAATTTTTATCATTTGTTATATTTATATAATATTAAACTTAAAATAATTAATTATCAAATATATTAAATAACTGAAATCGTCTATTTCAATTGGAGTAATATTGAAACGAAGCAAATTTTAATGCAATTTTTTAAATAGTATAATTTGTAGTGCTAAATTTGTAAAAACGCTTTTAACTACAATATGATATTTTATACATATTAATAAAACGCAAATGATGTTTTTACTAAACGAAAAATTGTTTATACATACACTTGTAACTAAATTATTATACACGAGGCTTGGACATTAGCCACCTTGATTTAAAAACAACTATTTTATCCTATTTATAGATCGTAGAATATTAAAGTATTAAATTGATTGTCGACTTTACTTACTTGGTAAGCTGTTGTATTTAATACAACGTTTACAGGGTATTTAGATTAAAAAAACATATATTAGTGTGTACATAAAGTGTAAGCACAATGTAAAAGAATATTTATTTGAGATTGTATTCAACTTTTATTTCTGATTTTTTGTAATAAATTAGTTACAGTAACATGACGTTTTTTTGAAGGTCCTACCAAAAACAATTTGTTGAGCTCTAGGGCCAAAAAAATTAGTGCCACTATAAATAAGCGAAAAATTCTAACATACATAAATATGATTTTTCTCACGGAGTCCAGAACCTTCCGATACTTATTTACATTACGTTTTTTTAACAACAAGTTCGACAACATTAATTTATTTTACATAATTATCCATCTGGTATTACCTACTATGCAAACTAAGTTTTGTATAGTAGTATTGCTATTTTATGTAATACAATGTGACGTATAGTTGACCTTGTGTGTACTTGGGTTGGTTTATCGTTGTTTTTCATATTATGGAAATTCTGAGAAAAAAATTGGTTTTATTCTTAAGTGACCTCTGCGGCTTGAATTTATCGTTGACTTTTCACGTTCTTAAAGGCTCATTTACACGATGACAGTAAATGGTGATAGTTAATGTCATGACAGAAACTGTCGTTGTGTAAATTATTCGATAGTGGCTACGACAGTACTGTCACACTATCTAGTCAAGCTAGATAGTACTGTCGTTCTGTCATTACCATTACTGTCATCGCGAACAAGTTTCGTGTGTCCAATATCCTTAGGCTGTTCGTGGTACTACAATTTTTTTAAAAATATTTTAGTCGTATAATATGAGCAATTATTTTTTTATTAAAGAACCATGGATTGGTTTGAACTTGATCGCAGATATTTCAAATGAACTTCATTTTAGTTTTAAGACAAGTTCAATTAATTTAGATTAGGTACGGTTTCGTCTGGGACGTTCTCAATTTGTATCAAAATTATATTTAATTTACTGATAAATGTCAGTATAATAATAATTATATGGCGAAGCAAATTACAACTAATTTTTAAAATATGCAATATACTATAAACTTGTAAAACTTTTAATTAAATATTATAATTTGTATTTATAATTTGGAATTATAAGTAATTTTTTTTTTGTTAATCCAAAAGGGTAGTTTAAATTATTTAATGAGTTTTATTAACACATTTTGGTTTGTCTCAAGTAGTTTTTAATTCATTAACAGAAAATGTTTTGAGAAAAGGTAGATTAATCAAAAAGTTTTAACTAGTAATAACGACACTAGTAAATGTCAATGTATAGCCTTACACGCTCTCATTAGTCATTGTATTAATGATGCTATATTTTGTTTTTTCCCGTAGATACTTCTGCAAATATGTTTGTATAAAAGAATTTTAAATGTCCATTTTTACGAACATTATTTTGTGGGCATTCCTTTTGTAGACAATTTTTTTTGTGAGCTTTCTGTCGTAGCTATTAAATATTTTTTAAAAGCGGGTCAAATTAAAAATATATTACATAGAAAAATAATAAGGTCGATGTAAAAACAGTATAGTATAGCCACAGTACTGTTGTTTATTTACATAATAAATTTCGCCTTAGTGCCTACTTAATCTATATAGGTACCTGATAAAATAGTTATAAGATTCATATTGTGCAACGAATGACAACTCCAAAGGTTATTTATGTTTATTAATTTCATTTTTTAAAATATTATCATGATTTCCGGTGTAGTGGAATGCGTTTGGCCTAGGTTGACTTCTTATGTATAAAATTAAATATAATCATGAGTATTAATAGTATATATTTTGTAATAATAGTAGAACTTACAAAAAATAGTGGTAATTAATTACTGGTCAATGACATTTCGACGAAGCATCTTAATCTGTGAATATTTAATAGAGAACAAAGCATAGTTCAGACCAACGTTAGTACACTCGAAACCGTATAAAGCATATTTTAAAACGGTAGTTCCATAGACCTACATACTTATCACTATAACCTAAACTTTATTATTATAACTTATAAACTATAAACCTAACTTTTTTACTGTTGATCTTACATTAAGCTTCTAGAGACCGACTTACGGAACATTCCATTTTGAAATTTTTAATAGGTTTAAAATATAAAACTTAACTCTAAAATGTTCTCCAATCGAAATTCATTTATGATTAAATTTAGGTGAATTCTTGTTTTTTAAAAAAAATATAGATATACTTTTACAAAAAAAAGGTTTTGTTTCTACAAAATGTAATCTTTAAGTCATATTTTAAAATAAGAGAATGTCACGATATATTTAATTTATAACTTTATGAAAATGTACAATTCGAGCAAGCTTTTAATGTTAACTTGACAATTGTGAGATTTTTCACTTTTAAATCAAATACCAAAATTAAATATTAAATAGTAAATAATAATAGTAAATAGTAGTTTTATAATATAATATATTTATATTATATAATATACATAAATTATTTATTTTCATAAACTGTATATTATAATATATATATATATATATTTTTTTTAAATTATATATTTTAAAACATAACTCCTATGAGTTTTAAAAGTATGAAGGCTTTCCGTTTAACATAACTCACATAAGATATACTAAAAGGAGAATTTAAATAAAAAGTGATTTGCATTGGTTTTAGTGATACCTTTTGATAATTTACACCGAATATAGTCGAAACTTATTTTGTAAGACAGAAAATCAAAAATTTATTTAATTTTATTATAAGTACTCTAAGTTTAATAAAATAAATAACATAGTTTGCGATTATGTTAATTGGCGCAAATAATTATTTATTTATCAATAACGACGTTGCAAAATTAAAATTAAATTATACTGAAATAAATCAAAACATGTTTTGATCAGAAAACTGCCAAGTTAGTGATTATTTTTAATGTGATAAATGCATTTGATTATTATATACGTCGTATATCTATTTATAAAAAGGGAACTTTATACTTATGGTTTATCTTTTACTTTTAAATCTCTAAAAACTATGTAACGGAATTGCATCACAAACACATATCAATATCATGCTTGTAAAATTTAATAATTATTTATTAATGATAATCCATAGATAATTTTTAGCTTAGATTTTCAAATTATGTTTAATTAACTTTTGGAAATAGCTTAAAAACGCTAAAAAAATAACCAAAGTATTTATCATTCTGTGATTTGTGATGTTTTCGATTATCAACTACATGATTTAGCTTCAATAGGTAGAAAGGAATAGAAACTTTCTTCGCTTTTTTTTTTGGCGTAGTTTTTGAGAATCACGAAATAAAAATTTCTAATTTTAATTACAACCCCGGAAAAGGTCTCTCAACTATAGGAAAAAAAACTAAATCCTAATCATACTTTTTTTTTGGCTAATGAGTGTTAAAAGAATGAGGTTAAAAAAAAAAAATTCTTTAGATGTGTTGAAGATCTAAAGTATCTATTATATTATTATATAATATAATAATATAATAATTTATTTATAATTATAGCTATAATTATTATTGGAAATTATTATTAGATATTATTATTAATACTAATACTACATTAAACTTGAAACTAACGATAAAGTTGAAATTGGATTGACATGCAACTCCCATCTAAATTAAAAGTATTGTTGCACTTAAATAAACAATATTATGCAATTTACATCGTCGTTTTTTTAAATTCTGTAATTAGTTTGTAATGAGTCATTCAAAATAAAAATAAAACTTATTCTAAACAATACGTACAAATTAAGCTATTATAGATACCAACGACATACAATGTAGAATGTTGTTTTCTATATATTTTTAAAGTTTCAAAACTAGGTTAACCACAAAAAAAAAAATAAGACCATATTTGCGCCATTTAGTAAACAATTAACATGAACAACAATACATGTAATAAATAAATAATTATCAGTAGGTAATCGCTCATCAGTTTAGACATCTTAAGCTCATGGACATCCGATTTTAGACACATGAAATGTTTTCTAAATTCTTATTGACTTTGATGGATAACTCCATACAAATATCATACTGTTGGATGTTGCACATGAATTATGTCAAATATCAACTATAGCTATAGCAAATATCTCGTGTTGATTGTATTATAACAATGCTATTAGCTTATGTTATAATATATATTATATCCTTTTCAAAATTCAATTAAAACTGTCGTTTTTTAGCTATGCCATTATGATTTTATTGTTTTTGATCATACACTATGTAAGTGCATAACAAAACTACCTAATAATTTACCGTCAATAAAGACAATAGTTAGCACAGCAAACGGTAAAATATATTTTCTATTTAACAAATCAATTTAAAATATATAAATATAAGTTCAATAAAAAAATCTCGAATTACTATTAGACCTTCTTGGGGTGCTTTGTTAAAAAGTATTTTTGTGAAAGGCACATATCAAAAATTGATTACCTTGTCAAAATCATTTTTTTTTACTGGCTCATATGTAATCATTATTGCTTTTTATCTTTATTTTATATTCAAGTGTTTTATTAATGATATCTATTAATTTAGTGTTTAGTTTTCTAAACATACACTTCATTTGAATTTGTAGACTTTAATCGTTTTTTGAACAATTTTATTATAATATTATCGTAGGATGATTGGCTTTTTGTACCAAATGTTTTTCCGTTTATCATTAATCTCTTAACTAATTTTAGATATGATTGTGCAATTTTCCCATATTAATTATTGTCTCGTTTAATTAGTAATTACATATTTACTTAGAAATAGACATTAGCGCATTTAGAAATAACAATCTCTTCAAGTTATACAATAGACACAAAAAAACATTAGAGAAAATATAAAATATAATCGAAAACATAATTAAACTGCATTAGCTACCACTTACCAGTTAGGTAATAGAGTTTTAATAGCTATAATGTTGGCGGTGATGACTTGGTCTACTTATTTTGCCCTCTCCATTATATCCCACGCTATCGACTTTTGAAACTTAAACATACATATTTAGTTAACTTTATGAAAGTAGACTAATTTGCTGAAAATGTTGATTTGTCAATACAACCAGTTTTAGATAATTCATTTTAAAGTTATTAATGTTTAAAATTTAGGAAAGGAGGTGGAGTGGTAGAGTACTGAGTAACGAGCGCAGATAAAATAGCTCTCCGCCCTTCGGATCGAAGGTTTTTTTAAAAGTGATTTTATCTTTTTCAGTAGTAATAATTCATATACCTGTACCTCATCTACCCCAACGTATTTTGTCCCCACTATGCTCTGACTCTATTGTACTGTCTTTTTTATTTATTTATTAATTAATTACGCTCATTGACATCAAAATTTACTTACATTATTATTTATTATCGTCATACTTACTACAACCAAAATACTTTAATTTTTTCAGTATTAATAATTTTATAATTGAATTTATAGTAATTCCACACAACCCTTCAGGTAGATACGCTACCTTTATATTCATTTTCATTCCATTCTCTTGAAATTTGAATGTTGAAAATTGAATCTGTATTATAATTAATAGTATATTTACGTTTGTGTAGTTAAATATAACAATTATGATATTCAAATTATCTTTTTTACAGATGTGGATGTCTATGGGAACAGGCACTCGAGTTAACTGGAAATACATACACATGTCTATTCTTTTGAGTATTGGATTTATATTTTCTTTACTTTTATTGAGTTTCGCTTATTATATTGGTCTAACCCTATCGAAACATATATTTGCCTTTATGGTGATTGAGGTAATTGAATATATTACAGTTTTTGAATAACGTTTGTACTTTATACTACTGTATAATTTGTTTTCTAGTGTTTAATGTTAGCTGGAAGCATAGGTCACATATTTCTTAGACATTATATTCAGCTTTTCCATCGAAATTCCATGAGTCATACTACAAGTCCTGGAAAATATATATATTATGCTGAACTGGGTCTAGATCTTGGAATTCGTTTGATGGAAATCCTTCATTATTCACATGCCATAATTTGGACAAATTCGTATTTGACGATGGCCGGATTTGTAATATTCATGCATATGAGACAGCTAATTAGTGATATTCAAAAACGGCTTCAAAGACATAAAAATTATTTGTGGGTACATGCCCATTTGGAAAAAAAGTAAGTTTTAACAAATTTAATTTATTATATTTAAAATTTAGTTCTTATCCAATACGATTTAAAAACTGTAGCTTAGCTAAGTGTTTTTTTCTACGAACACTAATTTAATACCATAATATTAGTTAGTTTATTAAACATAAACAGGCATATTGGACTTGGGTATAATACAAAAAATAAGTATGTCGTTAATGTAGTGTACATTTTTAATTGTTATAGCTTCGTTAACTTTAATGATTTTTTTCTTCATTGTGTCTGAATATACTTTTAAACCACTAGACCAATTTCAGTCTACAATACTTTGTTTGAATTAATCAATAGGGCTTAAGCTTTTATATAATATATAGTGGTATATCCCATTATGACTAGCATGGTGTGACCGGTGACGAAGTGATAACCTCAGCCCTCAGGTGCACTTGAATTTTAATTACGTCTGTAACTGCCTAATCCCGGATGGATAACCAGTACCAGAATAAAATATATATTCTATAATACCCGCCATCAATTGCCTAATACAGAATGGCCTACAAAGATTTGACAAATGGAATAACTTTTGTTTTAGTGAATATTTTTAAGATTTTTAATTAATTTATTATACTCGTTAGTGCTAAAAACACCACGTTTTTTATTACACTTAACTGTTTATTTTTTTTAAATAATTGGCTAATATGTTGAATGGTCAACAACCACTTTTGAATAATTACTTTTAAAGTTATTTAAGTTTAAAGTTAATGATGGGAGGTGAAGTGCGGTAGAATAATGCGCGCAGATAAAAATAACTACTGCAATCCACCACCAGTTTTAAATTTTAACCTTCAATAACTTACAAAGTAATTATCCAAAACTGGTAATCGACCGTTAAAAATTCTAAGCCAATTATTCTTAATAAAGTGGCTATCTTGAAAAGTTTACACAAAAAATTATTTAAAAAAGTTGAATACGTTAACAATTAATACGTTATTTAATTCGTTACCATTTTCTCGTTGAATTTATTTATGGCTGAGTGCTGATTCCTTGGGCAGACCTGATAAACTAATAAACCATTATAACTGTTTAATAGGGTGACGTTTTAATTAAATAAAAACGGTTTTAACACAACAGTTTCATAAACCAATCGACCTAACCTAACCAAACATTGTCAATATAACACGTGCGTAACGACCCAATTTGATATTTGATATTTATGCATAATAATATATTTATTGTGTGCTTTGTATATTTCAATACAATAATAGTAGCTATAACAATATAAGAAAAACGTTAACATTTAGTAATAGTCATTAATCAATAGGATATTTGATGTCATTTTTAAAAATTGCATTATCATCGGAGGAACATTTAACACAAGTCGATTAATTTAAAAAATAATTCCAATCTCTATACAAAAGACCGGTAACAATATCACAACTTTTTACTGTCTGCGGTATTTTGATGAGGTGTATGAAATGTTCACGTGTTTGGGCACCTCTAGGCTCAATTAAACAAAAAAAAAAGTTAAAATCATGTTTAATATTTTACATATGCACAATTTTATCTTAAAAAAATTACTAGGGTCAGTCTTATTTAAATCTACGTTTGACATCAAAAACAGTTTCATAAAGTTATTTGTAAAAATGTCTCCGTAAAAAAAGCATAATATTATAAATCAAATAACTTCCTCATTCTTCTACTAAAAGTCGATTTATATTTTTTTAACAATGTAACACAAAACCCGTTTGTTCTAAGGTCATGTCTAAATTTTTTCATTGTGTAGTATTATATATACATATAAAACATAAATACAATTCAAACTCAAATTTTTTGAGTTTAATATACCATTCTCGTACTCATTATAAAAAATTTACTACATTCGATTTTTTATAATATGAAGGTAGTACTTTTGTTGTAGGATTATAGAATATAAGCGGTGAATATCATATTTTATTTTGTTTCAGTTATTTAAGCTTTTATGGATATCGATCAATTGGCTAAAATCATAATAATTTATGAGCAGCTCCCTATTATACTTAACTTCATCGATTTAGTTAAATGACCTTGGCTATATGAATAAATAATTATGTATTGGCTTATTGTCTTGGGTTACAAAGTGCACTTCTATTAAATAAAAGCATGGAAACAAAATTTTGTCATAACCTTTTTTCTTTCAAAAGGGAAGGATTTTTTCGTTTTAAAAATATTTTTAGCACAATTTTCAAAAACTGATAAGAATGAAGTAAAAACAATTTTCAAAAACGTTTCAATGCAAATGTTAGACACTTTATGGACAGGTAGCTTCTAAGTGTGTCGGATTCTTGCTCTATCCCAAAGTTAAGAGAACGAACTACGAATTGTTTGATTGTGATTCTATAGCTTTAAATTGAGTCACATACTGTTTTCAGCTTTGATCCTACTGTGTAGTAACTTCTTACTGCCCGTGTAGTATATTTGTTTGAGTTTATTATTTAACACTTTAAAGTTTTAAAATGTCGCCAACTTTTTATTTTATATACTTAATGAAACCAAAAATTAAAATAAAGTGCCCTTAAGTAGATAACATAATTTTTTGTTCTTAAATATGTTTCTGACCCCGATTGATGTTTTGACCTCTCCTGCGATTTGGATTCTTGTGACAAGAGGTCCCTTTTCTCTTTAAGCCTCACAATTTTTGTTAAATCACAGCATGGTTATTTAAAACTCGTAGTAATGTTATCAGCCTGTATTGTGGGGTAGGAATGTAAATATTTAGTTAGTGATACAAGACGTTATTATAGCTTTTTCATTTTTAAGTTTTAATTAAATTATTGTAATATGGAAAAATCATTTTTTTTTTCGTGGATCATATTTGAAATAATTATCTTGTATTTTTAGTTATCCGATGGCAACTCTTGACGAATTGGAAACCAACTCAGATAACTGTGCAATATGTTGGGAAAAAATGGATTCCGCTAGGAAATTACCATGCGGACATCTATTCCACAATGGATGCTTACAATCTTGGATGGAACAAGAACCGTCGTGTCCCACTTGTCGTCTTTCATTGACTTTAGCTCATGAACAGAACATAGGTGTATCAAATTCCACTAATAATGTTGGTCAAGATACTTTGGGTACACATGTTCACACACCTCACCACTTTTTTCACTTTGATGGTAATTTCAAATAATTATTACTATTTTTTAGTTTCAATTAAGTAAACGAATATTCAACAGCCTTCAAGATTATTTACACATCTTTTCTTATAAAATATCTGTAATATTTTTATAACATTTACAAATAATTGTAGTGTAACATTTTTGACCTGTTAATCATGTATACAAAACATGTGATTACCTGAACAAGCTACTAAAAACAGTTTGATTGAAGGGTAATAGTAATAGTAGTTCATAGTAAAATACTGTTCATGCTATATGAATATTAAACGTCTGTAACATTTTACATGTGTTATTTTCTAAAACGTATATTTTTCTAGGTTCTAGATACTTATCTTGGTTACCAAGTTTTTCAGTTGAAGTTACTCATTCACTAAGGCCACCTGCACAAATGCAAACCTCACAAGTAGAAACAATGGCTAGACAGGTAATTGTATAGTTTTCATTAAAATATAGATAAATTATTAGATACATTTTTTTCTACTAATAACTTTTGTTTTATGTATAATTAGGTCATGCAAATGTTTCCATACTACAATATGAATGTGATAATCGAAGACTTACTAGCTACCAGGTCAGTTGATTTGACTATTGATAACATATTAGAAGGTAGGCTTGTTTCGCCACAACAATTTGTTGAGGAAGAGCCTTTAATTGAGACAATTCCTGCAGTTAATACAGTTGAACAATATATAACTAATACAACACCTCCAACAAGGTATTTCATGTTTATACTTATTTTATTTTTCTAAATCAATCATTAATTATGTGGTACAATCAACTATTAGGTTTATTTTGAGTTCAAATGAGCCTGTAATAGACCCAAAAGTGGGAAGCCAGTTCTCCAAGTCACCCGATGAAAGGGAACATATGTTAAAAGCTAGGAAACAGCAAATGATCATGAGCGCCAGACAAAGATACATGAACAGAGAAGATCATCCCAATGCCTCATCTAGACTGGATCATTAAATGGAGATTTTTTAAAGATATTAAGACTGTGATTAAATAGTAAATACCCATATGCTGTTAGTTGTTTAAAAGTAAAACAAATTTCACATGATATATTATTACATTCAAGTTACGGGTAATTTTTTTAATAATCTCAAAATTCGGCCTTTAGTTCCTGTTCTGCTTGATCATTTTATACAATTTGGTAGTAAAGAGAAATATATTTTAAATGGCAGTAATATTGTCCCACTCCGCCTTGTAAGAAAATATCAGTTGATTAAAATTTTGAGGTAATAAAATATGAATTACCTGTATATAATTTATTTAACTTTAATGTGTATCTCGTTATAAATATACACTATTTTTCAAATTATTATTATTATTAAATAATAAAAAAAGAAAAATATTTCTTAAATTAAAAACTGCTGTTCAATTTGTACAAAAAAAGATTTAAATATTGACCGATGGTTATTTTTTAAAATATCCAAAATATTTGTTCATTACAACTTTTATATGTGAGCAAAGGTGTGCTCTAAACATAAGAACAATACATTTATTAATTCATTATCATTTTATAAATATATATAATATATGATATTCTGAACCACTTGTGATTTGTAACATATTACAAAAATTAGTTCTAAATAAAAAAAAGACAAAATATGTGTATAATTATAAATTCAAGCAGTTTTTTCATTATTATAGAAATGTATACTGAACACTTATATATTATGTAACTATAAAATGAAATTACATCACCTTAAAAATTGTATAACGTTTTTTAACAATCTGTTAACAATTTATTTTTATCATCAAACAAATCTTTGTTATGTTTTTACAACTATTCCTAGTCAAATTGTAAATCATTGTAACAAATATTATAATTTTACATTTCTAATTTTAAGAATACATATTATAATTTTTAGTTTAAACTTAAGTGAGCATAAAAAAAATGTAATAAAAGTGAAACTATTTTTTTTTTTATGAAAACATGTATATAAAAATAAATATAGTACATAAATAAGTAGTCTACAGATTTATTAATTTAATATTTTAGTATTTTATTTAATTATGAACATAACACGTAAGTGAGAAAAAACGATATTATTAATTCAAATTGTAATTTAATCCTTTTTCTACCCAATGAAATTCATAATTGTTAGATGTAGTACAACATGTGCAAAAATAAAATCGGCAAACCCACGTTCTGGACTGATATCGCTGAATTGAGATTTGTTTTGTGGGTTAGCTTGTAATCGCAAACACACTATAAAAAAAAAACATATTTTATTAACTAAATTTAATATTTCGATGATAATAATAATATGATGTATAGTAGCAAAGTGTACTTCAAAAAATCAATTATATATAAACTTATAAATAAAACTAACATAACTTTATAAAAACTGCAACTATGAACAGTTAATAAGTATAACTATAATAATATATTAATAAATAAATAAATATTTATATAATTTGTGAAAAAATCTGCTAAGTATTTTAAATGCATTAAAATTATGTTTTTCTTGTAAATGATAAAGAGCAATTTTGAGATTTTTTATTGAAGAAATGAATGCACAATACGTATCCTGAAATATGCATGCCATTACATTTTTCGCATATTCATAAACAGTAATAGTAAATAACATTGCATTAAAATTATGTATTACTTTTCATATAATAAATATTTAAATAGCATATACTGTACTCCTAATTAAATAGTATTACAAAAAAACAGATTCTTAAAAATTTTACTCTGAATGGCTTTTTCCATATTAATAATATACCAATTTACAAAAAAGATTAATTACATAATAAAATAAAAATTAACTTAAATTTTTGTCAATATCAATAAACATTAAGGTGCCAATGTTTTCACTTTGAATTGGAGTACAATATGAACTTGTACTTTATTGGAAATATTTCAGCTCAACAATTACATAGCTTAAATATAGAAAAACACATATTATATACATTGTTAATGGTAGTTCTTAATTAGAAAATAAACCCAGCAACAATGTTAAATTTTAAGATGGATTGAATGATAGGAATAAAACGGACGCCAAGAATATCGTAGGAGTTAGGATCGTAAATACACATAGATAGTAAGTTAAGTTTTTTGGAAGAGGATAATTCTGTGGAGAAATGATAAAGCAGATGAGGAAACTCACAAATAGATGGTAGATCATGCAAGGAGCAATTTAAAGAGGAGTTTAAGGGAAAGGGGGAAGAAGGTTGTGTCCAAATCTTAAAAGAAACGGTTGAGGTGGCTGCTGGTAAGTGAATCGGTAGTCTCGTTACTGATGACCCCAAAGTGCCCCAGGGCCCGTTAGATAACTACAAGGAAATTCAGAAATATTTATTATAAAGATATTCTAATGATATCGATATTGTCACTCTTAATTACATCCAACCATATTTGTTTCGACCGCTTTTTTTTTCATCCTTACACATTATTTTCATTGCCGAATATCGACTTAATTTAAATACCGTTAATGTTTTAATGGAAAATCAAAGTACTTACCACCAAGAACAAAGCTACTGACTGATGAAATAAATCCGCTAAGGAATGAATTAAACGGAAACGTCCCGACAAGACAGCAGTAGGAAAATTGTACAATTCCGGTTAACATTATGTATAATAAATAAGCGTCGATTATTTTCAATTTTTTCGACGTAGTCTTTACGTAGTCATCATAAAACTTGGAGACGATACCTACAATTTTAGCCATTATGAACAATGTTATTTTTTGTTTATAAAAATCGTATGGATTCCACAAAGTAAAAAAACGTTAACAACCTATTCTTACGATTACAGACCACAGTAATCAGTATTATATTTGTTTCGTGACATATCACATTGTATTATCAGGACGATTGGGGGAAGAGTTTGTTATGCATTACGTGTAAATTACAGTTATCAGAAACACACTTTATCATTTTTGCCGGCCGCGTCGTTCATGGATTAAACGATTCGTGATCAAGAAATAATATTAATATAACAGCAAATAGATTTTAACAGAAAATAGGTATAACAGCTACATATATACGGCGAAAGAAATAATAAATTACTATAAATTATAATATTGTAGTTTGAGCTTTAAATATTTTATAGTCATTAAATGGTTTGTCGAAGTACTGTATATTTTTTGTATTAATGTAATTTTAGCTATTTGTTATAGTTTTATAATTTATAATAAAAATATTATAAAAAAAATTCGTGCTGTATTGCCGAGACTTTGTTTAGTTGTGTTAAGTTTATAAGCTATATAGATTATAGACAATATTTAAATAATGAAATCTATAAACCTTGACAAAACCCTAAGTACTAGTACTGAAGTTATTAAAAAAATATATAATAACGAAGCCAACTCCTCAAAAATTCATTTTGCTTTCATAATACATTATTTTCAATTTTAGAACTTTTTGTAATTGACCCGAGATTAAGCCTTGAGGTGAATGAATAAGTTTAATAATAGGTATAAGTAGCATCATTAAAATTATCCATCTTGATATTTTATCCTAGGATTTATTTTGACATTTTAATTTCAATGATTCGTCATAACATTATTATTTGATGCGTCAGGGGTCAGCACTTGTTTGCGATGGCGTGTGGCGACAGTGGAGAAACCGTAACCAGGTTACCGGTAATATGGTAATTGACTTAAAACTAGTCGGCCGTCGTCGAGCTCGTCATTCCAAAACCGATGTGATTCGTTGAGTAGGAGAATAATTCCTTTTTAATCTTCGTGTTTTAATTTAAACTCTGGTTTTTTATTTTTTTTTATTTTAAAGCTTATCGAGTAGCTTCAAATTAAACAATAGCTGACGAACAAAGTGTAGCGACGGCGGTTTGGAACTAACTCGACAGTACAGGTAAGCAACCATTGATTTTGCCGTACGTATACTCTTGAATATTTCTGACAGCTCACTTGGCGAACAGTTTTAAAATAATTAACGAACTCGGCTTTACATACTTACATTTAATATTGCCTTTTTTGGCCGATTGTCGTCTGCTCATGCCTTTTAGTACTACTAGTTTTAATGTTGTGTGCCTATTCATGACCTTATAAATAGCCAGTACTCATTTCTCTTGCAGATTGTACCCTTAGGGCTCAAAGCAATATTAAATACTGTTATCTGTACATTTTTATGCCGGCGATTTTACCAACAATTTTTTGTAATATTAAATAACGTAATAAAACGATTTATGATATTTGTATTATTATAACATTATTCGACGTCAATCATGATAAAATTTAATTACTCCAGATCTTATTTTTTGCAAGTTTCTAGACTTTTATATTTTATGTTAACCTTTATATAAAATTGTATTTTTGTGATACTATTCTTTTTTTAAACATTTTATTTCGGGATTATAGTACTATAATTTATCAATTGTACAATTACAGTATAATGTAATATAATACTATTAGGGGATTTTTTACTAAATGGTATCAAACATGAATCATTTTTGGCTTGTTATAGTAATTATGAGTGTATACATTTTATAGACATAATAATGGTTATCATATTGCCTATTGGTGACATATTTAATATAATCTTAACAATTTTTACTTTAAGAGATTAAACTGTATTCGAAAGTAAAGTGTGCTTTTGGGCATAAGGTTATGCTATTAACAAATGGAGATGGGTAAAAAGTATAATTTTTTTTATAAAAGCGACAAACTAAAAAATAAACCGATTTCAAAACCAAAACAATTATTGATTTTATGAAAAGTTTTAAAACAATTAAAATCATTAAAGCATTTTGAAAAAAAGAGCGCTCGTTCTAGGTAGGTAGTTAAGAATTTCAAACTGTTTTTGTAAATGATTTAATTACTTCATATGAGTATAGTGAATCGATACAAGTTATAACCATTACTAAGTCTAAAATTACATTAGGTTGGTCAATAATTCAAAATTTTAATAGTTCATTATAAATGTAATTTGATAATATAATAAGATGAATTTTTGTAGTTGCATTATGATTTATAAATGTATCAAGAGTTTTAATTAATACTAATATATATATATATTATTAGTACATAAAAGTAGGTATCTTACAACTAAATTTTATGATTTGTGTTGCTCATGGGGATTAAGTGAATTTTATATTTTTATATAACACGAAGATGTGTAACATGTACTACTGAGTAGTATCATAGTTTAAAACTACTTCTATTTAATTAATGTATCTGTAGGCATGTTTCAACTGTAGACACTCCTTCAATATGATGACGCCCATTATAGGTTTCTTAATTATTAATTGTCATCATTTCATTATTATTTTTTAGTAAAAAGACAATTATTGTATTATACAATATAATCTATTATAAAAAACTACGTAAACACTTAATTTTCTAATATAGTATTTGTCTTATGATGTGAAGTATTTCATAAATTAACTTCAGTTTTTATGATGAGGATAATAATTATACATGTACTTACACCTACACAATAATTAAGTTATTCTGTATAGGAATTTCCTTGCAATAAATCAACTAGTTATTTTCAACCCATAGTTTTTATTAAAAATTAGTCTTGATTGTTATGTGTTGATGTTTTAGAACTGTTATTAGAACATGTAATGGCCATTTATAAATACATGAAATTAAAATAATAAATTATTGGTTCATGATTGTAATTTTTAAACAAATTTTAAGCTACCTTACGAGTATAAACTTAATTCTTAATTTATTAATCGGTGAGTAGTTTGTACGTTTTTTTGGTTGACTATATTATACATTTTTAAATTATAGTTTTAATAATGTTATTTGGTATTACAGAAGGTATACTAAGTTGATTTACTTTTTAAAATAATATGTATCAGTTCATAATAATTTGAAACATTTTCACTATGTTAAAAGTTTTCAGTTTAAACTAGCTTAGTTGTTAAAAACTAAGTCTTATATTTTAAGTGTTGGGTTTCAGAGTAAAAATTCAATATGGCTATTAACGTGTACTCAACCAATGTGACATCTGAAAATTTAAGTCGACATGATATGTTGGCTTGGGTAAATGATACTTTAGCAGCAAGTTTTACCAAAATTGAAGAATTATGCTCAGGCGCTGCTTATTGTCAATTCATGGATATGTTATTTCCTGGTATGTAAAATAATATTTATGTATCACAGTTAACTAACATTTTACATGTATCAAAACTAAATTATTCTATTTATATATTTGTTTTCACTACCAAAGATGTACAGTTGCTGTGCCGTAATCCACAACCTAACCATTAAATTTACCATAAAATGTAATTCGCTTGTTAGGCATTGAATGTGATCAAATTTTGCTTTAGAAAACAACTTTAAAAAGATAAAAATGTAAAAAAGACTTTATTTGTTAAGTTTTTTTATTAATATTTATAAAAACCTTTTAATTTATTTATTACCAAATATACCTAAAGAATTGTAAAGCGTTAATTTGTAAACCGCATAAACAGTTTATACTTTTGGATTATTAAACTTTCTTATTTTTCTCCCTTTTTTGAGAATAAAAATCACATTCAGTGGTGTAGCTATCCCCTGGGAGACAGCTGCGCTTTTATTCTATGATATGTTTAAATTATAACTGTTATGCCAAAAATCACATCTTTTATATAAATACATTATGGTTTGGGATTAGGTATTCCTATAGTTCTTTTGTTAATTTCAGGTAGTGTCCAAATGAAACGTGTCAAGTTTAGAACAAATCTTGAACATGAGTACATACAAAATTTTAAAATACTTCAAGGGGCGTTTAAAAAGATGACAGTTGATAAGGTATGTTAAAGAGTATTTTTGTTGGTATATATCTATATTAATTTTAAAATGTATGGCACACAATAGAATTGTTTAAGGTAATAAAAAATTAAGTATGGGAATTATTATTTAAGATAAACTTCAGTATGAATAATGTGTTATCTATTTCAGTTGAAGGAATTTTGAAATGAATGAAAAAAATTCGCTATTTGTAAAAAAAATAATTTTACTCATTTAAATTTAATTAAAAAAACAATTTGTTGTTTTTATGAAGTTATTTGGTGTTTTTGGTTCAGAAAACGTGCTTACATTTTTGAGGTATTACAGACTTATTTGAATAGGCAAGTACAAAAGTGGTGCTGGAAATTACTTTACAGGTCATTCCTGTTGACCGCCTCATCAAAGGGAGGTTTCAAGACAATTTTGAATTTTTGCAATGGTTCAAAAAATTTTTTGATGCCAATTACGATGGCCGAGATTATGATGGTCTAGAAGCTCGTGGTGGAATTATGATTGGTGCTGGTGTTGCCGATCATGTGTGTGGTTTTCAAGCACCACCTCCATATCGTGTTCCAAATGCTGCACGTGCTTATAAAAGCCCGTCCTATGGACACGGTATTCAATAATGCACAATTTTTACTGATAATTAGTTAGGTGTATTTTGTTAGTCTCTACCTTTTGAGTGTTGTATTTTGTTATGAGACAGATCAGAAAATTTCACATAGCATGCATGTTGATTGTGTATTGTACCGTAGCACTTATTTTTTAAAATAAATTTGATGGTACTTAAGAAAGTAGTTCAGAAATAAACTATGCACTAGTTTATATACTAATAGCCTTTTACAAAACTAAAAATTTAAGGATAGTTAATAATACTGAAACTAAAAGTTACACTAAACTTAAATTTGATGTATAGTTGGTGAAAACGGCTATGAGATATTTTATTATAGTAAATACTTATAATTTTTAGCTCAAGCTTAATAGTTCTGCTAAATCAAATTAAGGAAAGACGTGAAAGGCGTTATGAAGAAAGTATCCATTCCACAAAATGGAGTAATACATGGCTTAATACAAAATGTAATTTTAAAAAATGCAAAAAAACAATTTTGATTGTGGCGTTATTTATCAGTGTTTTAAAAACTAACAGAATCATATGAATTTTAACCTGTTACTAAACGTGCAATTTTTTGTGACACTTGTGTCACCAAAGTGTGACCAGCGTACACTTCTTGCCACAGTATCAGAATTACATTGCGACTAAGTGTGACAGGAGTAAATTCATATCCCATTAGTATTCATAGAGACGGATTGAAAAAAATTGTTATAAAACATGAAATTATTCCCAAACACAGATTTGTGGGATAGTTGCTGCTATCTGTATAATGCAATTCAAGTGGTGTGTTCAATAGTTAATATATATTATAATTTATTGATTGTGAGTATTTGATCTACACTTATAAGTATAATTGTAGTACATTTTTATAGGAGGAGTGGCTGAGTGGGTAAAGCGTCAGTGGGTTTGGCACTCACTGTCGCCAGTTCGACACTCTGTCACAGGCTCTCCGTTTGCCAGGCGAGAAATTGTCTGGTAGAAAGGAGCCGCCATTCTCTTCTTCGGTTAGCCGTCTCAGATGCTAATTCGTCTAGAAACCATCTCATGATGGCAGCATTGGGTCTTCAAAGCTTGTTAAGCTACATGATGACATTTTTATAGTGATTTCCTGCTATAATAGACAATTCAAATTATATTAATTATTACTTGTTCTAATTACTTATGGTTCAGTTTTTATTTTTATGATAGACAAAAAAACTTGTATACCTAGAGGTACAATACATTATGTGAATAAAAGTAATAATGTATTCGGATTTAAAATAACAATATCTAATATAGTCCTGACCAAATGTTTACTTGAATAGCTATATAAAGAATAATTATTTCATACTTTATACATAAATAGTTATTTTTCATACGTCTAATATTAATTAATTTAATACCCTACTGTTTAATTTTTTTTGATAACCTATAAAGTATGTTAAATATTTAATTTATAGATTTATCAACTGTAAAGTAAAAAAATATTAGACAAGTACCATTCATAACTACCCATTTCTACTAGTATTTAAATTACTGATTGTGCTATTGTCATGAAATAAATTGTAAAAAAATTTGGTATTTAGGACATTATTAATTAATTTTTTTAGATTTTGATTTAATATACTTTGTTTTTGTTATTTATTTATTAGTATATAGTTGTTACAGTTTTTAAATTATTTTTTATTTATAATTTTTTTATTTTTTGCAGATAGTACCTATAGATAGGCTGGTCAAGGGACGTTTTCAGGATAATTTCGAGTTTTTACAGTGGTTCAAAAAGTTCTTTGACACCAATTACCAAATGACAGAATATGACCCAGTAGGTGCGCGCAGTGGTGAGGGAATGGGAGCAGCCGGAGCAGCATCCAGAGCAGGCATTGCCAAAAAACCGTCTGCTGCAGTACCGCCTAGAAATGTTCCCAATAATCGTTTATTCCGTCCCGCGAGTAACAGCAATAGTTCGTATATATTAACTCGAAATTATCCTAAATTGGCCTTTTTTTTTGCTTGCTTGTTTTTTATTTATAAAATGTTCTTAAAATATAAGTTATATTATGGTAAATAACTTATTGTTATTTATGTCTTTATAGTGTCTAATCGAGTTCCGGCATCACGGCCGGCTGTTGGAACGGCTCAACGTGACAGAGGTGACCACAAAATGGATGAACTTACTAGACAGGTAAAATAGTATATATTATTTTAAACAAAAAAAATAAATTCTTTAGAACAATTTATTTATTTAAAATAAAATATAAATAGTTGATCCATGATATGTACGTGAATAGTAAATCTATCAAGTCCAGTATGATATTGTATGCTTATTTATAATGTTTATGTCATTTCTAGTCATATAAAAATATATTTAGAGGATTGTATATATATTTTTTTATTTTGTGTTTTTTAACAATAAAATTTTTAATTCATGTAAGAAATTTTTTAATTTAATATTATCATTGATTTTTAAATATTGTGTTATGCATAAAATCAGTAGCCGATCTTGTGAATACCGCCACTTACCTGTTTATTTAAAAATCAATAGAATGACTAATTGATGAAAATCATCATTGACTTAGTATACAAACTCATTTTTGTTTTAGTTTTCAAGTTATTTTTAGTTTAAATTTAACATATTGAAGTTTTAATAATTCTTTAATTTATTACTATAGATGAGTGAATTAAGAGTAACAGTTGAAGGATTGGAGAAAGAACGTGATTTCTACTTTGGAAAACTCCGTGACATTGAAGTAATATGCCAGGAACAAGAAAGTGAACATCCTTTGTTTTCAAAAGTATTGGAAATTCTTTATGCTACTGAGGTAAGCTTATTTGTTTTTATGTTATTAAATTAAACTGTCAGATATTAGAATATAAAAAATAAGAATGCTGTATAGTTAAAACTTATAACAATGCAATTATTTGTTTTAAATAATTACAGGAAGGATTTGCTGCTCCAGAAGAAGTTGATACTAACAATCATGATGATGATGAAGCTTACTAATAGTCTCTTAATTTTTTACTCAATTATGATATATTTTTTTTAAATTGATATTTATTATATTTTACGGAATGCAATATAATAAACTGCTAAAAGCACATGTTCAAATAGAATGTGTATTTTTTTTAATTTTTATTATTATTATTATTATTAAATTTGTATTTAACGTTAATAAGTTTTATATTATTTAGTAATAATATGGCTGTGGCCATAGCATAGCTCAATAAAAGTGATCCATCACTTATTCTAACATAAATAACAAATTAGGGTTTATAAGAAAAACAAACAACTTTTTTGTTTAGAATAACTGTTTTAATTTGTAAGCTTAGCTTAATATAAAGAAATTTGAATTTGCCTGTTAATTAAAATAAAAAAATCTTTTAAAAAAAATTACAATTTTTAATTAAGAGCATCAATATTTTGTTTGATATTATTATAAACAAATTAATTTATAATAAATGAGAAACTTATTTACCATTTTTTTTCTTTTTATTTCCAACAAATAAATATACTATGACTGCAATGATGCCATTTGTGCTTGAAGTTCTTCTATACTTAGATCAGTATCCTTAACTACAGAATCTTCATTAGGAGCAGTATTGTCCCCAGGTGGATACGCTGACTCTAGCCCATCACCTAACGAAAGATATTCTTCATTTTCACTCTTTATACTAATGTTTTTGTTTATTGAATCTGGTCTTGTCTCTTTAGTACATTCTGTTAATGTATTATTTGATTCTAATGGTTCTTCAACAACGGATATACCTAAAACAATAGTAGTACTCACGTTAGTAACTTGATGATTTGTGACAAATTAATCTAAATAAATATTTATATTTTAGTCTTACCCCATTCGTTATCTTCGTGTACTATAGTACTTTCTTGACTGCTTTCGTTAGCTATACTAGTCGGTGGCTCTTTAACTTGGCTCTTAAACTCCTCTTGTCGTTTTATGCAAAAATTATCGTCGCAGCTAGGATTTGGTTTGATCATCATACTCGGAAAAAAGTCTGTCAATGCATTATATCCCAAATACCACGAAACTGTTCCGAAACCTAATAATTTTCTAAAAAAAAAGAAATACTGTTTAATATTGTCTCATAAGTATAGATAAACTAATCAAATTACTTTAAAGCATTTTGAACAAGAAGTCCTGCAATAACACCCATTGTAGTTGGTAAACTTGCAGCACATACGCCATCTCTTTTCAATGTTTTTTCATCTATTTCGGATGCCACAACAAGTGGTGGAGCACACTATTAAAAAATAGATATGATTATTTGAATTAGTTTTAAAAGTTTTTTTAATGATAGAATGCTAAAGAAAATTATCATGTTTTCTAGTATTTATATTATTAAATTAATGACTTACTGCAAAACAAGCTGATTCTCCAGGTACAATATATTGTATATGTCCACAAACTGCATTTTCACTAACACCAGATTCAAACCATTTTAAACTTAATTCATTGCATGCAGTATTTATGGTCATTCGTGCTTCATAATTATCAACACAGCTCAATACAAGATCAACTGGTCCTCCATTAATACCTCCCGACCTAATAGGACGGCACACAAATTAGCATAATTGAAAATAAAGAGGACAAAATGAAGTATACTTCAATGCGTTTAAGAAATCATCAAAATAATTCATTAATGTTATGTTACAGTTATGAGTTTCAATCTTAACATCCGGATTTATACGAGTCAGAGTCATCGAAGCTGCAGTCACTTTACTTAAACCAGCCTGAGATGGCTGGTAGAATAATCGATTCATATTAGCTAACTCGACTTTGTCATAGTCAAACAATATCAACTGGAAAATAAGAACTGATTAAATTATGTTTGTATTGGTTTATTATTTATTAATATATTCATTAAATACCTTTCCGATTCCACAACGAGTCAACATTTCTGCAGTGACACTTCCAACACCACCAACTCCCACTACAACTACGGAGTATTTTCGAATGTCTTCATAATTTTTAACTATGCCCATTCTTTGCAACGCCATAAGTCGACTAAAACATATAAAACACACACACTTTATTTCTCAACAAATGTTCAAAAATTATAAAACTTTCTTATACTAGGTTTAGTCTGATTTTTAAAAAAATACTTTTATCTGTTAAAAGGAAATCTTACCTGTATGGATTGGAGTCCACGACTTCAGCAGACATTTCTCGAATTGTGTGTTCAGTTTCATTATTTGACTGTGAAGTTTCAGTTAATTCGATAAGAGTTTTTTTAAAATTTTCAATGCGCTTCTTGATATTTTCTACGTCTTCAAGAGACATTTTACAAATAAATTATTTAAAAATAAATTTAATTTTCAATAAACTAAAGTGAAAGTCCCACTTCCTGTTTTACATTTACGATGTACGATTTAGAATAGTAGGCAAAGTGCAAACAAAGTTATTATTTTGCAGTTTCTGTCTTCTGATCATCGATGTTCGAAAGTATAACGCGTTACGCGTGTCACATCGGTTATCACAAAATAGTTTGATAAAAAAGTAACGGCCGCGGGACGTCGGCAAGATATGTTATCATATCATAGAATAAATACAGATATGTAAACAATATAACAAGGTGATTTTTATAAATCCACATAATTTCCACAAGATGGAAATCTTGCACTTTGCGGTATAACATAGTATGTGTATATATCCAAGTAAAATAGAATAAATTTAATCTATTCTGCGATAGATATGCTTTGGATTTTAATTTTCATTATTATACTGTTCAGGAAAATTTTCAATTAGGAGAAGTATTATTTTCCATGATGAGACTGTATCCTGATAACACGTCTTGTATACTAACAAACGCCGCTGGTACTACTGGCTGCTGCTATCTAGGCTTTATCGATCATCAAAACCATTCTTTAAGGCATACCGCATAATCCATAATAAAAGTTAAATAGTAATACCAGTACCCACTGTTATGTTCTGACTATTAATTATTATAAGTTAGAATTTATTTTGATTTGACTAATTAATATATTTAAATTATAGAGATTTGTTGATTAATTTGTATTTTTAATTAAAATCTATTAGGCCGTTTGATACTTGGAGAGATAAAAATGGGAAAAACAAAAAGTATGTTTTTATTAATAATTTCGTTGCTAATTGTGTAATTATTAAAGAAATTATGTTGTCATAATCGTTACATTTTGAAATTTTAGAGAAGCATTCTAAAAAAACAAAGAAAGAAAAGTCTCTTGATGGAGGAATCAAGAAATCTAAACAAGTGTTGGCAGACTATGATCCTACTGGTCCAGTTATATTGTCTGGCTCTTTACTGTCTTTTAGGGATCTTAAACCATTACAAATTCCTGAAAAGGATCTTGTTAGTAGCGTTTTATACCCATTATAAATTTTTGTAGTTTATAATATGAATATTGTTTAATTTAGGCAGGAAGATGTCGCTTTGTTGGAGAGTTTGAAAAATTGAATAGAATAGGTGAAGGAACTTATGGTGTTGTGTGTAAGTCCTTTAAATAATTCTATGAAATGGCTTTTAATATAAATTATTAAAATTAATTTATGAAACAAATATAATTTTTATTTATGATTGTGGTTGGTATAATGCTTAAATATTTGCGTAACTTGCACTTTAAACATATAAACACTTAAAATTTATACAATTTTACTTATCAACTAAAAATAAATCAAATCAATTTTAGCTTTGATGCTTAGATGAGAGAGTATTGTTTTTACAAATCAATGTGTTTCTTTAAGCTGTGTAGTTTTCTAAATAGTTAAATAGTTTATTTTTATAAGTTTTCATTGAAAATTGACTATTATTATTGTCTAATAGTGTTTTATTTTTAAGATCGCGCTAAAGACTCAAAGGCTCCGGGTGAAAAAATTGTTGCCTTGAAAAAAGTACGAATGGAAAATGAAAAAGAAGGTTTACCGATGAGTGCACTTCGGGAAATATCATTGTTGTTGAAATGTGATCATGAAAATATTGTCCGTCTGCAAGAAGTTGTGGTTGGTAGAAGTTTAGATAGGTAAATTACATAATATATATAATTTATAATTAAAATGAATACTGTGTTTTTAATTGTATTTAACACAAATTTTACATTTTAAGCCCAGTTCACATGACTTATCTATTCGTCGAGTATTCAGTATTCGTGGATACTTGTCATGTCGTGGTAAAGGTGTAATTGTGAAATTTGGTAATCGGTATTTGTCCTCTTCCCGCGGATTGTACCGACAATCCGCATTGGTTCAAAGGGATGCCAAATATTGTATTCTACACATTTGACGAATATACAAGTCGTGTGAACCCGGTTTTATAATTTTACTATATCGATGGTAATATAGCAAAAGGGTCTATGTGACATGGCATATACTATTGGATGGAGAAATATGTGCTTTATCCAATGCGCATGGCCAATAACAGCTGTGACCATTATTTTACAATTTAAATTTTAAGTTATAGTTAAAATCAACATCTTATATATTTTTTTGCTCAAAAATAGGGTCTAAACAACAATATAAGGATTTATTTGTTTATAATATTTACAATATAAGGTTTTATTCAGGTTATTGTTATTTGATAAAATTACCAAAAAACGTTTTTTAGCCCTCCTGAAAACTACGAAAACATCCCTTTTGCTGAGTAATTATCGATATTATGTATCTTTGAGGAGGAGTGGCCGAGTGGGTAAGGCGGCAGTGTGTTAGCGCTCACTGTCGCCGGTTCGACACTCGGTCACAGGCGCTCCGTTTGCTGGGCGAGCAATCGTCCGGTAAAAAGGAACCGCCATCCCCCTCTCCGGCGACGGATTGACGACCCGTCCCGGAAGCGAATTCGTCAAGAAACCATCTCATGATGGCAGCGTTGGGCCTTCATGGCCCGTTAAGCTACATGATGATGATGTATCTTTATTTCATATCTATTCATTTCTGTTTGAACTTAATTCACAATTTTCTTTAAAATATAATTTTGACACATCTCTTCTATTTGTTATGCCTTTAAAAAACATTTTATTTATTTTATTTCATACATTTGTCAATAATCTGTCCAAAAATTTTCGTATTTTTTATTAACTCAAATATTAAATATTGAATTATTGAATAGGTGTAATATATGATGAACTAGTGCTGTTGTTAGCAGTGTTGTTATTGTCCTTTACTAAAATAGTAAACGTTTTTTGTATATCAAATATGATTCAAAATAACCATAATACAAATTAAAACCATTTATATTTATGTTTGTTTTTAGCATATTTCTTTCAATGGAATATTGTGAACACGATTTATCTAGTTTATTAGACAATATGGCTACTGCATTTACAGAATCACAAGTAAAATGTATAGTCCTGCAGCTGTTGAAAGGATTGAAATATTTACACTCAAATTTTATTATTCATCGGGATCTTAAAGTATCCAATTTGTTGATCACAGACAAAGGATGTGTTAAAATAGGCAAGTATATTTATCAACATATAACAAAATTTGGTTATTTAAATAGTATAAAGGTTTATAATTTTAAAGTAATATTTGGTCTGAAATGAAATAGTTTTAGGATAACTTAACTGTTTAATTAGTGTATCAATATAATATAATTTTCTAATTTTCTAATATATATCATTATCAACAAAAATATAGTTTACTTGTGTGACAGTCTTTCTTTATTCTGTTAGGCGAGAGACAATTGCAACCAAATATCAGATTTATTTATATCAGACTTAATCTCTCGTAATACATAGTATAGTAATTGAATTATATATTATGTAATAGTATTATATGGTATATAATAATATATTGTAACATGTAATGTTTTTCATAATAATTTTTTTACATCTCCATCTCCTTAGTTTTTTTTTTTTTAGTTTGGGGAGTAGATGAGTGATCTGATAAAAGGAAAGCCTCATAACTGTTATATTAGATAAGTGTTTTATTATTTTTCAATAAATTATTTTCTTTACAGCTGACTTTGGATTAGCCAGATTTTTTGGGGTGCCACCAAGAAAAATGACTGCTAAAGTAGTGACACTCTGGTATAGAGCTCCGGAAGTGTTGTTGGGATCTCCAAAGTTGACAACAGCCATTGATATGTGGGCAACTGGGTGTATATTTGCAGAACTTTTACGTAAACATATTTATTATTTATGACATAGTTCTATAATCGTTTGTGTATTTAATATTAATACATTTTGCATATTTTTTAGTCCATAAACCACTATTACCAGGGCGCACTGAGATTCATCAACTAGATTTAATATGTCAACTTCTTGGTACACCAAATGCATCTATATGGCCCGAAATCGATACACTTCCTGCTTTAAAACATTTTACTTTAAGACCTCAACCTTACAACAACATTAGACCAAAGTAATACAATTTTTTTAAAGCACTATACTAAAATTATATAGTTTTTTTAATGTATATGAAGTATGTCACACTATTTTTAAGAAGGTGATACTGTTGTGATCCAAGACAGATGAATCATTAATTTATTTATTTTATTGTTATTCTTTTTTGAAAACATTTTTATTTGTTATTTTACAATCTTATAAAATTACTAAACATTTATCTATTTTAGTATTCTCCAGAGGATTATCAACTTTTAAAACTTTAATGGTAACATATATATGTTCAACTAACTTTTTAAATTAAGAATAATAAGACAAAAATTTTAACTAGTTGATTAACAGTTTTGGATAGTTATTTTAAAAATTAATAAAGTTTAGGGCAGGAGAAAGGGTTAATTGTAGACTTATTTTTATCTGCGGGTGTTACTCAACCGCACTCCACTTTCCGTTCTAAAATTTAAACTTAAAAAGTAATTATTGCTCCAAAACTGATTATTGACCTGTCAAAAAAACGTTCAGCAATTTATTCTACTTTCAAAAGTTGAGTAAATATAGATGTTCCCATTTAAGTTTCAAAAGTTGCTAGCGCTCTGGAAAATACTAAAATTGGTAAATATTTAGTATCTTAAAATATTGTACAGTAAATTATATGTAAATGGTTTCAAAAAGAACAACTTTACAATTTGTATTACTGTCCAAGAAAATTAGTGTCTTACTTTATGTACATTTGTGTAAAGTTATTTTATAGTTGGATAATAACTTTTCCATAATTTCACTGCGTGACATAAGTTCAAACATTTTTTTTTTTTAGGTTTCCGTGGTTGTCAGATGCTGGTATACGCTTATTAAACTTTTTATTTATGTATGAACCAAGCAGGAGAGCTACAGCTGAAGAATGTCTGCAGAGTTCATATTTTGTTGAAGCGCCATTGCGTAATTATATAAAATATTTTAAATATAAATACATATGTGTAAATATTAATAATATTGTTAGAGGTAGTGAATGACCTGCTGAATGTTTTTAATGGTATTTAAAAATTAATACTCAGGTAAAAGTGTAAAACCATACATTTTAAAATTAGAGAAAAACACTGCTGTACACAAGAACTGCGACTGATTTTGCGGGAGGGTCCTGCCATCAACAGAGCTGCCCTAGTTTTAGTTTACTATCAGCCCGTCCATAAACAATGACGAGGAGGGTACTTTTGTGATTTTGGGAATCCCCATAAAATCAGTTACCGTTCTTGAGTACAGCACCGCTTATCTGTACATTTTAAAACCAATGGTAGTAAAACTAAGTTATTTAGGACAGAAAGTACAAATTTCAAATAACGTAAACAAAGTGTAATGTATTAACACATAAATAATTTATGTTTTTATGGCATTTTTAATAATAATTTTTATCTTTTATAAACAACAAATTGATAAAATGAAAATAAATGTAACATGTTATTAATTTTCAGCTTGCGATCCAAAATTAATGCCTACATTTCCTCAACATCGTAATTTAAAATTAAAAAAACCGACAAATCAACCAAAAGTTTGCCAGACTATACCACCAATTGTACCATCACTTTCAGATTTATTAAGGTAAAAGTAGTAGTATTCAAATTGCAAGATATATTGTAACAGTATCAAAGCTATATTATTAAAAATATAAATATATTTTTTTTTGTTTTAGTTGGAAATGAGAGGAAACTAAAAAAAAAGAAGATAACATTAAAAAAAATTCAATATACACTAGTGTTAAGCAAGCAACATATTTTTACTTTAATATCGATTAAATACTTAAGCCTAATGCTTTTTATAATAACACAAATATAACAAAATTTTACAAATATTCTCTATCTTCAATTTTTTTATGAGCAAATCGCCTTTTCCATTTTTTTGGTGGCACCCAGCGATGTTTGGTAGTGTAAGTAATTTTCATCAGTTCTTGTTGGACAAGGGCGTCATTTGGCTTACTGAATACTTCATGCACAAATTCTTTGTTTTGTACTCGCAGCACGGAGTTGTCCTGTACTTTGTTGACAGGTAAGGGTCGGCTATATTCATAAGGAAACAATTGTTCTGGATGGTAACATACTATAGTTGAGGCATCATCGGTGACGACGATGGCAAAATCGTTTTTCGATCGAGCAGGAATGTTGATGCTAGATGTTAGTTTACGAAACAATCGTAATCCATTAATCATGTTGGACTATTTAATTAAAGAGCACAATATTCACAAATCGTAAATTTAAGTCATAAAATATATTATAATAATATTTAAAACATTCGAGTCTGTTATCAATTTTTTAGTAGAATGAAAAGAAAAAAACATAACCTTGTTGTATTATTATTGAAAAAATAACCTATAAAAAATTAATTGACAATTTTTAAAATAATTCGAATACTTTGGATTTTGCTAACCATTTCTGCTATTAAAACTCGATAGGAAATATTATGAACTTATGTTCAATGTTCGACAAAAAAATGCTATTTATTTTAGTTTCATACGTCAAATACTATTATAGCTAAGCCGCTAAAAAAAACACAATATCGATTTTTGGGGCGCATCTGGAAATCGACCGGTTTTTTTCTTTCCATGGATACCGCTCCAAACCCCCACTACCATAACGGTTGACGAACCCACTCAATGTATTGTTTTTGTTTTTACCGTTCGTGTTTTCCTTTCTCGATGATAATAAGTATATTTAAAATATTTTCTTCCGACTGTTAATTGTGCGTTCGAGTTTTCTAAATTTCAAGTTTCCGTTTTTGTTTAACAAGTTTCCGGTGAAACCCGTACGTTGACCAATCATGCAGAGAAGTGGTAAGTACCTGTACACCGGCCATTTCTTAATATTATTGCTGACATTAGGTACACTCAACACTGTTTGGGACGCAAACTACATAATAAAACTGTAGACTGATGACATCGCATATTGCATACTACATTTTATTACTCGATTAAAATAGTTTTTTTTTTTTTTATTGATTTGCATGTTTTCTAATAGTTTTTATTCGTTTTATACTTTATTAATTTTGTGTGTTTTGTTTTTGTTCATGTTGTGGTAATGCCTGTTGTGCACTGTGTTCTGAAAATTTTGCGGGAATTTATTCACAGCTGTAAGTACCATACATTTTTGTAATCTATGTATTTATCATTTTGAACGTTGATCTATTATTATTGTTATTGGACTTGAAAATTACGTTAGTTTTTGACATTATTAAGAATTTTTCTAGCTTCGAAATTTTATTATACTATACATTTCAAAATTTAATGAGATTTATAAAAGTACATTTTTATGATTGGCTGCGTTTTTTAAAGGTTGAATAAATTTGATAGTTTGTTGAAAATAAATCAAAAGTATGTGGTAAAAAATACTTGGAAAATTACAATTTAAACATCAATTATTTATTTAAACTTATTAATAATTAATATTGATTCATACAAAATTTACCTACTGCCAAAGTACTAACCTCCGACTCTTCAAGACATAATTTATTGACTATTAAAGAAAAAAATGTATATGCTACTGTTATAATAGTTTTTATACACTTAAAATGGAACTTAAGTAGTAGAAAAGTTAAAAAGCTATGCTAAATTCCATTTAATGTTCTAGGCCTGACTTACTATTTTATTTATTTTTATGTTATATACATAATAATAATAATATTCATATGTTATATACATATTTTGTTGGTAGTACATATATTTATACAGCTTAAGTAACATGTAGGAAATTATACATCATATGTTATAGATTTTATTTTTATGAAAACTTATTATTAATTTTTTTTTTTTGGTTAAAAAGTCTAGAAACAACAATTACCCTATCATTGTTCTTCTTCTTTTCAAATTTATAAACTACTTCATAGTTCATATTTATTATTGAAAGATATGTTTAGAATATCTTATTTAACTAATTTGTTAATGAAAAATATTATGTCATCGTTAATGTTATCATTATTACAAAAAAATGTATCAAATGATTACATAATGTTTTTTAAATTGATATACTTGTCTATACTATTTGACTGATTCATTAAGGTTTGAAGTACTATTAAATAAATTCAAATATAGACTTTGTGAATCTATCTATTGTTATTGTGAATTTCTTGGGGTAAAAGATTTATACTTTACTTTATTAGATGTTTGGCGTGCTGTTAACAATATAAAATTACTACAACTCTATTAAATGTAATATAATATTAATTAAAATAAGTAACGTTTTTATGATCGATACCTATTACAATGTGACCTAAAATACTGAACTTCAGAGAGTAATGAAAATCATCATATATAATGTAACATTAGTTATAGATATCAGTTTTGAAAGAAGAAAAAAATTATTTCCGATGAACTGATTTATTGGTCAATACTGGATGATAGTTGCTCATACCGATATTTGCCCTAGAATTGGTTATTGGAAATGTAATATTATGTATTTTTATTATGCAGGAAAGGCTAATAGGTATTTCATTGTTTAAAATATTTAAAAAAATCTACTAACGGATCATAATTCACAATTCTTAATTTTTTAATTTTTGGTCTGTTACAATGGCGCTATATGTAGGAGTGTTTGTTAATAATTCCTTTTGCTACTTAAAACTATCTTCAACTACACCTTCTATACGGGATATAAATGCTAGGTAACAAAATGGGAATGTAAACAAAACAAACAATTTTTTTACATATTATGTTGGAAACATTAGTTTAAGGTTTTATTCTGTTTGTTTGTTTCCAAAAAGGAGAGAATATTAGTGAAGAATTGTAAAATTTGATTGATGCATGTGTATTTAACTTTTAAGAGAACTATTTTTGCAAAAAATGTAAAGTAGAGTGAATTTCGTGTTTTTCCAATGTTATGATTATTATTAATGATTGAATTTTTATTATTAATGTAAAATTACATGATTTGATTTGAAAAACTCAAATTTTAATTTATTTTGTTGATTTGGTTTTGTAATTTGTAAAGGTGTATTTCAGGGGGGGGGGGTGAGGCGATGAGGCAATGGATTTCCTCCGGTATCACTTTTTTGTCGTAATCCATTAATTTTTATTCAGGTATAATATTAACTATATATATTATTATTATAAATATATTTCGCCCCCCTCCCCCCCCTTGAATTAAGTTTTCTGAACGTCCTTAAATTTTTTGTACTTGAGAGACTAGATAGACTAGATATTCTTTATTTAGTCTCTCTATTCTGTTCTGTGTGTTAACTCCAGAACGAGTTTTCAAAAATCGTAGTGTGTATAAATAAACTCTAAATGAACATTTCCACATTAGTCATCACACACCACGTCGGTTGTTCCTACAAAATGTAAATTATTCGAGACGAAGTCTGTTTCCTTTTCGATTACGAATGGTCTTTAGAAACACTCGTCAACTGGTTTATTTTTATATAGATCGGAAGTGAACCCACTTTGGTTGTAATTCCATTTTTGTTTCTACCGGATTGTGTTTGTCCTGGTCGTGCATTCGTGTTCGTGACATCCCATGAATAAATAACACCAGTTGTGAATTGTGATTACCTAAAGGGTTTATTTTGCTTCGTCAGACACTATATTTTCTCTTAATTTTATTATCCGCGGTAACGTTGTATCTGCACGTAATTTACGCCATTTCTTGGACGGAAATGGAGAATTTGAAAAGATACATTTATATTAATCAAATAAAGGTGAGTTTTTCAAATTGTTTTTCGGCAGAACTTCGGGTCTTTTTTAATAACATGTTTTCTCTCTTGAAATGGATCTAAGCGTGGTGGGTTTCTTTTCAAAATCATGTTGTGCGCTTTCACTTGGCATCGTTTCCTTGGTCTTTTTCTAAAAGTTATTTTGACAACAATTAACGTACAAATCAAAAGTTTGACGTTGAATTCTCATTCTAATTTAATTGATTCAAGAATTCGTTAATATGTGTATGTTATCTTGCAAATATCTTAGTCATTAACGTATTTTCGGTAAATATTTAAATACCCATTTATTTTTTAACTGGTCTGAGTCATATTTTAAATATTTCGTTAGTGTGTAAAATACTATTAGCATTATTACATTTAAAATAACAACTAGTTTGTACATGCGTGTTTTTTAACGCAAATTAAAGACTTATTCATTTTTTCTCGATATTGTTTTACATCTATTAGTCATGACTAAATAAACAGGCATGATCGCTAGATAATACAGTGCAGGAAAAGTCTTCTCCAAACTTGGAAATAGATGTATTATCGTGCTAATTTCTCATTGTATCATTTTTAATGGCTAGTGTGCATATGCGCTAAGATAAGAAAAGTTCGTAATCTAGCGATAATGCCTGTTAATTTAGTCATGATTTTACCAATCAACACTCCTTACGCCACTCGACAACAAATAAAAAGAGGTTCATCAAATGTTATTTATTATTTATTACTAAAAATGTTTTTACTAAAATTGTATACATCTATTAGACCACGACTAAATTCGTTTTTTTTATTGACGTTCTCATTCACGTTCACGTACTACAACCGTGAAGACATTCTACTGTAAAGAATGTCATGTGTGTGTGTGTGTATTTTTTTTTTACGTTTTGACAAATATTGTTTACAGAATTAGTAGAAACGCCGTTACAACGGGAGTAATAATAATCTACAATCGTCGTTCACAAAATATAAACACATCACGGTAAAAAATACCGTAGCAATAAAGTTACCATTCCACGTTTGTGTAATATATTTTCTATACTTTTTAATAAAATAAAATGTGCCAAAATGTCTCGAGTTAAAGTCGTAGTTTGAGATCAGAGTTCTATTTGAAGAAAACCGAATAATTTCTCAACTATTTAATAAAAAGCAAATATATTAATGGCCAATAAA